ACCAGAAACCACGGCATACAACGACCAGAAACCACGGCATACAACGACCAGAAACCACGGCATACAACGACCAGAAACCACAGGTAGGTAGATAGGTATCTAGGTAGGTAGGTACAGTACCTACTCTGTAGAGCAGCCTACATAGATCTATCTAGATGGCTGAGCCACTAGCAAACATTGAACACGCCAACAACATACATACTGTGTAATATACTCCGTACAGTATACTACTCCGCCCGGGGTACATGTTCCACCCAAGCAACCCTGTTCAATTATTCCGGGGCGGAATCAAGCCTCTACTCCGTCTGTGTCTGTAAGGTAGTCATCAACTACGGAACGGAGTACTATAGTGTGCAGATCCGATATCTCCGGGACTGGCTGGCTGGCTGGCTGGCTACCTAGCTATCTACAGGTATGTACTGTAACATATCTATCCGTACATATCCAGTACGGAGTATGGATACTGTATCAAGAGCAACGAAGTCTCTTGTCCGAGGTCTCCACCTCGCCGTGGAACGGAGCAGCTCTGAATACTACAGGAGCAACTCTAAATAATACAGAGTACGGAGGGTACGGAGGGTACGGAGGGTACTAGGTACCTACCTACCTACTGTAGTTTTGGGTACCTACTACTAACGATGCTAGGGTATTACTATCATTTTACGTTGCGTTGCGTCCGTCACGTCACGTTAAGCAAGACCAAGACCAAAACCCAAGACCGGAGATTCGAAAGCGAAACCGGGCCGGAACCGGCCATCAAGTCCGGTGTTGGGCCCCGCCACCGCATATATAGTGTAGTATGAAGCCTGTGATGGAGCGCGAGAAATGACGACCTACCTAGACCTACTACCTACTGTATCTGCCTCCCATCTACTGCCTACTGTACAGTACAGGAAATAGTGGTTATCATTCTCACTCTACTCTCACTCTCACCGGCTGCGAGGTGAGGGATCCCAATCCTAGTGTCTGGAAGTCTGTTTTCTGTTTTCTACGGATGAGGATTGAGGATTGAGTCTTTCAAACACACACACACACACACACACACACACACACACACAGCCAAAGGAAACACAACGCAACTGTTCTTCAATCCTACTCTATTCTAGACACTATACACACACTACTACACCACACCACTATACACTACTACAACAGAGACTCGGAGACCTTGACCATCCTCCTCCGCCATGTCTCTCTTCAAAACGGTGCAATCGCTAATCGACAAGGATGATTCCACCCCCATCCAATTGACCCTGGGATCGAGGAAGCTGAAACCGGGCGAGCATATCCCCAAAGGAGGTGAGTTGTCTTGTGTTGTTTTTTGTATATTTCCTCCATCCACTCCATTCCACTCCAACCCTACATTCTGTGCGTTTGTGTGTCTCTCTCTCGCTGACCCGGCTCTCTTTCTTTCGTTAGAAGCTCGAGCCACACCAACTCTGAGCTGGCCCGCGGCGGCCCCAGGACAAAAATATCTCGTGGTGTCGATCGACCTCGACGCGCCGTTTCCGTCGTTCGCGCCCCTGTCTCCCGTGCTGCACTGGATACAGGGTGGGTTGGAGCTCGACACAACCAAGAATGCTCTGACCTCCTCCGATCCTGTCCTTGTCGCCTGGGCGCCCCCGGGCCCTCCGGGCATCAGCGGTCCGCATCGCTATATCTTCCTGTTGTACCACCAGCCGGCTGGGTTCACGCCGTCGTTGTTTGCCAAGGAGAAGGGCTGGGGCATCAGGGACCGCATCAAATGGGACCAGTCGAAATTCGAGAGGGAGGCCAATTTGGGCCACGCGGTCGCTGCTACATATTTCTTGAGTAACTAATAATCAAAGCGGGTTGGTTGTTGGTTGTTGGTTGTTGGGTTCAAGTCATCCAGGGACAGGCATGCCACCGAGATGACTGCTGACTGATTGACTGCTTGACTGATTGAGATACCCTACTGGGCGGCGCGCTGTGGTGTGGTGTGGTATGAGCGCATAAGGGATTAATGCTGTAGCTAGTTGACCACACACCTAGTGTATCCGTACTTCGATGACCACTGCCACTGGTTCATGGTCATTCCATATTCCACATTCCTATGTCATATTCCATGTTCAATATTCAATATTCAGCCATGAGGCCCTAGAGACCCGTATAGTCGACTTGAGTCCCCTTTCCCCTGATGCCAACCAGGCTCTGGCATGCAGAGTCTAGACATGCCTGTCGAAATATCAAATATCAAATACAAAATACCAAGTATCAAGATTCCCATACCCTCTCTCACTCCCACTGGGACAAATCAAACTCTTCTGAGCTGGACAAAGCGGCCACTCTCACTCGAGTCCGTCAAGGCTCGTATCAAGTATCGACCAGCACTGGCGGTGCCAATTAGCTAGAAGAGCAGCCGGGTTGTCAATCCAGTCAGTCAAAGTCGATGACAATCTTTCCCCTTGCCCTGTGGCTCACAGCTCTTTCATACGCCTGTGGTAACGAACGGGTCAGCGTTGGATTACTCTTGAAAAGTCACGAGCCACAAACCACAAACCACAAACCACACACCACACACCACACACCACAAACCACAAATCAGATGGTTGAGTGCACAATAGATGGGATGGGAGGGATGGATGGGCACGTTGACCTACCTTCTTTACATCCTCCACCTTCCACACACTGTCCACGACGGCTTTGATCTTGCCTTGTTCCGCCAATTCAATCACCTTCTTCGAGTCCTTTTGATTCGGGGTGGCTGAGTAGAACAGGAAACGCCTGGGCGTCCCACCCAAGATGGTCGGGAGCAAACGGTTGAGTAGGATGGTGAAAAAGCCCGAAATAATACTCAGCCAGGCCCCCTCTGTGAGGTGGATTGCACCCAGCTGAATGTAAATGCCCGATTTGGTGAGATATGACGGCGACGCAGTATAGAGTGTGTTGGAGGTCCCGGCCACGTCGAAGATGGCATCAAAAGGAGCAGACGAGTGGTGCTTCTCGAAATATGTGTGTAGCGGGTCATGGGCGGTGTAGTCAACAACCTGGGCGCGTGAAACAAAATCAGTCCGGCTCTCTCTGTGGAGGGAATGTGCGACTTGACGCATAAACGAAAAGGAGCCAGAAAAGGAAAAGAGAGAAGGGGAAAGACAGGATGATGAAGCGACACATCTGAATCTACCTCATCGGCACCCAGGCTCTTCACCAAGTCGATGTTTTTCCCGGAGCACGTCGTCACCACGACGCCCGTCTCGCCCACCACAGCCTTTGCAGTCTGGACGAGTATGCTGCCCAAGCCACCGCTGGCGCCCGTGACGAGGACTTTGTGGCCGGGCTTGACGCCTGCAACCTCCAGAGACTGGAGGGCTGTGCAGCCTACGCCGGACAGGCCTGAGGCGTCAATCATGGAGATTGAATCGGGTTTCTGCACCAGCAGAGACACCGGGCTGACCAGATATGCCTGCAGCGCGCCGTTGTATTTCAACATGCTGGGGAAAGTGCGCGTCCCCAAGACCCGGTCGCCGACTTGGAACGCTGCCCCCTCCCCTTGTCCTTGTCCTTGCTCCTGGTTGGCACCGCGAGGCCCTAAGGCGACAATGGTTCCGGCGAACTCGATCTCAGGAATCCATGGATGGCTCGTGGGGTGGGGGAACGAGTTGATGGCCAGAAGAAACCCGGCATTCGTCGACACGGCCGACACTTTGATCAACGCTTCCCCGGTACGGAGAGATGCCGGCGTCGGAGTTGGATGGTCGGTTCGGAGGGTCAGCACCTCAGTGGGAGGGCCATGTTTGGTGAAGACCCATGCCGCGTGCGTCGAGGGAATTGATGCGACAGCCGCCATGAGGGGCCTAATACTAATCCTATTGCTGTCTGTGAGATGGTTTAGTTCCTGTTCCTTGATTCTTCCAAGTGACTCTCTGGGCTGGTTTTTTCCTAGTACGGATCGACGATTCCAATATGCTGGTCAAGATCGTCACTATCTCGGCACGCTCCTATCGACGGACCAAGATGCAGACCAAGACGAAGATGGAAACACAAAAGGTAGAACCCCCCAAAAGGGAATGAGCACAGGGCGGACGAAATGGAAACTAGGCAGCAGTCAAACGATTGGATTGGAACCTAGCTAGTTGCGGCGTCTGTAGATCCAAATTGCAAACATTGGACAGATTGGAGACATAGCCTGATATTGACATTCGCCGTGAGTCGTAAGTAGATTGTTTTTTCTTTTACTGTCGCAGACGGTGGACGGTGTGTCTGGACAGGATAGAGTATAGAGTACGTACTTGGATTGAAGCGAAGCGAGCCCAAGGCTGAGCACAGAGCGGCGTCACTGTCTGGCCGGAATGGGCGAGTCTCAGGCAGTTTTTCCACTCAGATTCCAAATTATTACTATTACTCTTGTACACAATAATATAGGACAGGAGTACGGAGTACAGAGTCCCGAGTACAGACACAGACAAGGTATTGTGTATATCGCTATTTGATATTGAACCTTGAAAGCCCTGGCTGCAGTCAGTCCCAGCCTGTACCTCGTACCTCGCACACCACGCCACCTCGACACCAGAATACCAATCAATACCAAGCCGGTATTCACCTTTCGCACTCGCAGTGCGCCCTTCGTCCTCTCACACGACAAACTCGCCGCACCACACCGCACCACCAAGCTCCAACGTCTACCCAGTCTCAGTTGGTCGACATGAAGTCGCGAACTTCTCTCGCGGTCTGCTCCTCCCTGCCCTTTTCGCTGCGGCATACCGTCCTACGTACGAGACAATGGCAAACGCTGGCCGAGGGCAGGTTCAGGTTCAACTCCAGCTCCAGCGTGTGTCGAGCACGAGTACCTGCACCGGCACCTACACCTACACCTATACCCACACCTAGACTACATGCACCGCGCAGTCCCCGATCCGCACGAACGAGAGGAATGTCATTAATGAGACGAAATATATCTACCACTACCACGGCGGCCGAAGCAACGGCCACGACACCCTCCTCCTCTTCCTCCTCCACCTCAACGATCTCTCCTTCACGCATCGTGCGGCCCCTAGTGCCGCCTCCAAAAGAAGGCAGTGGACCACTGCTGTCACGCCGGCCGGACCGCGAACTGCCCAACATCCCCCGACGCAGCATCTGGACGACGACGCTGCCGCTGTTCGCGGTGCTGGTCGGGGTGGCCAGCTTCGCCATCTTCAACTACCAGAAGTCGAGCAGCTCGACCGTCAACGCGATCCTGTACGCGCTGCGCACCAACGACCACGCCCGCGCCCTGCTCGGCGACGAGATCTACTTTGCCAGTAAGGTGCCGTGGATCCGCGGCGAGCTGGCCCCCTTGCAGGGCGCCATCGACATCACCTTCTGGGTCAAGGGCACCAAGACCGCCGCCTTGGTCAAGTTTGTCTCCGTCCGCCGCCACAGGGACGGCTTCTTCGAGACCCTCGAGTGGAGTCTGAAAACGAAGGACGGCAAGCAGATTCAGTTGTTGGATCTGGCCGGGACCAATGATCCCATGCAGGGCGCCAAAATATGATTCATGCATATCAATTGCAAGCAAGCAAGCAAGCATGGGGATGGTCACAAAACCAGAGTTGAAGTTTGTCAGTATACCCCAAAGCGGCACGGCATGGCATGGCATAGAATGGCATGGCGTAAATATTGTAAATCATGTATCTTACATCATGTATAGATGGTTGACGGAACAAAGACTCCAAAATCCTGGTCCATTACCATTGCTTTCTGTGTTGCAGATCCTGTATAGGTCTACAGTCATGAAGGAAACCATCCCTAGATACAACATGTCCGCTCTGTATTCTGTACTGAACTACAGGGCTAGTATACAGTATACAATATCCCCCCCACACAGGGAAGGGAGATGGAGTGGTGATCTCTACTCCGGACTCTTTCCTTTCTTTTGTCTCAAGCCTGCCACGACCGCAGTATCGGCTGCTGCTGCTACTGCCAGCTCAATCTTCCGGCCTCACTTTCGAACCTCGCGTATTGACCCCCGTCTTGCCGGCTTGGGTGGCAGCTACGGAACTGCTGGTGTTGGAGCTGGCGCCGGCACTGGCGCCGGCACTGCTGCTCTTCGGGACCTTGCCGATATTCCAGCCCCAAGACCTCAATGTTTTGACCACTTTCGGCGTCACGGCCGCGGTGAGAGGGACGCGGACGAAGATGAAGGATTTGTGAATGGCATACGCGAGAGCCAGTTGCGTCCATATACCTAGAAGCACGAAGAAAAAGGTAAATTGTCAGCATTTGGCCATGGAGACGCTGATACTCAAACACGACCCAAACAATACCCGCAAACAAGCGGGAACAAAACTGAATTCGATCGGACGGAATGGATCTGTACATACTTGCATTGGCGCCCGAATTGGCCTTTTCTGCCTCCTTGTAGCCGTGGTCGCTGACGGTGTCTGCATTTTCCTTGACGTATTGTTCGTGACTCTGTTCGTCCAAGATCCTCTTGCTCGCGACGACATCGGCGTTCCCAGGCTTTTCGGCCGTCCCAACGGCACTGTCGACGTCCTCCGCAACGGCCGCCGTAGTCGTCGCGGGCCAGTTGATCAAACCCTTGACATACGATACCACGACATGCTCCCAGTGTCCGATGCGGTCTGTGCCCAACAGCCGCACAGCGAGGAAACAGAAGGGAAAATCGAGCGCCGTAAGTAGCAGGTACACGCCCAACGCGGACCAGCCGTATTCGCGCGACAATTTCTTCAGCCGCTGCGAGAGACTCAGCTTTTCCTGGGGGCCCGAGGCGCTGCCGGACGAGCTGGACGAGTTGGACCGTCGGCCACCGCGACGGCGGAACGACTGGAGAAACGGATTCGTAGAGCGAGAAGGAGAGGAAGAAGGAGACGGTCTGTTCGGGGAGCGAAGTGGGTTGTTGGGAAGGCGTTGGGAGTGGATGGTTCGAGTCGTCGTCCGCGTCGTAAGACTGGGCTGGGACACTCGTCCCGCCCGCGTCCGGAAGGAGGCCGTCTGATGTGACGGACTCGTAGCGCGGAGAAGAGCTTGATTAAAGGCTTGTCGCCCTTGTAAGGGTAAGACAGGACGTGTTTGGAAGAGTTGCTCGAGAGCATGGCGTGCGGGAAGGGACCGCATGCTCTTCATCGTGGCGGAGGACAAGAGTGGCAGCTTAGTTTAAGTGTAGGTCAAAAGTAAGAATATTCACATCGACACTGGCGCAGGTCGAGCAGTGACCGTGCCACGTCTTGTACAGTGTGAGGACAGTGGTTTGCTGTTCTGTTCTTTTCTGAAAGAAGGTATTTTCTATTTTCTCATGAGAATTCGACCCAATTCCACTCCGCAGGCGCAGGCGGCACAGCACAGTGGCAGCAACATGTCATTCCAGGCCCAGCTTGACGTTCGGCGTTTGGCCCCTTTAAACTCCGTCCTCCACAGCCTTATTAGGGTGGGTGCCAGAATTAAAGGCGGTTTATCTTACTATTACTTCGACAGTATTAGGGAACCCTCCAGCTTTACCGGAGAATCATCTTTCTAAGATACTAGATATACTCTACGACCTCCCTAGAGTAATTCCCCTATCTCTGGTATTGAAATTCTCTACTTAATAGAAGCACCGCGGTATAATCCCCTATATATTTGGGCACCAAGCCTTAGCCTTGTCTTCCAGCACTCCATCCGTTCAGGCGACATTAAACACAACTAAGCTTGGCTGAAGTGGTCGTGGTCGTGGGCAAGGCAAAACACCTGTCTAATCTGAAGTGAATGTGATGTGTGATGTGAGATGATGGGGACTGTTACTACCGACATACGTAGGATTTGGCCATATGACCGCCGTCTCTGGCATACTCATAACCATCATCAAGCAATCCGTCACCGTCAATGCCGTCGTTTCCGACTCCAACTCCAATTCCAACCCAGCCTAGCCACAAGAAACCGAGGACCCAGAATCATCCTTAGGTAGAGTACTTTGGCGGTCTACCACGTCGCTTCTTCGTGCTTGTCTGAGCTGCCGGGACCACAGGTTTGACGCTTCTGCCATTAACAGAGGCCCAGCTCGGTCCCTTTGCTGACGCCGTCCTAGCTGGCGGTGGCGGTGGCGGTTCCTCATCCGAATCATCACTATCAACCCAGGCATCAGCTGAGACTTTGACAGCAATGGGTTTGGGCGCAGGTCGGCCTGAAGGAGGAGCCTTGCTCTGGGCAATCGACACGACTGGTTGTGCGGCTACCTTGGGAGGTGGCGTAGGAGGTGCGTCTAAGAAGGAATCTTGAGACCACATATCGTCCAGATCGTCGCTGTCGTTGTGCATCCATTCAATCGCGGCCATTTTTGCTATTCTGTTCGCTTGAGCCTCGCTACGAGATGTGGACGGGCGGACAGGAGCGCTGTGCGCAGCTTTCGCGGCCTGGTTTCTTTCCGGCGGTGAGTCTGAGGATGAATCTCCAACAGATCTCCGACTCGCGGCAGCCGTAGCGGCTGGTCGAGCTGACACGGCTAGTCGCGACACGGTGGACTTTGCGGCAGCTGGAGGGGGCAGTGTCGGGTTCAGCGCGGGATCGGGTCCGATTTCCACCAGCGGACTTGATGTTGCAACCTCGTCTTCCGCGGCACCACCATGACTGGACACCGAGTCCAAATCGAAATCGGACGCCGCATCACCTAGCCGAACCACCTGTGTCGGTTTGATCTGTCGCGGCGGGGATGGTTCCGGGGCCACGTCGCTGAATTCCTCCTCCTCCGAAGGTTCCTCATAATGGACATTTTGCAGTCGAGTCTGACGCCTGGTGATCTCGGCACCTGGAGGAGGGTGAGGAGCTCCGTCTGCTGCAGGCTTCCGGCGGTCACGATAACGACCGGGCGTGAAGTCATCATCTCGATCAACCACAACATGCTCAGCCCCTCGGTTTCTCTTTGGCGCTGCCTGGGCCTGCCCTTCTGCTATGTTGAGGGCTTGCAAGTCGGAACCAATGACAGGGGCAGGTCCTTCCACGCCAGTCAATGCCTGCTGTGCCATGGTCGCCCGGATTCCCCACTCTGCGAGTTTCTCTTGACCGACGGCTAATTTGACGATGAGAGACTGTTGCTGCTTTTTAGCTTTGGCCGGATTCGCCTTCTTGTAGCCGTAGGGACGATCCCCCTCGTCAACTTTAGTCCGCTTTCGCTTTCGTTCCACCATTTCAATGTCTCCCATGCCATCCAGGCCAGCAGGTGAATAGCCTGGCAACAAGGGAGCCGCTTCTTGCACAGGGAGTGTAGCAAGACGATCCCCTTCTGGATCCGGATAGTCATATGTGATAGCTTCCGTGGGATCGTAAGCACGCTCTGCGTCGCGAAGGACACCACCTTCCGGAACGGCGAATTGTGGTGCCAGGAAATCGGCCGGGACTAAATCGCCCATGCCCTTCGCTCCTTCTGGGTTCTCGTCAAACTCGTCTTCTTCCTCTTCATCACCGGCAGGGCTGTTGGGCAGGGGAGCACCAGGCCCCAATGCTGGGTCGATAGGAATGCCCTCGTGTTGGGCCAAGCGAAGGATACCCTCTTCTATTCCGTCACCCACCTCCGCATCGCCGTCGACATAGTCGTCGCCCATTTCCAGTCCCGGATCATGATCTTTGGCTGCGTCTGCTTCTTTCCTGCGTCGCTCGAGACGGCGTGTGTCGGCCCCGTTGTCATCGCCCGCCTTTTGAATCCAGCCGATGTTGGAATAACTGAAGTCGACCAAGCTCTCCACCGACCGCGGATCGGCAACATGTTTGGTATTGTGACCGACAAAGGTTGACGAGGGAGTGTATGGTTTGTATTGGTAACCCGGCTTCGTTCGGCACGGGCGACAGCCACAAAAGTTCCGACAACTCGGACACTGCCAGTCTGGGTCCGCTAGAATGTCTTGCGGCATCATATCATACGCACGAAATAGCGTTCCATAGCAGTAATTTCGGCCGCAAGCAGAACAGGATGCCTGCTTCCACCGGGGTTCGAAATGGAAGTCAATGTGACACCGGGAATGCTCGCGTACGAACTTCTCAGATCGCTTGATTCTTTTCCGGGTTTGTCCCTTTGCATCCACATACTGTTCGTATGTCTTTCCCTCCTCAACAGGAGCCTGAGGGTGCCGGATATCGTGAAAAGGCCGCCGAGCTAGCTCTAATTGACAGATCTGCGCGAGAGTTCGTTTCTTGCCCAATCGATCGAGTTCCGTCTTGAGGGACACTGGAGATCGATCGGTCACTTTGCCTTCAAATTGAAGAATCTGATGCCGCCATTGTTCGTGTTTCTGGACCAGCTCTCCCCATGACCACTGTTCCACCCATTTCAACTTGGAGATACAGGCGCAGCTCCTGCCCATGGCATAGCATTCCATGCAAACGTCGTATGTATCCTCTTCGCCATTTGGTAACGTCTCGACACAAGCGGAGCAAGTGAGAAACCGGTTGAAAATATTGCCTCGGCAATAGGAACAGGTTATGTTGCTGTCGTAGGTGAGCCGCTCGACATTCTTCTCCGGCCGGTCGGGGAGAAAACTCTCGGAAACCAAGATCTCGGTGAAGAGGTGGTGCAATCTTCGAAAGTCCTTCTCCAGCTGTCGAACCTTCGCGTCGCTAGGCGACTTGTACTTGGATATCGTCGATTTCTGTCTGACCTTCTCCGCGGCCCGGAGAAGCTTGGAGTATTTCTGCATGGTGTAATAGACAATGGCCTTGTTCTTGTACTGTTCATCACGGCACACCAGCCTCGCACGGGGCAGTGCTACGTGCAATGCCGGCTCCAGAGTCTCCACGGTAGTTCTGTTCCATGCTACCTTCATTGTCCGTGTACCTCGGTTCCAGACCTGGTGCGGAGCGAGTGGTGGAATCAGGATAAAGTCGCCAGGCCGTTGCTCGACGACATATGTCTTGAATGGCGCATTTTTCCAGGCATTGATTTGCGCAAAATGGTTCTCGAGTTCAATGTCGTGGCCGAGCCTGGAGAGCCAGTATTCGGAAACAACCTCTCTCTCCTTGCTTTCCGTCATGAACCAAATGGAGGAGCCGGGTTTGGTGACCTTTCCATCCTCGACCCTACCAGTAGATGCTTCGACCATAATGTTCTGACCAAGACTGGCGCACATTTCGCGGTGGGCGGGGGTGTATGTGCCCTCGTGGCCGATATAACACATCAAGTTCTCCGCCCGCATCTCATTTGGCAAGCTGCTCATCAAGTCGCCGGCTTTCGCGATCCCCCGTCCTTTCCTCGTTCCAGGTCTGATGGGGTTATTCTCGTCGACGGCTCCGAACCCACCCACATCTCCCGTCGACTCGTTGAGGTAGAACAGGGCCAGGGGGATGATTTCAGACAATTTGTCGTGCCACAACTGCGGGCAATCGATGTCTTTCAGATACATACGCTGACGCTGGGGGTCTTTGTAATTTTGAGGAGTCCACTGGTTGGTGAGGAGCGCCATGTTGTTCAGATAGTGGCCAATAGACAAGGGAACGTTGGTCTTCTTGGTAAGGTCTCTTGCGTTTTCCACTGAACCAACCCATCGGTTAGCAAGAGATTTCGTATCCGGTCTTCGGTCTTCGCTATCTTACCTTTGGAACCACAGTTGTCACGCAGCCACTGGAGGGCAAATGTCCATGGGTCCAGGCGTTTTTCGTAACCCTCGATGACGAGTGGCTTGCCGCCGAGAATGACATGGATCAAGACCAACTTCTCGAAATTCTCCAGTCCCTGGTGATCGATCATATCACAGTGTATGCGCACAACCCACTCGAAGTTCGGCGTAGATTCGACGAGTGCTTTCAAATCGAAGTCTGGAGATATGGGCTCAAAGGCCGCCTGAGGTCGTGTTGACGGCATGATGTCGAGTCTTTGTAGGGTCCTTCTGCTCTTCCTGCGTCCCTGCATCCCTAGACGGCTTTCTCTTCCTAGCGAACGGTTTTAATATGTATCTCATCCTCGTCTGACGCTTTGCCGGGGTGGAGGTGAATGTCGCAAAGGGTGCGGGGCGACGTGAAGGAGGACTAGGCCTCGCCGGACAAGGACAAGGACGACTGAGACATGGCCAGGGGGACTTGATTCACAGTGAAGAGGAAGTGCGTGTAGGAGTAAAGAAGATTCGACCAACAGGTCAAAGTGAGGTGAGTGTGAACGCAGCGGCGGATAGTCGTAAGTCACTTGTAGGCGCAAATATTCGCAGATCGACTTGCGGTTGCGCGACGCGACTTTTGGACGGGGATGGAGAAGGTCCAGTAAGTACCACCACTGTCACTGGGCAATTTAATGACAGGGAAGAGGACTTCGGCAGAATCCGGGCTAGCCTGCAATAGGAAATACCGAGCAAGAGGAAAATGTTCCTCCCCCAGACAGCTTGGATGCACCCATACAGTCTATACGGGAGTACAGGAGCCTGGCATTAGACAGAAGCTGGCCTCTCGACGTCGTCTGATGTCGTGAGTCTTGCGATCTGACCAGACTCGAGTTGTTGCCATCTGCCAGAGTCGAGCCAACCATGTCCTACAACACCTCCTGACCAGCTTCAGCCTCGCCGACTACAGACTACAGCTTTATTTCACGCGTCAGCCTTGTCCATCTCGCGCTCGCAACCATGATACGAGCTCCAAGAGCGCTATGGAGCAAACCTGCATCCGCACAGAGCCGCTTGGGTGCGAGCTGCTACTCTTATAAGACATCACCGGTTGGTCGAATATACCTGCCTGGCTCGGCCTCAAAACCTACCTGGTCCAGTCAGAAGACTTTGCGCGGTCCATGGCCACGGTCGTATCTCGCAGCTAAACCGAGGTGGCTATCATCCTCAGCACCGGCTACACCGTCATCAGCTACCTCTCAGCAGGATCTACCCATCGTCTATACACCTCCTAGCACCGGCATCATCTCCAAACTGCCTCCTTCGTGGATTCCCTACGCCGAGCTGATCCGCCTCGACAAACCGGCTGGAACATACTATCTCTTCTTCCCGTGCATGTTTTCGACACTGCTTGCCGCGCCAATGGCGGTGCCAGTGGCATCCCCGGTCGAGGTCATCTCTACAACGGCACTGTTCTTCACCGGCGCGCTGATTATGCGAGGAGCCGGCTGTACCATTAATGATCTGTGGGACCGCAACCTGGACCCTCAGGTCGAACGGACACGGCTACGGCCGATTGCCCGAAAGGCGATTTCGGTGGAAAACGCAGTTGTCTATCTAGGGGCCCAGCTCCTTGCCGGGTTGACTCTTCTCTTGCAATTTCCGCTCCCATGTCTGTACTATGGTGTGCCGAGTCTGCTCCTGGTCGCGACTTATCCTTTGGCGAAGCGGGTGACGCATTATCCTCAATTCGTCCTCGGCCTGACTTTCTCATGGGGAGCCATCATGGGGTTTCCTGCATTGGGGATCGATCTCCTGTCAAATTCTGCCGCGCTGGCCGCCGCCGCCGCCCTGTATTCCAGCTGTGTGGCATGGACGCTGACTTATGACATGATCTATGCCTACATGGACATCAAAGACGACGCCAAAGCAGGCATCAAATCCATCGCCCAAGCACACCAGCATCATGCAAAGACCGCCCTTTCCCTCTTCTCGGCAACCCAGGTAGGGCTACTCGCAACGGCGGGATACTTCGCCGGGGCCGGCCCTGTCTTCTTCCTCGGGAGTTGCGGAGGCGCGGCGGTGACGCTGGCCACCATGATTCGGCGGGTGGACCTGAAAGACGTCAAGGATTGTTGGTGGTGGTTCAGGAACGGAGCCTCGCTCACAGGAGGAGCAATCTCTATCGGGTTGCTCGGGGACTACCTCTACCGCCGCGCAAAAGAGGAATCGAGGGATTCGGAACAGCCGATTCAGGCGTGAGCATGCCCATCTGTATCATCACTTTCCTCCGTTCACGTGTCGGCTGTCGTTTGTAGATCAAGCCCCAGGTGCACCTCGACGTAGTCAACAATCTGTTTCCAATCCATCATGGCACCGTCGCCTATATCTCCACAAGCCAGCTCTTTCTCCATCGGTCTCAGCACCGTGATCCATCCCTCCTCGCCCGTCCCCCACTCGCGTTCGAGGACATTGATCTGTTTCCTGGTGATCGGGTGCCGCCACATGGCGGTGTTCATCGCAGGCGCGACGAAGATCCTCTTCTTGCGCATGTCCACGAGTCCCGTCGTATCCCAGGCGCGAATCACGCTGAGCAATAGTCCATCGCTGATCCCATTGACCATTTTCGCAAGGGAGTTGGCGGAGAGAGGGGCCACGAGAAGGACATGCGCCCACCGCCTCAGCTCGATGTGTAGAATCTTGTCGCCTCGCACCCACGGCTTGGACCACTCCTCATCGTCCTGATGTATCCCATCGACGTTCGGCAGATCCAGGAGGGACTTCAGCCGGGGCTGTTCGGCCGACTGACCTTGAAGGAATTCTTCAGCGGAACCCGTGAGAACGATGCGGATGGACACCCGGTGGTGGCGCGACAATGCCGCTGCAATCTGCGGAATTTTGATCGTCGCCACTGAGCCACTGGCTGCAAGGAGAATGTGGTGTTTGCCGTCGTCTGCATAGGCAGCCGCAGAGAATCTCTCGGTCGAGGTGGTCATGGTATGCTGTTTGCTTCTACCAGGACGGATAGTGTCTGCAATTCTCTCCTTACGGGCGCCACAGGCAACGTACTCGACAGTGTCAAATGAGGCCTACAGGTCATGGGAACCAAAGAGGACACATTCATGACCACTGTGCGAGTAGTTGAACGTGCTGGAGCGATGAAGGGCAACATCTACGGTTGAGGCGAACCGGCGATCGTCAATTTGTCAACATTTGACATCATGCACTCGCTGGGATTACTACTATTACCTTAGTACTTTGCTCGGCCGGGTTCAATCTTATTGCCCTTGGATCCCTCTTCTTTCCATCCCTCACATCACACAGTCAAGATGTTCCAACGGTCACTTCGGACACCCGTGCGTCGCATCCCAGCATCTCTCTTTCAGTGTTCCCCTCCATGCTAACAATGCTTCAAACAGGCCCTGCGCGGAGCCCTTGCCGCCCTTAGACCAACCGCCACCTCGCACACTCTCCTGCCACGAATCGGCGCCTCTTTGTCACAAGCAAGACTCTTGTCCAATGAAGTACGTCAAGCCATAGACAGAGCTGTGGCATCGGCTCCCGTGGTGTTGTTCATGAAAGGCACGCCCGAAACGCCACAGTGTGGGTTCAGTCGGACGTCGATCCAGATCTTGGGTCTACAGGGCGTGGACCCGACTAAGTTCACGGCTTTCAATGTCCTCGAGGATGGAGAGCTGAGAAGCGGTACGTCCTAGCTCGCGAGACTCAAGACACCGAAACATCTTTCAGACTGGGATTACCGCCCTGCGCGAACAAGCACACTAACTGATTTCTTGTGCAGGTATCAAAGAATATTCCGACTGGCCAACGATCCCACAGCTATATGTAGACGGCGAATTCATTGGCGGCTGCGACATCCTAATCAACATGCACAAGGACGGCAGCCTGGCGCAGCTCCTGGCGGAGAAGAATGTGATCGTTGAGGAAGATGCCGAGCCAGAAACCGATGATGTTGAAGGCCAGAAGGCCCAAGAGACGCGCGAGACAACGGAGCAAAGTACGGGTGGCAGGTCGAAAGATGCAAAGGGCGAGAGCTCGTGAGGAATGACCGCGTGTCCGATTCAAGGGCAGAGGCAGTAAACACCGCCGCCCAAATCATACGACGAGCAGGGCTCTGCCCGGAACAGCTGATGGTCTGCTCGGTTTCTGAAACAGGCATTTAATTCGCAAAAAGATATCTCAAAACGATTATCTCGTGTACCAAAAGGTCTCTTTTCTAGTTAATCCTATCTCAAGAGACAAGGTATTGTAACTATCAGTCGTGAAGTCGCGATTTTGTTCATGTTCTCTCACTGCGTCTGATCATTCGTGGTGAGGTTGGCTAGCCACCTACTTCACTGGAAGCTTTCACAAGCTAGAAGACTCTCGCTCATCCTGTTTCCGACTCCGAGACGTGAAACGCACAACCCAAAACCCAAAACCTTGAAAAGCAGACCGTTCATTCAAATCTTCTCCTCCTCCACAACAACACCCCACTCATGCTGTTGGCTGCCATACATGATATCTTTCAAGGCCTGTCTGATCGCCCGAGCAAAGTCGGCAGTGACTCCCTTGGCAAGGGGGAGCGAGACATCGACACCGCGGAAATGGATGTCGGAGCAGGGCGAGATGAAGAAGGCGGTGCCGGCGCCGAACGCCTCGATCAAGCGGCCTTGGTCAGCAGCCTGGACGATTTCGTGCATGGTGAACTTCCTCTCGACGACGTCGACGTCGGGCCTGGTGCGACGCACGAGATCCAGGACGCTGGCGCGTGTCACGCCCTCGAGGATGACGCCGTCGCCAAGCGGGGCGGTGATGAGTTCCGTGCGGCCTTGGGCCGTCTTCCACAAAACGAAGAAGTTGCTCCCTCCGGCTTCGGTGACGAAACACTCGTCGCCAAAGAGCCACAGGATCTGATCGTAGCCACGGGCTCGAGCTTCGCCTTGGGCCACCAGCGTCGGCCCGTAGTTGGCGCCAACTTTGGCGCTCCCAAACCCGCCGGGCCACGCGCGGATCATGTCGTGTCGGGACGCAAGGAGGCGCATGCCTGCTGCAGCCAGACGCTTCGCTTCTGGCGCCTGGCCGGATCCGGTTCCGGCTGAAGCGGTCACACTCGGAGGTACGGCAGACGGGTCGCCCAGAGACGGCATCATGACCATCATGACATAGAGCAGTGCTTCACGAGGCCTCTGGATGCCTATGGCCGGCGCGGTGGCAATCATCGTCGGTCTGAGGTAGATGAACTGTCCGGGCTCCGAGACCCATTTGGGAGCTTCAACACCAACAAACTTCTTCAGGAGCTTCAAGAATTCTTCGGGCGGGAAGCCTGGGAGCGCGATCCGAGTGGCCGACTGGAGAAATCGCCTCGCGTTCCTTTCGGGGCGGAACAATCGTACCTTGCCATCAAAGCCTCTGTATGCTTTCATTCCTTCGAAGCACTCGGTAGCGTAGTGGAAGACAGAGGCGGTTGGCATGAGGGAAAGTGGTCCATACGGTCGAATCTCAGGCGCCTCCCACCCCGATTGCTCGGTCCAACGCACCGTGAGCATATGATCGCTCGTGTAGTTCTGACTCCATACTTCCGGTGAATTTGGGGCTACCACGTTTTTGGGGCTCAAGTTCCTGGTGAAGATGAGTTTCGAGGCATCCAGATCAGCAACGGCTGGCGAGCCGTTCGAAATGGTCTTTGAAAGGATGGTCTCCGCGCCGGCTTTTGTCAACTTGGATGTGTTGTCCAACGTGGGCGAAGGGGGAGAGAGGGGAGTGACTGCTATTGGAGCCATTGAGCACAGTGCCAATGGTTTTGGGAAGAGTAAATCTAGTTCTCCAAGAAGTCGTGAAGCAAAGATTGTGAAGATCGAGAAGAGACAAACAAACCTGTACTCTGTACCTTGACTCATATATATCAGGAGGACCTGGGACAACGGTGACTGATTTTGTGGGTATGTGTCGCTGAAGGATGCCTTAGTGTCCGTGCAAGGCCATATCCGACATGGGATCCAATATTGTTTGACCAGTGAGGCACGCCTCAATCAATGCCCTCACCTTCGAACCGGCTCTAGAAGCTCTGCGCCCTTAAGGGTACATGTTGTATCAAGGGGCCTCATTCGTTACGTGAAATGCCGGCCGCGGACCGTTAGAATGGCTAAGGCGTTTCGTACATGACGTATGCCAGGAGTGCTTGCATGGTCGCGAATAAATCTCGAAAGGGAAGATTTCTTAGCCTTGCCACAGATAACAGAATGCCCTCTTTGCCAGATATCGACTCAATTGACCTATCGTAATGGCAAGGTTCCGTTTAGGAGGCAAAAAGAAAAAAACTTGTTCGAAGCTTTCACTCGGAGAAACCCACCCAGATCCCTCGACTGACTGCATGGGGGATACCACACACGGCTATTCACGGCTGCTGAACTTTCAAAGTTGATGACTGTCTCCTGAGCCACTTCCAGCCTCTTCTCCTGTGACAATCTGCAGTACTCAGGTCAGCTGGTTCACAGGGTAATCTCACCGCCAATGCGGCACGAGATTTGTCCTATCATAGGAGGACTCACCCTTCCGACATCGTTCCGTTCCCGCTCAGGTGACCGGCAACGCCATGGAGCTCCGTCCCTCACAGAGCTGCCAGCATTTCGATGTGTTGGTGAAGCCCTTTGAAGAGTTTGTTCTTTTGAATGGTGTATTGCTGCAAGCAGGAGTGAGATCCTAGCCGCCATTGGAGAATTACCCAAGCGCTCACCTGTTGCATCTCCGTCATTGTCTTCTTGGTCCTAGAGCTGATCTGATTCATGCTCGCTTCGAACCGTTGAAGGTCTCCCTCCAAGGATTCGCGGAGGTTGTACATCTGTCCATGCGATCCGGGAACACGCTCCAGTACCTTCTGCAGCTTTTCCTTCTGACCTGGTTTCATATCTTCATCCCTCGTTTGGGCGAAGGTCATTGACTCTTGACCAAACACTTCTGCAGCCAGGCCGATGAGTTCGAATTGTACATCTTCCCATTCTTCCCAAAGTCTGCACAGTGCGCGTTCATTTTCTCCCCGCAACTTCCGAAACCCCTCGATCTGATTGCGGAGTAAGACTTCTTGTACTCCTTGATGTCCCTCAGCATTTTCCGGAATGGGCTTGACTTGCACATTTAAGGTCTCTGCGATGAATGGTCTTTGCAAGGGCTCTTCGACGTTGGTGAGGCTTCTGAAGTGCCCTTCAAACTTGATGGTAAGATCGTCAATACTGGCGGTGAACCTGTTTTGGATGTCTTGGAGATCCTGGTTCACTTGCACGTTAACGGTGTCTCGATACTGCTCAAGGCTCGCTGTGAAGAGTCAGTCTCAAGCCAGGCTTCACGCGCATGGTATCCTTCCTGAGAAATTATCGGCAAGCATTGAGCGAGGAGGCTGGTCTTTGGTGATGCTGTTTCGAGATTTCGAGATTCGAGATGTGGTCCGACTGCCAGAGTCACGGCTTTGTCGTGGTCGAAGGTGGTTTGCAACGGATGTTGATTCAAGGTGAACGGTGTGGAGGCCAGGTTCATGGGATCGAAAAGACTTTGCTTGCAACAAGGCATGAGGTCTTCTGTCGGTAGAAGCCATGACGGAGAACGTAAAGTTCCAGATATGTACAAGTGATGTGCAGCAGGTGGTTGCCGGCCTCAGGTAAATTGATGTGATGGGTATTTGGAGAGAGAATGCAGATGCTGGTTGTCTACTACACCATCCATCGGCCCGCTACACGAAATCCGTTTCTCAGAAGTCGGTCTTTAGTTCTGCATTGTATTTTTCAAGTCTACTAATTAGTGGTCCATAGAAGCCTCCTCCCATCTCCAAGGACCGTCTCAGTATGAGTCGACTTCAGTTTGCTTACTTCTGTGCTATAATCGGTATGGCCTGCCCCTACGTTCTCAGGGTGGTCGGATGACACCGCTACAGGGATCATACGCGCACGCGGCTCTCTGGGTACTACTTACAACGATCGAACATTGACGGTGTCGCACCCAATTGACGCACGTTTTGATGCGAGGGGCATCCCAGACTGTCTGCAATGGGGAAACCTGCCCTGCGTCAGCCAAGATTGTCCCTTGCTGCCTGCGCCCTGGCGGTACAAAGGTGAACGCAATCTACCATCACTGATTGGTCTATCGAGGCGATCTCGACTCCAGGTGTCAGGCTACTGGGGACTAGAAACCTGCTGTTCTCCAACATGGTCAACCTTTGACGATCTTCCCAGGCCAGAGGCCAGGATGCTGGATGGACACGCGGGACTGGCCAACCATGACGTCGCCATCATACCTTGGACGATCAAGAAAGCAACCTGGTAGATGACCTTCCTCCAAGAGAGTGTTATTGATAAAAGCAGGTCTTACCCTCCAGAACACTCTACCCCATATCTCACCCATAAAACATCCACTGCGATAAAATCTCCCTCAAGTACTATCGAAAGAACTCTATCAGACTACAACACTTGCCAAAATGGTTCTCGGAAGAAAAACTCGTCATCACCCCGGTGGTACAACTGTCACTACCACCACCACCACAACTCATCATCCGGGCTCAGCAGGAACACCTGCCAGAGGTAGAGCTGTGGGCACTAAGCCAACTCTGATGCAACGGCTGCGTGGCAGAACAGCGCCTCGAGCGCCGGCCACGACAGCTCGACCAGCCCGACGAAGTCGGTTCGGCGGCGGTACTCGGACCACACGAGCAGCCCCAACCACCACGCCTCGCCGCAAGACCAGTATGAGCGACAAAGTGTCGGGCGCCATGCTCAAGCTCCGTGGCACGCTGACTCGTCGCCCTGGACAAAAGGCAGCAGGAACCAGGCGAATGCATGGGACTGATGGGAGGGGGACCCGAAGATACTACTAGGCCTCCGTCCGAAACCAGGTCTCGTGGCAAAGAGCGGACATGGGTTCAAACCTTGCGGTCTCAGTGGAGAGATAGGGAGCGATATCTAACACTAGCCAATCTGTTTTGAACGGTCGACTCTCCGGCGTCGAAGCACATCTCTATGCTGCATCTGGAGAGTACTGCGGTCGACCTTGAGAGGCGGCTTGATGGGATATTGTATGATCATGATGATGCAAGAAAGTAGTGTGATACCCGAAGTATTGTTGTATGAATGAATCGAATGAATTTTTACATTGACGGATGTTAAGTCATTGTTTTGTGCTTTCTCTGCTTTGGACCTGGTACAAGAATATACCTTCTCGTTGATCTGCCTCTCGCCCAGTATATGCGATCTGTTCAACGACGAATTTCTTCATCATGTCGCGGATGAAGCGCATATCTGCCTTCCGCCGTTTCTTGAAGCAAAAGTAGCATGTCGTCGAAGGGCCTATGAGGTCTTCTAGTGTTTGGAGTAGGAGAGGAAACGCGGGCTCAAAATAGACGCAGTCAGCCGCCAGAAGGATATCAGGGTGCTCTGTTCCGCTGTGTAGGATGGTCGAAGGTGGAGGCGTGCCCCAGTCGTAGATTTCGGCGCCTACCCTCCCCTCCAGATTGTTTAAAGCAATATTCTTCTCCATCAGCGCAAGCATCGGTAACTGGTCTGTGATCCAGATCTTTGTATCAACCTGGCAGCCCAGGGCCACAGCTAGCCCGACCAAACCTCCACCAGCGCCAATCTCGATGATGGACTTGCCTAGCAGAGATCGCACCTTATGGTAGGTAAGCATGTATCTCGCCAGGACCATCCCCGCGGGCCACAGTTGGCCGCCGCATCCTTCTTGGAGGTCTTCGTGGAGGAGGAGAGGAGAGTCGCTGGGCAGGAGGTTGTCGAAAGTTAGTCTGGTGGTTGTAGCAGGTTTGTTGGCCCGTTCAGGGACTAGGGCGGTGGATATGGAGAATATGTCGTTCTCAGGAGAGGAAGAGCGTGAGGACGGCATTGCTGAAGACTTGGTCGATGCTGAAGTCGGCGATAACTAATTACCAAATTTTTACCTCATTATCCATTTGTGCGTTTGGGAAGAGTTGACAGAAGCAGATTGTCTGTAGCAGCGCAGTCGACCAAAAGAAGGAGTGAATCTCAACTGAATCCTGAACGCCTGTTCACGATTAGGTGGAAGATAGCCGAGTCTTCTAATTGTGGGAATCTGCAAAAATAGTGTTGCAGGAGGCTGCTGATACGAGGCCACACTAAAGACTCTGTCGCTAAAGATGATTGGGAGAGACTGGGCGGGTACAGAATCCGGGGTAGGCTTAGGTAGATACGTGTATCAGGGGAAGATACCTCGTCCCTGAGGCTATTCTGAGGCGAACCCGAGAACTGTATTCCCTACCTAGAGAGTAGATTCAGGATTGAGGCCGTCTGTGGTCAGCTAGGTAGATACTGGAGTACCTTACTCGAAGTCGCCGTGACCCTGGCATCATTTTGCACCGGGGAAACGAAATTGCGAAATCGGCCAATCCCGCTGCGGGAACGAGAAGGTTCCTCGCTCAACAAACGTCAGATGGCCAGTTTCGTCCATCGGCACTGACATCATAATAGGTCTCCACAAAGCAGCTGTCATTACATTGTAAGACGCCGCTTGTCTTCCGAGGTTTGCCGATACCTGGGCGAAGGACGTCCCGTTGAATCTTGACATTACACCTGCCCGTCTCCACGTGTCGTCATTGTTTGCGTCGTTGGCCAGCTTTCACCAAGAACAGCTGCCACCATCGAGTTGCAAAGCCACCTCGGGAACCGCACCAGCTGTCCTCTTCCCGCATATAACCTCCAGCCGGGAATTGGTTGCCTTTCAATTCTCCTTCTCTTCCATCACACACTCAGTCTACAAACCACCAGACCTTCAATCAATCACCATCACTTCATTGTCAAAGACCTTTCATCTCCTCCCACAGAACCACTTCTTCACAATGGCCACACTACACTGTACGTCCAGTATACTCCCTTGTTTCCCGATTCCCCGTACCTCTTGCTACGTCACCTTGAAGCTCAAAATCTACCTCACCTCACCTGTTTCATTCCTTCAGAGCCATACAACTAACATCGCCTCTCTTTAGATCTCCCACCCGTCAAGCCTTCTGCGATTGCCCTAGGCGTTGTCTTCAACCAGATCTCCGGCGCTGGCGTGTTGGCTCCCCTGTTCGGCGATGTCTATCACCGTGCCAAGGCTGCTGACAGTAAGGAAGAGTTCTTCAAGTCAAAGGAGACCGCTACTGCCGCTGCCAGCTGGGGTAGCTCCATTCTCGGCTCTGCTGTCCAGACCTATGGTGTTGCAGCTTTGATCAACGCCACTGGTACGCTGAGCTACAAGGGTGCTGCTTATTTGGGAAGCTTGATCTTTGCCGCTTCGTACAGCCCGTCGGTATGTTGTGTCCTGACCTGACTACAATGAGAGATTGGAACTAACATTGACTGATGCAGCTCATCTCCGCCCTCGTCGTCGAGAAGCGACCTGTTGACACCGTTGCCGTGGGAGTTCTTGCTCGTCTTCTGGAAACCGTCGGCCTCAGCGTGTTCCTCACCTACTGGGGTACCCGCACCAACCCATTTGACTAGATCAATTGCTATCCAATATTCCTGAAAACCAAGCAAGGATGGAAGTGAGAGGCGGATATGCAGGTGAAGGGCGAGGTGAAGAGGAACGTTGCTGATGGGAAAGAGTACATCAAGCACGGGAGTTGGACATGGGGAATTCCAAACTCATCTTTGTATCCATAAAATCCTCGAATAAGTTGCCAGGAGGTGTTCTCGTGTAGGCGCGAAACTGCCGCCCCAGATCGGCACGATTTCATCTACCAATAAACGATGGGCTACAATTGTCTCCCTGATAATTATTGGACTCATTGCAAAACACTGCTTGAATTGTGCATAAACTCTACTGATGATGTATTGAGCGATACTGCTGCCATTGAAGCTCGTCCAGCTTGTGTGCCGTGGTGCAGTTAGTCCTGCTTCTTGCATAGCTTGTTTCAATGTTGCTAGCTAACAGCACCCCTATCCGTGATGTACAAAGTTCCATGTGAGACCCTTTCCATGCTGGCTCATCTGGACTGCAAAACATTGCAAGATTCGATCCTGTGAGGCCGACCTGTGCCCTGTAAAAGGTTTGGTGACTCGAATCCTCCTTCTCGTCCATCATTCCGCACTGAGCCGCCATGACATGGTCAGCATTGATCGTGCTCCAGTCATTCGATCATCTAAATCGCCCTGTGTTCCTTCTCAACAGCAGCTTCCAACCCACCAAGTAAATCCACTTCTCCTCCAGCTTGTGCTTGCTCTTCTGCAGCTTCTTGTTGTGGTTCTTGTGGTTCTTGTGGTTCGCTTGTTTGCGTTGGTGTTGGTGCTTGTTGTGGCTGTGCCTCATCAGTCAGATGGGTATCGTCTGCAATAGTATGTGTGGTTGCTTGGGTGGTTTGGTCCTGAGCTTCTGTTTGCTCGGCTTGTTCGAATGTCGGCGACACTGCGTCTTCAGTTCTGACGGCTTCGGGGGTTGGCACTGAGACCGCTGTGGCCTGCGGGTCGTGCTCAGGAATTGGTACTTGCTCAAGTACAAGTTCGGGTTCGGGTTCGACAGTCATTGCTGTGTTATCAGATACGTTTGCGTCTGCATTGGCTTCAATTTCGGCCATGGCAGGTGGAGGCGGCAATGCAGTCTCTGTGACTGGTGTCTCGGTGGTCGAGGTAACCTCTAGTTGTAATTCTGGTTGTGTCTCTTCGGGCACTGCTATCGGCGTCGCCGCTTGTTGTCTAACGGTCTCTGCCTGAAGGGTTTGTGCACTTGATAGTACCTCGGAAGATATGGCGTGGTGCATCTCAGTGTCTGTCATATCCGATTGTGCCGTAATGTCTGCAGATTCATCTCGTGACTCAACCTCTGTTTGGCTAGCTTGTGTTTGTGTTTGGGTGGGATCGGTGTCGCCTAAAAGGTTTGTAGTTTGTGCCGTAGCTTGAGATGGTTCTTTTTCAGCTTCCTCGATTTCCCCTTCCTCACTGCCTTCGCCTTCGCTCTCACTTCCCGAATCTTCGGGGTCTCCTGCAGGATGTTTGTCTTCTTGACCATCTTTTGTGGCCGGCTGAATGTTATCTCCCGTAGGAGTATCAGTCATGGTGACATCTTCTAGTGCCACAGCAGGGGCAGTGCCTCCAGCGGGTGTTGGGTTTGCCTTTCTGCGTCCTGGACCGCCGAGCTTCTTCTTCTTACGCTTCGGAGGCATGTTTCTTCTGACCGGTGTTGATTCTGGTGCAGGTTTTGTAGAGCCGAGTACGCCCGACGCACTTCCTAACCCTGAGCCATCTCCTAAGTCATAGCCGACGGCACCAGACACAGCGGCGGGATTGATTCCCAGCGTTCCGAACCCGTTTGTCGCTTTGTATGCTCCTCCGTAGAGGCTCTCCATACCAGGTCGGCGGTCAGCAAGGTATTTTGGTTCTGGCAGTTTTTCGGCAAGAGCTGAATCAATTGGCGCCCATTTCTTGATTTCGATGACTCTTTCAGGCACTCCAGTGTTGGTTTTTCTCCGCTTTGTAGGTAAGCCATCGGCGTCAAACAGGTCGTCGTTGTCCTCTTCATTGTCATTTTCCTCATGCGAGTTCGGCGAATCAGGAACGGTCAAGAGGTGTTTTGATTTGAGGCGGGCATTCCTAGCTTCGACTTCGCTGCCTGGGATCCACGAATTTGTCTTTCGGTCCCACTCTGATGGCGTGACATTGGTATTGCCCATACGGGCTCTTCGGAGGAGTTCCTAAGGACGGGCTTCACGTTAGCATGCACTAAGTTGGACGTTGATCATGAATGTGTCTTTGAAAGAAACAAAGGGCGGCCGTCCATAAGCCATCGAACAGACAGAGTTGTCCGGGACCAGGCAGCAGTAGCCTCTGGATTGATGCAAAGAATGGAATCGCGGTGCTCACCTGTGAATGTGGGGGAAGTTGGGAGGAAAAAGAGGGCAATGGGTGCTCTGGCCATGGGAAGTTGCCGGTGCTATTCTGGGCACCTTGGCTGGTACCGTCGGTGGGATCGGTCGAGGCATCTTGGCTGACTCGGGCAGTGATTCTCTCCCACTTGCGCACTGGCAGGCCCTCGGTCGGGTCCCAGTCGATGGCTCCAGCTCGGTTCCGGGCGGCCACGTTGTGTTCTTGGTGCCTCGTCGAGCGGGAGGAACGGAGCTGCCTTCTGTTAGAGGCGGTGTTTTCAATTGGCCGATTCTGGCCCAGAAACAGAAGAAGAAAAGTCGCCCGAAGGCCCAGGAACAGAAGAGTCTTCACCACCCCCCTGGGCCTGAATGGGTTCATTGGCAGCCTCGGGATGCGCAATGAAGAGGTTTGTCTCAGGGCCAGGGGGAGCTTGAGGGGCGGGAGGGACGGGAGGGAGAGAGGAAGAAGAAAACCCAAGGTGGGCGGCGACAGCGTCGCTAAGGGAGGCGACGTCCCTCGGGAGAGGAAGTCCAAGCAACCAAGAACCAAAAACGATAAAAGCAGCTTCACCTGCGCTGCCCACGGGAGGGACACCCAGCTGAAAGTTCCCTAAAACGACACCACCTTGACCGCCCCCAACGGGAATGGCAGGTTGAGTACTAGCGACAGGCGCCGGAGCAACCTGTGCGTTCCCCGCGCCACCATTCCCTCCCTGGCCCTGACGGATCCAACTGGGGTCGCGAGTGCGACCACCAGTAAGGGTGGGATGGCGGTCTCGAAAGTGCCGATATAGGGTTCTCGGAGCCAAGTAGTCCCTCCCGCAGACAGCACAGTGAAACGAATTGCCAGAGGTGGCTCCAATACGGCGAGGCATGGTTGTTGTTGTTGCTGCTGCTGCTGTTGCTGCTGCTGTTGCTGCTGCTGTTGCTGTTGCTGTTGCAGGTTTTTTTGGGGTAAAGTTGAAGTGAAATTTGGTAGTGTATGTTGTGGAAATGAGGTTGAGGCGAGCCGGGCAGGCAGTCCGGTGGGCGACGACGCCATGTGACTCCCAACGCATCAAACCCGGGGCGACGACATGTGATTTCAGATGAATTGCATCCGGGACGACAAAAAAACGTTGATCTTGCAACTTTTGCGACAACCTCAGGCTGACCTTGAGGAAATTCACGTACCGGTGCCATGACGGTGAGCTTGTCTCTCCTTTCCTCCAGGATACTCTCGATGCGTGTTTCAGAAGGTTCTGATCTCTAGGACAGTGTTTGATATGATGCTGAAGGGCAGACACAGGGGTTGTGCTACCGATCTGTTGATGCAAGTGTAGGTTGTTGATGAAGTTACAATGACAGGTTTCTACGCGTCTGAAGATGATAATCATCCAGGTCTACAAACAGAAGGTGTAGCGAGAGCCAAGCATCACTCCGTACGCTAATAGCGGGAGTAGCCGCTCGGACCGGATCAACATTTCTCCGAGATGGAGATGGGAAGGGCGAACAGGGCTAGACAACAGCACCAGACAACAGGGTCAGACAACAGGGACAAGACGAACAAAAAGAATCACAGGCCAGACCTACGAAAGTCACACAAACTGTCCAGACACAAAAGGGGGAGAGGCCAGAGCTTCATTGGTATCAGACTGTGAGTGCCACATTGACAGGAGTGTCTATCTAAGTATTAACAAGGAGTACTATACACAAGTTGGTGACAATGTCGACACAGCATGGTTGAGACATCAGTCCCATCTGCAGGAATGATAGTTAGTAGGCTGATCGACCAGGGCAGCAACAAGGAAGATCATACCCGGTATCTTTTTGTCGTACCACTCCACCACGACCTCCAGTCTCCTTGCCCTGCAAGAGATGTTAGACAAGGGCCCAAAAGCAGGGGGGTTGATGTGGAAGGACAAGAATCGAGGGTCATACCGATGCTCCGCCTTCCACTACCAGCCTGTCCAGCTGGTACATCTGGGATATGACGGTTTGTCGCTGGAAGTATAGGTCAGCTATTTTGTTGTCGGACATAAAATCGCGCGGATGGCTTTGCAAGAGCCGATCGATTGCGGCGCCTCAATTCAACTGAATTCATGCAAGAAGCAAGGTCCATGGACCCGAAATGCAACCAACTGCAACTCACCTTCATGACCTGCAGCTCCTTCAGCCCTTTCTGCACCAACTCTTGTATCCGTCTAGCATCCTGTTCATGCTGATACTCGTGAAAAGCATCTCTCGTCCTCCTCCTAGCATATTTTCGGAAATTATAGTTCGCGAATTGATTCGACGTGCGCAACAGTGACCGATACAGCGACCGCACAGTAGATGCAGACGTGTCGGCTGCGGTAGCCAGGGCCGCGGAGGCCATGCCCAGCAGATGCGGGAGGGTGATCTCGGAATAGGCCCGGGGCAGAGTCAGACGATCTGTGGGGAGAGCGCCAGACACAGAGACGTGTGCGGAGTGTTCGCTGGAGGCAATGTGTAATGCGGTGGTATCACTTCGTGGTGGTGGCGTGATATATAGCAAGACTTGAGAGTTGCCAACGGGTGAGCTCGTGTTGCAGGATGCGGGTGGACTTTATCTACCAGCGCAGATCCGGTCCTTGGGCCTCGAGGAATATCCGCCTGCGCCTTGAGAAGAGGGAACAGGGAACAGAAAGCCAGACTCGATATTCGTGAACACAAATATGAAAGGATCTTGAAAGAAGCGGAAAGATGGCTATAGCAGCCAGGCAGCTTTGCAAACATTATTCGCAGCGGCGATTATTTGCTATCGTTGCGTCAATGTCTGCGCTCGGCGTAATGGCCTGGAATCCCCGATACGACCGAGCTATACGAACTCCAACGACTACCACTCCTATCCGTACTACCTATACCACTCAACATCTGGATTGCAATTCAGTATTGTGCCACGCAGTTGTCGAAGCCGACAGTTACACGAAGCCGATCCTTGACATGCACAGCGGAGGATCCTGGTTTGCACGACTGATGTTCTATGAGCTTTCACTCTGAATGGCAATAGCAGAATCCGCCAGCTAAGCCGTGCATCCATGGCACCATCCCTATCCCTCCCATCCCCTGCTTCGAGTCCCCCGCCCAGCCTTGAGGACGATACCGAAACTAGGGCAGAAACAACAGAAGGCGACACCCACAAACTACAGTCTAGTCGGATCGATATCGAAACAGACCACGAGGATGACAAGCGGCTCTCTAAAAGACTGGACGCTCTTCTGGAATCTTACCTGACCTTGCTAGACACATACACCAGGCTCCGCGAGCAATTGTCCAAGGGCTTTGCCTCCGGCTTCTTGGCACTAGCACAGGCAAACAGAAACTCCGCCCTTGGTCCAGGCAGGCGGTATGGGGAAGAAGGATACGACAAGCGCATGAAAGCGCTGAAGAGACTGCAGATTAACCAAGACGTTGGCTTGGGGGATAATGACGTCGTGGGAACCGCAAAACCGACAGGAACGGGGCACGACAGGCAGGATTCCAAGATTACAATCATGGAAATCGAGAAGAGCAAGCGAACCTGCACCGCCGGCGACGAATTAGAAGAAACTGGTGACTCTGCAGAGCAACATCTTCATGGTTCAGGAACCAAAGGAACCCAAGGGCTGAAGGTAGACTTGACGACGAGAAATCAAGAGCAAGAGCTTGCTCATGCAGAACGAACGCTGAATCCCGAACCGACGACTGCAGGTGAAGCTGAGAAGCAGGTAGAAGGAGCCGAGGCCAAACATGACAATCGCAGCCAGGATTCAACCTCAGCCTCAGTCTCAACCTCCACCTCCGCATCCACATCCACCTCCATACACCATGCGTCTCACCTTGACCCTATCCCTATTCCTTCCAAGGCGCCGAGTGACACCCTCAGAGGTTCACGTAAATCTTCATCGGACGACACGCACTGCACTCACTTCTCTTACTCAATCACGCTCACGCCCCCATCCGCATCTGACGAGAAGCCTACACCTGTACCCGAGGAGCTCTCGTCGACACCTCCACCCAAGGCAAATCCCAAAGATCCGCTGAAATGGTACGGTATCCTCGTCCCGCCCGCCCTGCGACAGTGTCAAGGCCACTTCCAATCCTCAGTGGACTTGACCGTCCCTGATCTGTTGTCGACGGTCTCTGCACTCGACAGTCTCGAGCGCGAAATATGGCAAGTGCGGTGTGAGTTGGGATTGCTCGACTTGTACAACTACGATTACGATTATGATTACGACCATCTTGCCCAAAACGATTGCATCACGACAGCCACGAATAGTTCACTACTAGGGGGCAAGTTCCGTTCTGAAAATGATTCTGAAATTCCGGCCTCCCCACCATCAGTATCCTTTGGCAGCGACCAGCTTCGACCCGAGAAGTATCGTGGAACTTCCAACTCAAGGCCTGACTTCCAGACATCACCAAAGAGGCAGTCCCTGTTTTCGCCTACAACTTCGGCGTCTGAACCACGGTCGCGGGTTCTGAAGCTCGGTTGACCTACAGGGTGTATGGCAGCTGCTGTTGGCATGGTCTGCCTAGAGTTCTCGAAAAGGTGATGATAAGACTCCAAATGTAATATAATGTACACTAGAAGTTTGGGTGAATGTAGCTTGTCCTGATGGCTTCGGCTTCTGTGCCTTGAAAAAAGCCGTAGGACAACCTTCACAACCATGCCTGATGGGCGGGAGCCTACATCAACATATTACGTATCACAAGATACATATATCAACCCTTTTTGTCTCTCCCTTCAAAGGCTAGTTTATCAAACAATACTCGATGTCGGAATGAGTGAAATGATCAATTCTCCATCTGCCCGTCGTCCTGTAGAGCTGTACCTCCTTCGGTAATTCTTGAAATACCTTCTATTCCATCGTGCTCGTGCGCCATGGCCATGTCCTGCACCGGAGGCTCGTCCTGGAATTCCACTTCGGCCTGCTGAGACCTCACGTCTTCCTTGGTGACTGGCGAACTCACAATGTGTCTTGCGGCTGGACTTCGTACGACCTCTTCTAGGTCGTCATCCCAATAACTCGGCCGTCTTTTCTTTCTTCTTCCCGAAGGTCGGGCTCCTTTTCGCCAGGCCACAACATTTGGGCTAAGTTCTGTGATACTCCTGTCCAGTTCGCTGGCTGCGTCCGGTGCGGATGCGCCATAAAGACTCATGCGGATGGCTGCCCTCGTCTCGTCATCAACTGCAATGACATCCTCGCCTTCTTCCAATTTGAGTTTTGGGTCCAGCGGATGTCCCGTATCGGCTCTGTCCTCTAGTACACCGATGGCAGTTGTTTCGACCTCCCGTGAGCGCTTTCTTGGGTGTGCAGGTAGAATCGAATCTGCGAAGGATCTTGGGGGACTGCTGCGGAATCTTTGGGCGTCCGGTAGACGCACTAGCCTCGAGTGGTTAGATCGACTGGAGGGTCTCGGTCCATAAGCAGGCATGCCGTAATATTTGCCGACACCACGAGCACTGGCAAGGGCGACAATGCCATTCTTTCGAAACCTGGTGGGAGGCCTGGCGAGGGGCGTTAAGGTGTCGGTCCTGTATGAGTCTCGTATCCTTGAATCAGGAGCCGGGTCCTGTCCGACGACTTTGGCAGCCGCTGTTGAGAAAGGATACATCGCCGGGCCTGAAGGTCGGAGAGTTTGTGGGCCCTCCTTCGCATGGGACCAACCAGGCTGGAAGTGTTCGGTAGTGCCAGACGGGTAGTCCCGGTTCATCTGTTCGTGCTGGTGAAGCGGATGTCGACGATGGCTGAGGTGGGGTGCACCATGCCATGCATCACGAGAAGGTGGCCTCATTTGTCTGGGTGACACTGGAGGCGATTGAACCTTCAACATCGGCATCGGACTACCGGTTGCTGTGGCCCGGTTGAAGGGCAGCGAAGGCTGGGCCATTCCTGAATGGGGCGAGTGCTGATGGTGGTGATAATGATGCATGTTAGGGGCTCGAGTAATGGTATTGTGACCAAATGGGATTTGCTTACCCGCGCCGTAGTGCACCCCTGGATCGGGGCACAAAACCACCGGCCCACGTTCATGAAGCAAAGGATCGGGGCATGGAGTGACAACGGGTTCCTGGGACTCCCGGGACCTTGTAGAAGACACTTCTCCGTCACTACCTTTGTGAGTGGGAGGCTTGGGAAACAGATTGCTCAACATCCCACGCCTAACCTTTGCCGAGTCTGCCGCAGCCTTTGCAGGAGCAGAGAGAATAATTGCCCTCTTTGTCTCTGGAGATGGCTGTCCACACATTACCAGATCCCTGGAGCGTCGGTTGAGATGACTGACAATGGGCGACTCATCTGCGAGATCAATGTCCATATTATCGTCGCCGCTCACTCGTAACTCTGTTAATGGTCCCTCTAGAGCAGCGGCAGACAAGGAGGAGGAATCATCTTGTTCTTCAGCATGGTGATTCGAGGTTGGCTGGCCTGTGGGCGATGTCGACATTGCTCTTACTTCTTCTTCTTCTTCTTCTTCTGGGTGAGGACTGCTGTTAGGACTGTCAACAGGCGAGGTGAAGCCGCTACTTGGTGGCTCCGCAACCAACAATTTACTGTGGTTCGCGCTGACCGAAAGTAATTTAGGTAGTTGCGGCGAGCTATCAGGAAAAGGCTCCCTGACATCGACATCGAATCCGGCGAGTAACCGTGGAGCCCGAGAATAACGCCATTCATCAGAGGGAGTCCCCGAATCTTGCCCCTCGGACTCGACAAGGCTATCAGTACCACCAGCACTGCCATCTTCGGAACTCGTCGGAAGCCTCGAGTCGATGGTACCGGTTGGTGAGGTAGCATACCGAACGTCAAGCCGCAGAGTCGCTTTTGCAGTTTGAAAGAGTCTTTGCATCTGTGCAACGTGCCCTGGCATGGCAGTCGATCTTGTCAGTGGCGAAGCTAGCCTCTTGCGGCCGGTTTTGGACTGCGAAGGCCCGGCGTCGGGCTGTAGAATTTCGGAGGAGTTTGAAGAATTGCCTCGGGGAGTTTTGGGAGAATGCGTATGCTGTAGGACCTTGTTGAAGAACAAGGATGATCGCCGTCGAGGAGGATCGAATGGTGCTGAACGGGTCCCGAAATTAGTATGCAGGCTCCCTTAGATTCAAAGGCAAAGTGACACAGATCTGACTCCCACTCACGCTTTGGAGCTCCCGGGAGATGGCCCGATGGGTCAGACTTGCCGGAAGAATTGGTCGAAGGAATTGAGCCAGGAGAATGCTCCATGCTGCGGATTCCGTCGACGTAAAAGCATGCAGTGTCAATCAAGATTGAATCGAGGAACTGAGAGTAACACAAGAACAAGGACCGGACGTCGGCCAAACCGCCGACAATGAACGTGAGAAGGGCATGGCAGGAATGAAAGAGCAGGTATCTCAAGCAGAAATGCTCATGAGACGGTCAAAAGAGGCAAGTCCAATGATGGTGAAAATGCCAAACCGAATCATGGCCCTTGTACAGGGCGGCAGGTTCGACCCGTAGGGAGTGGTGAGGACAATAACCCAATTGACAGATCGAAGTTCGAGGACTGGTGACGAGAAAGACATGATGGGTAGAGTTAGATACCTGAGCTTTCTGCGTCTGCCCGTGATGCATTGCAATTCCCTGCCAGCGAGCAGGGGCGTTGACTTGGCCAAGGGAGTCTCTGAGGCTATCTTAAGATCCATGGTCGCGACTGATTGTCTGCCTTGCATCAAATAACCTCAGTTCTGCTCGACCCAGTCACTACCAGGTACATCAAGCATAGCATCAGGTATTCAGATGGACCAGCAGAGCTAGGACGTCATGGACGCTACCAGGTAATTCAAGACTTCCCTTTCTGGGCACATGTGAACGCCTAGTTATGTGTTGTCCTGTGGCTTCTCATTGGAGCTGGTTGGCCAATGTGACACAAATGCAAGCCGAATTGTTTTGTTGGTGCCCGACCATAAAATGAGACATGGCATCTTCGGGTTCTATCCTGCAAGTTTCAGTCTGCCACAATACAGCAGTCACGGATATTTGTGTCAAATACTAAACCTTCAGTAAACTTTGTGTATGCACTCACTGAGGTTAGACGAGCTGAACGCATGCGAATATATCACAGAACCTTAACCTCTAGACCCGCTCCCCCATGAAAGCTTGCTGTAACTGTAGATCGTACCTCCTTCTGTCTTCGGCCTTTTGCTGGAGGATGCTCTCAGCATCCAAATGCCAGTAACAAGCCACAGTTTTGATCGACTTGGCCTTGAACATCGGCTCAATGTGGTTCAAGAAGACGCCGTATAATCCTGTAAGAGAGTCAAGAGCTCGGAAATACCAGAGTCGGCCGGTCGACCAGTTATTGCGCATAGTCTCGGCCAAAGAAACTACATTCTTGTGGAAGGATGCCTTTTCTTCTTGTTCCAGAACGGAAAGGAACTCATCGCATGCGACCTTGAGATTTGCCAAATTTTCATCAACCAAGTCGTCAAAGGCATGATTGACTAACCAAAGCGGGGGGCGTATCATCTCAATCGGCCTAGAGCAAGCCCACTCCAAATCGAGGATGTATTTGATGTGCCAATCGTCGTCGACCAAGATGTTGCTCTGGTGGAGGTCTGAGAGACTCAAAAAGAAAGGATCATAACGGGAGTTCCAGGGAAGGAAGGTAAGTAGGCAGGCCCGCATGGCAGTCAAGGCTTCTATTTGCGCGAGCCCATCGTCCATTGAGCTGACAGAGTTAGGCTGATATCGAATTCGATTATCGTGGTAGGTAAGAAGATCCAGGACGTATGACTCGACTGTACTGTAAACATGGTTACGATCTACCACAGGTGGACAACTATCATTTTCGGCTTCTGGGATGAGGATAGAAAGTGGTCGATTTGTAAGACTCAAGATACCTTGATCATTTATCGTCAACGAGCCAATATGTGACAGTGGCACACTGCTCAGAGAGAGCATGATTTTAGATAAGTCCCGAAATAGATTGTCCCTTCGTTTCGAGTCGCAAGAATGCCGTGTCCAAGTTGTTGAAAGCATTTGTCCTTCCTCCTCTTCAATGAAATCCATCAGCAGATAGCCCATATGGGCCAGTTTTCCCATTCGTCTTTGAGTAACGTAAGGGCAGGATTGTGGCTGTCGAAGTAGATGTTGTAGGAGATTTCGCATTACTAAGAGGCATCGAGCGTACCATGGCGCGTTTTCACAAGCAGTGAACTAGGACTTGCGATTAGCATATTTCTGAAGAATGCCGCGAAGAAGTGTACAAACGTCGAAACCACCAACCCCAAAGCCCCACAGATATGGCAATTGTACACCAGGGCAGTTGCGCCGCATCCAAATGTATGTCGCAGCTTCAGACCGCACTTTCTCATCCATATTTCCAGGATTCGAAGACTCTCCTAATTTGTATGGAAGAGGAAATCGAATCAAAACCCGATGCTTCGGGCGCCGGTTCCAATTGTAGATGTAGACTGGGATGCAGACGTTAAAAGTCCCGTGCATCCATTCGGAAAAGTCGCCTAAACGACAAGGTTGTTGCTTCCTCAATCTAAGATGACGGGCAACAATTTCTTTGATCTCGCCCTGCCTCTCAAACAACTATAGAAAGAAATTGAATCGTTGCGATGGGTAGGATAACTGCTGGAGAACATTGTTGTCCCTTTTGCGAGCCGTATCGTAGGAGATGGATCCTTGTAACAGACTGCGTCTCGGACCAAGTGAGGTTCGAGCAGGTTGCATGTCGAAGAGGAATTGGCAGACCGTTTGGAACGTTGTGATGGAGTAGCTGAGGTGTTGGTGAACTGCGCTATGAAGGAGGCCGAATAGCGCCCATTGGTACCTTCAGCAACGCAAACATGGGGAACTTGCGAACCTAGCAAATTCCGTCTGTCCTTCTTTTATTGCAGTACAATTGATGCCGTCGACGGGGAGTCAAAGGTGAATAATTCGGATCAAGTTCGTGCGATATAAGAACAGCTCGCTCGCTTGGTACTAATGAGTGGTGGTACGTAGTGTTATGTTGGTGCACAAAGCGGCTTCCAGGGTCACTTGAATCAAAGGACGCGACTACCAGGTACGCTATCTCCCTAGCAGGGTATGGGGTACGGAGTAATTATCCGTACTCCGTACTGACAAAGATTCCGGTCGATCAATGAGCAACTGATGCGAGTTGCCGTTGGCGCCAAACGCTTGCCCGTAAACATTCAATGTCCTCATTGATAAGCTCTTGGCTCTGTCAAGCGAAGTACTACCACGTACCTAACTCGTATATCATTGCGAGTACGGTACAGGCTGTGTGGCGCGACTGCTCTTGACCAGGCAATGGCTTACAGCTCCACCCAAAAGAATGTACGTACCTACACCAAGAGCGGCAAGATGGGCTGGGTTTTAAAGCGGCACGGGTTGGTGAGGGCGACGCGAGCTGCGAGCAGTTTTTACTTTGGTTCTACCGCCAAGGGTCATACGAGGTGTGGTGGCTTCAAGCCACTGAAGGTAATTTCGAAGACGTGTCCAAAGCGGCCGTTTTGCTGAGACTTTTATGAGAGAAATAAGATGATCTTATAAAGTGGTGTAGGTGGAGCATACGGCGGGAGGCGGGCCCAGATGGTGATCAAAATGGCCAGCATAACGTCGAGCATCTCCAAGGATCAAGGCTGTAGAGAGTCGAAGACCAGCGCAAGGGAGGTGGAATGGGACACGGCTGAAGCAGACTAGGACGGCGGAGGGGACCACCTCATAATCAAAGCGCACATAGATTTATGCCATCTGTTTGTGCGTCGTGAGGCCTTACGAACATCGAACATCGTGTCGTACTCAATACCGGGTGTATTCACTTGTTAAGTGTGGTGTGAGGCCTTGAAGTCAAGTGAAGTTGGTGAAGTCAAGCATGATGTGACGTTGATCTAGGCATAAGGGAAGATTGTGCATGCTCAAGTTGATCTTCTGGTGGCCGCCTGTCAACCATGCTCCCACGGCCCTCCGGCTGGTCTGATCACTCTGCACTCTGGGGTAGTTGATGGGAGACACATTGCCCGTGCGAGCGGTGTGTTATCATGGTTTCCACCTGACATGTCTGCATTGTCGTGGAAGTCCACTCTTGTCTGATAATCACGATGTTTATAACACCCGCCACCCCTTTGTAGGGAGTCGCTCGTTGTGGCTCAATGCAGTCTCCGTCACGAGTGGGAGGCTTGCGGCCAAGGACCGGGTTGGTGGGCGATGCTCAGGAATCAGCGCAGGAGGCGAGGGGGAGAAGGGTCTTGTGTTTCAGAATCGCAGCTGGCCCATGTCTAGCCGTGTTTAGTGGTTTAGTGGTGGAGGCGAAACTACCGAAGGGCCGCTTCTGCTGCACGCCGAACGTGTCGAGGGTTTAGGGAGGCTCCTCAGCTCCTCTAGCCGGAGTGTGGTCGGCAAAACGCCAATGAGGATGCCGGCGTGCCTGGAAACTAGAGGATCCTAACGACTCCGTGGCCAGGGACGCTGACCCCTCGAGGATGGCTGCAGGGATGCACGGCAGGGCCAATCCGTTGTTGCTGCGGTTATTGGACGATTGGGGCGATGGTGAGGATGGCTGAACCAGGCATCTACCAGGTACCAGGTACCAGGCTGCAGGACGCTGGAGACATGATTTGAACTCTGGACTCCTGACTCTGCTCCCCCATCTCGAGTCCTGCAGCTGCAGCTGTCGCTGTTACACCAACTTCCAACCTTCACTCACCGTTCGTTTCCATCCCACTCCCTTCTCGCCGTCTCTTGCCTCTTGCTTCCATTCCTTCTCAATTTCTCTTCTCGAGTCACTCGTTGGATACGACATTTCTACCCCGTGGGTACAGTTGGCGACTGCGGTGCAAGTGTCGCTCATTCACACTCACACTTCGCAAAGTCCGGATTCATTTTCTTTTCTGTCTTCACGCTCCAGCCTGGCTTGGAGGCACTTGACATCCAGCTTCACCACCGTCTCCCTGTCTTCAACACACCCATCACGCATTCTGTTTCCCGACTCACCCGGGCGCTTTCTCCATTCGACACTTGCGCAGGCGACCCCGCCTGATATCACCAACCCCCAACAGTTTGCCTATCAGCCACGACCCTAAGGCTCTGCGAGCCTACTTGAATTCCTCAGGAGGAGGGAGACATACAGAAAATACGGCACACTAAGGTATGCCATTTCATTCAGGGATCGCTTCGGCACAAAAGGCTTCCTAGTGACGTTTGAGTGAACTGAGCTGGACAGCTGGAATGAATTCACTGTACCACAGCCACAGATGCTAACCACTCAAACGCAGTTTGCACAAAACGCTTCTCCAGCTGTCGCGTGTCTGGAACATGCGTTCCTTCCTGTGAACCCTCGTCTATTGTTGTGACCTGGCGCCATCCACAGCAAGGCTGATACTGTTACGACACCCTAAGTTTTATCAACATCTACAATAGTTGCTCACTTGGATAATGGATCCGCCTCGGCCAAAGGCAACTCAGACCAATTTTGCGTATCCTAACTACAGGCAACCACAACCGATCCCGGAATACGCCCAACCCTCTCAATATCAACAATACCAGCAATACGAGCAATACCAAGATTATCCTCCTCACCCGTCCGTGCGAGTACCACCCAATGTCAAGCTCAATGCGAGGCAAGTCCCTGCTGGTGTTGGCGTGGCGCCACCGCCAGTGAGGTATGATGGCCAACAACGTCAACCACAGAGGCCTGCAGGGAGTGGCATGCTCATCCAAGACTTCCGATTTCCTGTGGCGCCTCCTATACCTGCTTCTCGGTCGGGCAGAGCCAGGCAAGATCCATCACAATCCCCCGGTCGCAAGTACAACATGCACGAGTCCTACATGTCGTCGGTAGTGGGCGATTCAACCAGCGCCGGGACAACTCCGGCCTCCAGATCACGAGGGTTTCCGACTCCAAGAGCGTATTCCGGCTCGATCTATGCGGAGAGTGAAGTTCTTGGGCATGAAGAGCGCTTTGAGCACAGCCCCCAGACCAGTCCACCAAGTTCTCCGGAACAGTCTCCACAAATCGTGCGCCAGGCCAGTCTTGGGAAACGAGCGAAGCCTGCGATGACCACGATCAAGAATCGAACCAGTCAACTGGAACGAGAGATACCAGAACAACCACCAACGCCAGTACAGACAAGCAGAACTGCGACCATGAATGCCCTCAGTGCGGCGGTGGCTGCTGGCATCAACGTTCGATCTCTTGAAGATCGATCCGGCACCCCGGGTTCACGCAGTTATACGCCAGTGAGAATGCCATTCGACAGCTCTCCTCCAGCATCGCCATCTGTCGACCGAGAATTTCTTCAGACCCCAAAGTCCCCCCAGACGATAGCCTCTACCAACATGCTGGAGCAATTACCAGGATCAGGGCATTCTCACAAATCGACCAAGTCTCTCCTTGGATTAGGCATTGAGCAATCATCAATGAGCAACAGGATCCCTGCCAGTCGACGGCCTCCCAAGCTAGACATGGATGCTGTACGAGAGGCTGAAAACCGAGGCAGTACAACCAGCCTGGCAGACCTGATCAAACGTGCAACTCGTCTGGCCGCCAATCTGGATAGAGGCAAGACTGCAAGTCGACTAGGTATGTTGGACATGTTTGGCAGTAGCGACAGACTGGATGGTGCCAACCGTCATTCCACCATGTCGGATATGATTTCAGCTTTCCCGGCCCCTGCAGTTGGAGGGACTCCCACAACCCGACGAGACACACAATGGCCGCTCGGCGAAAAGGGCGATGCTTATGCCTCGACCACCGATCTGTCCAAATCTCAGCAGCCTCGGAAACAGAGACGAAGATGCTGTGGCCTGTCGCTGCCCGTGTTGTTTGCCCTCATCGTGGTCATCATCATTCTCATTGCCGCTGCGGTTTTGATCCCTATCTTCCTAGTTCTTGTGCCCAAACAGCACCATAGCAGTACCGGCGTCGGGGCTTGTGCTACCAGCCATCCCTGTCGCAATGGCGGCAGTACCCTTCTCAATGGCGACACCTGTGCTTGCGTCTGCTCGAACGGCTTCACCGGAAGTCAGTGCGAGACGTCTGGTAATACAGAAGACTGTGTGACCAAGACACTAAAAGACGGCTCGACCGAGTACCACAATGCAACGCTCGGCCGGTCCATATTAACACCTCTTTCGGATGGGGAGACCCAATTCGATATACCCCTCAACATATCGACGGTTCTCTCAGTCTTTTCTACGAACAATCTTTCATGCACGGGCGAAAATTCTCTCGTTGATTTCAACTCGAGCGGCGTCAGCCAAGGCACGGAGAGGAGGATGAAACGGTTCATTATTCTGCCCGGGCTTGAGCCCACTCTGAACGATCGGCTTCCAGTGATTCATCGAAAGCCTGATCTATCCGAAGTCACCAGGCGAGCGTCGCCGGATAGAGATGTACCTCTGAGGCGCAGACAGGATGCCGCAACAGTTGGCACATCCAATGGAATCGTCTTCCAAGCCACGTCCGCGACTGTGGGACCTGTCTCAAGCCCCAGCGCCTCAATCGGCACAAGTATCGCCACTGTAACGAGCGTGAGTGGAATTGCTGGCTCGGATGCTTCGGCGACAGGATCGAGCGCTGCCTCAGCATCCACAAGCCCAGCGGGAAGCGGTAGTGATTCCAATGCGAAAGCGTCAGCGACTGTAACCGACGAAGAGCTCGAGTTTGCCAGAGTCGTGGTTCTGTATGTTTTGCAAGAATCCCGTACTATAAGTGTGGCTATCCATGCGCAGCAACAGATGGAAGGATTCTTTGCCTCGCAGGCCAAGGGCAGCTCCAACTCCACGGTTGACGTCGGCTCTGGCAATCTCCATCTCACGGCGAACTTTGACGCATTCAGTATCACAAAAGGTGACGGAGAGGTTGTAGGCAGCAAACAAAGCTAGCCGGTAGAGAGGTCGTGTGTAAGAAAGTGGAAGCAAGGGATTGGGTCAGAGTGTTTTTCGTCAAGGCAACTTTATTTTGGTGGACTTCGATGGTAATGAGCTTGATTTCAACGGCTGGATGGATACCCCTTGGCTACAATATTGTTAACTCAGAGCTGAAAGTTGGACATGGGGGCGTTATGTGGCATGGCGTGAGCTGGGGCAACAATGGCACTGCCCTGTTGAGTCTTGGGGCACTGTAACGCAGGGCATGTGTGCTTGGATCTTTCTATCTCTATATTCCCCCCCTGCTCTATCTTGTGCTGTGAGATGCGGCGTTAGCGAGCGAGCTCGAGAATCGGAATCACTAGCTTTGCAACGGACAAGAAGAAGCTCCATGATTACTCTGGTGGGGGCTGACATTGTTGTTCTGTGCGTGCCTGGAGAGCAGCTCCTTGAGCTCAGCCTTGCTGACTCAATCAGCAACAGCCCGCGTCACCAAGCGTGCCTCCCATTCCGTACCGATCAATTTGTCATCATGAACCATTGTCGTCGCTCAGGCAGACGCGGCTTGAACGTCCCTCTCTGCCGGGATCATGGAAGTCAAAGTCCAGCGATTCCGGAGCGGTGGCGGCGGCGGTGGTTATTGGTCTGACAGCATCACCCCTGACACAGCCTCGTCAGCCATGTTGTCGTTTGTCATGTTTGGCCGTTGTGCTATCTAATCAGATTGATTAATGGTGAGTCAGCTCGCCAATCACTTGGCGGAATGGTATTCCGCATAGCATTTGTCTACCTCTGTACTCCGTACTCAGTATCCGTACTCTGGATCCGTACTCTGTACGCCACTACCACTACCTCTACCACGACCACGTTTGCCGCGTGCCAAAGCCGTAACGTACGTATATCGTACCGGTGCGGTGCCATTGATGATGAAGTAATGTGAAGAAGGGGTGGGTGCAGTGGGTGCTGTGTGAGCCAAGGCATGGAGTTCTCGGAAAGTACATGTACCTAGGTAAGGGTTGTTCTGTTCTGTCTTCTTTGATTTTTATTTCTATTTCGTTGCCTTGTTGTTCTCTCTCTTCTCCTTTCGTCCCCTCGTCTCCTAAGTCTTTCGCTTTCGCGTGAAGGAGGCTTTTCATCGAGGAACTGAACTGCCGAGATCACATCGCGGCTTTGAAGACGTCCGGAATGAGAGCCATGACGACGGGTGATCTTAAGAATGTTGTTGTCGTCGGGGGATCCTATGTAGGACGTGTATGTCGTTCCTCGCCTCCTCCCCCTTTTCAAGACAAGACATATGTTCGAACAACCTAACTAATTCTGGTGATCAGGCCACAGCAAAGGAGCTTGCACAGGCATTACCATCGACGCACAGGGTGAGGAATATGATGTGATGATGTGATATTTGAGCGCCAACCACTGATCAGGTTGCTGTCGTCCTGGGACGGTCTGGTGCTTTTGTCGGCCGCCGTGCTAACAAAACCCCTTGCCTGTAGGTTCTTCTGGTCGAGCCGCATAGCCATTTCCACCATCTCTTCACGTTTGTAAGTGCAAAGTACAATGCCTTTGGCAAGACGAGGCAAGGCAAGTCCCGAAAGGGGCTTCTGCTCGGGTCAGGACTCTTAGTTGACCCATGGTCTCAGCCTCGGTTCGCGATCGTGCCCGGCCAAGAACACAAGGCTTTCGTACCCTACAGCGGGCTCTTCTCCTCCCTCCCCAATGCGGCAAACCACGCCGTGGTGCAAGCACGTGTTCTCTCGGTACATGCTCGCCATGTCAACCTCGACCGCGAATGGCAGGGGTCGAAGCAGCTTCCCTTCGAGTACCTGGCGCTCGCGACAGGCACGTCCCTCGCCGAGCCTGCAGGGATGAAGCAGGACGAGAAGCCTCCTGCGGTGAGATACCTGCAAACACATCAAGAGGCGGTCAAGCGCGCCACGTCGATTCTGATTGCTGGCGGCGGCGCCGTCGGGGTTCAAATGGCCACGGATCTCAAGGAATACTTTCCCGACAAGGCCGTCACGCTCGTCCAGTCCCGGGCGCGCGTCATGCCGCAATTCCACCCCGCCCTACACGAGCTGATCTCCAAACGCTTCGACGAGCTCGGCATCGACCTGATCACAGGCACCCGCATCGTTGTCCCACCCACCGGATTCCCGAACGACGGGACGCCGTTCCAAGTGCAACTGACCAACGGAAGCACCGTGCCTACGGAGCTGGTCATCCTGGCAACCGGGCAGAGACCGAACAATGGCCTGGTTGCGGGCTTGGAGCCCTCCCATCCAGGCTCTTTGATCAACCCAGAAAACGGATTTGTGCGCGTCCGGCCGACCCTGCAGCTCCTCGATCTCAAGTACCCACATATCTTCGCGGTTGGCGATATCGCCGACACGGGCGTGCAAAAGGCCGCACGGCCAGGCATCGCCCAGGCCGCCGTGCTGGCGAAGAATGTTAAAGCATTGGCTGATGGCCAAGAGCCCACCGAGACTTACGTGCGGAATCCCGCGGCGATCCATCTGACATTGGGCATGGTAGGTGGCTCTCTCAAACACGTTACCTGCTCGTGACCCCTGATGTGCTGTAGCAATACAATGTCATCTTCCGCAACCCAAACGAAGCTGAAGGACAGACACAGCCCACCATCGTGGAGAAACAAGAGTAAGTCCCGACGCGTCGACGCTGTCCATCAACGCTGGCCCACATGGACCGAGACACTGACATGAAACGTCTAGTGGCCGAGAGGATATGGGAGTCGAAGGCTTTTGGGAAAGACAGGGAATCCAGGTCATCAACCCGCAACAGTATCATCTCTGAAAGCCCGCTTAGATGACTGTTAAACATGAAGAAGTTGCGCAGAGTTCTCAAGGTTCTCAAGGCTAGGCTGGCTTCCCCTGGGAGCTCGCACCGGACCGGTGTCGTCCCAAAAAGAAGAACGTGGTTGATAGATATTGTGCCAGGATGGTTCTGGGGATCGAAGGCTACCCGCCGGTGTAATAGATTCATTCATACGGGAGGTAGAATGGCTCCAAAAAGGAAAAAGAGGCAAATGGATATGGATACACTTGTTGAATGGCAAGTCTCATCTCTCCGTCATAGTAACTGGTATCTGTCGGATGGTAGAGATGCCGGTGTAGTCGGAAACCTTGTCCATGCAATCAATGTCTTTCTACCTGCGATCCCCCGTTCAATCGCCTTCAACAAGGACCCGGAAAGTTTCAGGTCTTCCAGGTAACAGCAGCTGAATGGTTCCTTCAACCCCAAAATCCCACTTCTGGACAAAGACAAGCTCAATCCCTCAAGAGCTCATCGACCTCTTCCTTGGTCACGCCCAGCAAATAAATCAAGTCGAGCATGCTCTCCCCAATGTTCAATCTGGCAGGAGCTTCCATCTGCACTTTGGACTTTGCTTTCCAGGCGACACCCAAACCGGCAGTTTGGAGCATAGGGATGTCGTTAGCCCCGTCTCCAACGGCCATGGTCTGGGCCAAAGGAATATCCTTCCCTGATGCCAGACTGATCAGCAGATTCCGTTTATGCTGCGCATCGACAATCGGACATGACGGGTCAAGTTCGCCAGTCAAGGTTTCGGTCTTTGGGTCTACGATGAGATGGTTGGCAAATGCATGGTCGAGCCCGAGTTGACCTGCCAGCCAGTCGGCAAGCGGTTGAAACCCGCCGCTCAGGACGGCTAGCGTGAAGCCGAGTCGTTTCAGGCATTTGCATAACTCTTTCGCACCGGGTGTGATGACAAGCTTCGGTTTGAGATGTTCAAACACATGGCTAGGAACTCCTTTAAGTAAAGCAACCCTTGCCTTGAGCGAAGAGGCAAAATCGAGCTCGCCGTTCATTGCACGCTCGGTGATGGCAGCAACAGCCTCTTTCACGCCAATGAAGGCGGCGATTTCATCGATCACCTCTTGCTGGATCAGAGTGGAATCCATGTCAAACACACAAAGTCGTTTGTGACGACGGTACACTGTCGAGGGCTGCAGCACTATTTCGCAGTTCCATTCTCGCTCAAACTTGTAGATGGATTCATGTTTTGATATGAGTGGGAAGGGGAGGTATTCGGAATTTGGAGCAGGCGAGAAGGTCACTTCCATGACTCTAGGCTTGACTGGGTCAGGCGCAAGGCATCGGTGAGAGGATGTGAGGCGACGCTCCTCGGATCTGTTGTGGATGAGAAGACTGTCAAGGGTGGATAGGAAGTGCGTCAGGCATAATTGAGAAATGTAGGCCCCGTAGAGATGGTCTAGTGGCTCGGGTTCTGGAGCAGGCGGCTCAAGAGGATATTCGGCAATGCTTGTTGTCGGCGCCGAACCCTCTACGATTTCAGGCACAGGGATTCGATCTATTGCCCGACCAGGAGGAGACTGGTCTGGATGGATATGCGGATGTCGTGGGGAGGCTGAGTTGTAGTATATTGTCGCGACCAGTCTGGCAGGGCCGCCAGGCTCTCGGACGCAGTTAGTGTGAGAAATTGTGTAAACAGTTGAACTCTCTTGAGCGACCATTGGCGATGGAGAAATTGCACTGATAGATCTTCTCGAGGTCAGCGAGGCGTTCGACATGGTATGTCGAGGCCGCCGAGTAGGTTGGTCCATGACGCCATCGATGCTTGTCGAGGGGCCCGACTGATGGGACTTGTACTCGAGATGGTCGTCGAGGTAGGAGCTGCCAGTCAAAGATTCTTTGGCCAGGCTCAGGTTACGGGAGCGCGAAGGAGAGGAAGCCATTGGCCCACAGGAAGGACAGTGACCCTGCAGTTGGGCGGATTGCGTGCCGCAACGAGGGTAAATGGTTCTGGTTGAAACCTTCGAGCGCGCGCAGTTTAGCCAGACGTGGCAGCAATTGAGAAAATCGAGAGGGAGGAAAAGTGGACGTTGGCTCGCCGCAGCACGCCGACGTCATCGGCAGAACCAGCTACCACATACCACAGCCTACTGCAGGAACCAAAACACCATCTGGAAAAGATCCATTGTGTCGACAGCTGCTTGGAGATGAGACGAATGCTGTGGTTCCTGCTCTTCTGGCATTCTGTGTGCAATTGTCTATCAATCAACAATTGACACTAGAACCCTGTTCAAAGAGTGATGGGACCATGGTGTCCAACGCATTGGATCTGCCATCTGCCCAGGGGCAATTTGAGATCTTGCGGCCACCACAGTTACTAGAATTGTCCTCCAACCTACCGCTTACCTTTTAATGTCGGCGGGATAAGTGAAAAGATATACTTGATCAATCTAGATATCAGTATTGCAGTATCGCGTATGCAGGGACAACAGGTGCAGTGTTGGGAGACAGCCAGGCACGTGACTACGTGCACGTGACCAAAACCACGTGACCTGAACATCTTTCCCCATGGTTCGCTCCAACTCCCAACTCTCCTCCATCTCCTACAACTTCACCAGCACAAGAAATATCACCCTGATGAGTTCATGGAGAGAGAGCCATTTCTCATGCTCCTCCCATATTCACGGCGTGCGACATATCATCCGTCTTGGCTAAATGAGGTGCTCGCTCGCAGGGACGCCTCGAAGCAGGGCTTTGCCGTTGGCAGACTTTGCCACCGACTGCCGAGCTGGGCCGGAGAAATGGCCCAACAACGCCCAGCGCCGTGCCATGCAGGTGGGATGGGCAGATTGAACTATGGAGATGCGCATTAATGACCCCTCTAGATCGGAACAGGGCGACAGGAATGACATTGGCAACCCGTCGATGAAGCTGTTGGCGACCCAATGAAACCGGCTAGCTCGCATCACTCAGGTTTGCCCCCGATGGCGTGATTGCACGTGACCCGTCGGCCACCGAACTTTTCCTCTATTTTCACCTTCTCGACCGGTACTCGGTGCGCGCAAGGCTGTCGAGATCCGAAAGGTGATCCACATACTGAATGGCGTGCTCAATGATGATATTACAATTGCAAGGGCTGATTTGTAAAAAGGGAGGTAGGCGGGTGGTCCAGCTCTCTCATCATTCTCTCTTGTCTGATCTGACTTGGTCCTTCTTCATCTTGCGGTCTCCCCCAAGTTCTCTCCCACTATCCTCGCTGTTCTTATACAAATCCATTGCAACCAGTCCACGTGTCTTTACGATGGCTTCAAGAGCCCAATCCCCCAGCGGGAGCAGCGACACCAGCCCTTCTTTGAGGGACGCTGACTCGGGGTATGCCAGTGGCAACAACAGTGAACTTGGGCTGCCCGAAGTGTACTTCACCAAGCCTCACCTGAAATTCCTCAATCGACAACTTCAATTCCTTGAGCCGCCAGAGATCCTTCGATGGTGCATTACCTCCCTCCCCCACCTCTACCAGACCACGGCGTTCGGCTTGACCGGGCTCGTCCAATTGGATATGCTCTCCAAGCTCAATATACCTCGCCCTCAAATGGTGGATCTGATCTTCATCGACACCTTACATCACTTCTCTGAGACACTGGAGTTGGTAGAAAAGGTTCGGGCAAAGTACCCTTTGGTCAACATCCATACCTTCAAACCAGCGGGCGCCGAGACAGCAGAAGAGTTTGCGGCCAAATATGGAGACAAGCTCTGGGAGTCCGACGAAGAGAGGTATGACTACTTGGCCAAGGTTGAACCGGCCGAGCGTGCATACCGTGAACTGCAAGCCTTTGCGGTCCTGACCGGTAGGAGGCGAAGCCAGGGAGGCGCCCGGGGTTCCTTAGACATCATCGAGGTTGATGAGGCTGGCCTGATTAAGATCAACCCGCTCGCCAACTGGAGCTTCCAGCAGGTCCAACAATACATGAAGGACAATGATGTTCCATACAACGCCCTTCTGGACCAGGGGTACAAGAGTGTTGGCGACTGGCACTCGACGCAACCTGTCCGGGAGGGTGAAGATGAACGTGCTGGCCGATGGAAGGGCAAACAAAAGACCGAGTGCGGCATTCACAACCCTCGATCCAAGTACACACAATTCCTGATGGACCAGGAGAAGAAGAGGGAACAAGAGGCCTTGGATGAAGCGTTGCAAAAGGTCAGCATCCAGGCATGAAAGGAATGAGGGCCGAGGTCTAGTTTTTTTCCTTTTAAGCATAGCGTCGGCGTTCGGGATCGACATCAGCGACGGACTAGAGGAAAATCGTGCATGATTATGGATGGGCACGAGGGCGCTTGTGAGACGTACCTGCATCTGCATCAGGAGGAAAGCAAAAAAGACGTCAAAACGAAGGGCTAAAAAGCACGCATACCCGGTCCAGGAGGATTCTGGGCTTTGGCGGCATGATACCTACCTTGTGTGTAGATGAAGCAGACGATTAGAAGGAAGCGGCTGGCCGATGCCGTTTCCCATGATCTCAGGAATAAAAGGACCTGGATCAACTGTATCAGCTCACCCATTTTGAAGAGGAGGTGTGTGCTCGCCTGTGCCACGACGAGACTGCTAAGTTTACCATGTTACTGTGTTCTGTGTGAGGTGTAGAGTAGGACCGTCTGTTGTTATCGGCTGCGAGAGAGCGAGATAAGGCCGGGAGAGGGGAACAACACTGCACAGCGGGATTAGGCGCGGAGATCTGAACTATTCCAGGCACCCACCAGGATGCCCGGGGGAAGAGTCTAAGGAAGCCTACCTATAGGGAAGCCTAAGGACCCCTGGACCCCTGAAGGCCTTGTCCAATCTTGGGCCGGTCCAGCCAACCGAAGAGCCCCCTGGCCTAACAGGAAGCCTAAGGAGCCCACTCCGCCGCTGGGGCTCACGGCATTACGATATTCCACCAATTTTTCAGAAAATTTGTTCTGCTCCCACGTCTCGCAGTGGGGATGGTGACAGTGCGCCCGTCATCCAGACTACTAACTGGGCTGAAGCGAGACGGCCTCGCGTCCTCGTCGGTAGTTCCTTGGTTTATATATCCTTCAAGTCCGGAAGCCTACCTAGTCGGCTTTCTCCTTGACCTCCTTTCAAGTTCTCTGTTCTGCCTGCTTACCCTGCCGAGCGACGCCCTCGAGTTCCTCCCATAACCCATCTGTGTATACCCGTCATGGCCAATCCGCCTCACGGAGGTATCTTGAAGGATCTCCTTGCTCGAGATGCCCCTCGTCATGCCCAGCTTACCGCGGAAGCCGACAAACTTCCTGCAATCGTCCTCAATGAACGACAGTTGTGTGACCTGGAACTCATTCTGAACGGTGGATTCTCCCCCCTCGAGGGATTCATGAACGAGAAGGATTACAATGGAGTGGTCGAGAACCTCAGGCTTGCCGACGGCGCTCTGTTCAGCATGCCTATCTGCCTGGATGCCTCTGGAAAGGTCATTGAGAGTCTGAAGATCCAGCCTGGCGCCCGGGTCACGCTCCGAGACTTCAGGGACGACCGCCACCTCGCGATTCTGACAGTGGAAGACGTCTACCGACCAGACAAGCAAAAAGAGGCGAAAGAAGTGTTTGGTGGAGACCCCGAGCATCCTGCCATCCGATATCTTGTGAACAACACAGAAGAGTTCTACATCGGCGGCAAGATTGAGGCTGTCAACCGTCTGAACCACTACGACTATGTTGCTCTGCGATATACACCTGCAGAACTGCGGTTACACTTTGAGAAGCTGGGATGGTCTCGTGTGGTGGCTTTCCAGACCCGGAATCCCATGCACAGAGCCCATCGTGAGCTGACGGTGCGTGCTGCTCGCGCCCGTCAAGCCAACGTTCTCATCCACCCCGTGGTGGGCCTGACCAAGCCTGGTGACATCGACCACTTCACCCGTGTCCGTGTGTACGAGGCGCTGATGCCGAGATATCCTAACGGGATGGCCGTGCTCGGGTTGCTCGGGTTGGCCATGCGCATGGGCGGTCCTCGGGAGGCCATCTGGCACGCCATCATTCGCAAGAACCACGGAGCCACTCATTTCATCATTGGACGAGATCATGCTGGGCCGGGCAAAAACAGCGCTGGAAAAGACTTCTACGGCCCATACGATGCGCAATACGCGGTGGAGAAATACCGCGCTGAACTGGGCATTGAGGTGGTGGAGTTCCAGATGATGACCTACCTTCCAGATACCGACGAGTACAAACCCAAAGATGAGGTCCCTGCAGGTGTCAAGACTTTGGATATCTCTGGGACAGAGCTCCGAAGACGTCTCCGGGTCGGCGCGCCCATTCCAGAATGGTTCTCCTATCCAGAAGTGGTCAAGGTGCTACGGGAAGCACATCCTCCACGTGCCCAACAGGGCTTTACTATTTTCCTTACCGGCTACCAGAACTCTGGCAAGGATGCTGTGGCCCGCGCGTTGCAAGTCACCTTCAATGAACAAGGTGGCCGGCCCGTTTCTCTTCTACTGGGCGAAACCGTTCGCCACGAGCTGTCCGCCGAGCTGGGGTTCACCCGGGAGGATCGGGACACCAACATTGCCCGTATTGCCTTTGTGGCAGCCGAGCTGACCAAGGCTGGTGCGGCCGTCATTGCAGCGCCAATCGCGCCGTTTGACGCGGCCCGAAAAGACGCCCGCGAGACTATCCAGAAATATGGCAACTTTTTCCTGGTTCACGTCGCCACCAGCCTCGAGTATTCCGAGAAGACGGACAAGCGAGGCGTCTACGCCCGAGCCCGGAGGAATTCCATCAAGAACTTCACGGGTGTCAACGACCCGTACGAGGCTCCCACCGACGCGGACCTGACCGTCGACTGCGAGAAACAATCGGTCCGAAGCATCGTCCACGAAATTGTCTTGATGTTGGAATCCCAGGGCTTCTTGGGTAGCGTTTAGATGGAGCTCGACTGCGTTTATAGAGTACACTGTGTATGAGCGCAGGCCCGCCCGCTAGGCTTGGTTCTCGGATCTCGGATGACTGGATATGACATGTTGGGAGAGATGGGAAATATGGGAAAGATGTGATTTTGGGTTGGTTTTATACTAGTAGTCGGAAAGGAAATCTTCCTGCTTTGAATCAAATCTGGTGTTCAGAATCCCGGCCATGAACAGTGTAATGAGATGGAGCAAACCACCGACGCTCCAGGCGGCCATGACGAGTACTGTAAGCCTTAAGGTCAGGTCGCCGACCCTCCCCTGGATTGGCGCGCTATTCCAGTTGAAGTGGGAGGGTTTGCGCCCATCACCAGCGAGTTCATGTTGTAAGTCGGCGGTCTTTTGGTTTAACTGCAACAATCTCTCCCTGGAATTCCAGCCTGAGCCTTTCGATCCGCTGGAACTCTGGCTTCCATCGCTGGCGCAGCAGTTCGGCCATTTCCTCGATAGGCTGTTTTCAAGACTCGATCACCTAACTACCTGTGGATTCAACACCAGCCGCCCATCTTGACACGGGTCGACGCAAGTATTTCATGACGGCGACCTCGTTTTCGACCTTGTCCTGGCGATGGATGGTTCTCCCAAGAACAGCTAATCAAACAATAGCATGGAATCCGTCGTCGGACTTGACCCTATAGTCGATATTGAAAGAGCCACTCTTCCCATGGCAGGCTGGGATTGGGCTTCCGACGCGAAAGGGCGCTCAGGCGTTGCAGCCTTGTCAGCGTTGCAATTGCCATCTGCTTATCAGCTAGATTTCTCCATGAATCCCCCAGCAGCTTAGCATCGAGGTAGCTTATAGTATCTCTCTGCAACATGACAGCTATCCTTTCGCGCCCATAGATGCGTCTAGGAAACGCCCTTTCATCTGTGAAATGATGACTGGCTTCTATCCCTTTCTTCCACTCACCGACGAGCGTCATCTCTGAGAAATTCCAAGTTTGCAGGGCTTGAACCGACTCACCACTCAAACAAGGCGTTTGGCATCGTCACTTCTCAAGACATCCAACATGGATAAATACCTCTTCATCTCCCGCCTTCCGTGCAGATCTTTTGAAGAGGACCATTAATAGTTATCATCAGCAGGAGCAGCAACATCATCAGAATCAGGATCCCCAAGCTAGAGCAGACGAGCGACTCGAGACCCCAGACCGGACACCTCTGTCTAAATACTTATCACGACAGCATCTTCTCTAGAGCTTCAATAGGACCTTACCGACCATGCCTTATAACGCACCTCCAAACACTCCCACTCCGAAGCCGCCCCCTCCTCCGCCTCGCCCAAAACTCTGAAGGGCCTCCCCTTACTAGTATGTGAGCGATGCGAGGATCCGTTGGTTGCCAACACGAGTGGTGGCCTAACATTCGAACAGGTAGGGTTGCCGGAATGGAATCGGTCGATCCAAGACACTCCAGGAGTGCCCGATCTCCGTCAATGGCCTTGATTTTTGGGTGAAATTTGGCCTTCCGGAATGGGATTTGAAGGAAGACTTGAGCTAAGACGTTCAGGCAGCCATTCAGGGTGGCGGGATGACCTGAGAGGAGATCCAAGTGAGGCTGCACTGCAATACAGTAGCTCTTCCAAGGAACCACAAGGGCACAATCCTACGAGTCAGAGCGAGTTTTGACAGAGCGAGGCATTCAGACATCATACAATCTCCTCTGAACGTCCATGGCCACCGTAGAGCAGCAGTCTTGAATGTGAGATTTTTCAAAATAGAGCTGCGACAGTAAGGGCGCTGAAATGCCTACGGAGTACGGATATATGCCTATATCTTAGGCGCAGTGTAGGCTACTACCGTGGTAACTCGAGAGACGTAGCGCAGGCGGTGCAGGCGACGTAGGCGGCCGGGTGCCTACACGTGATTTGGCACGTGCTCTCCTTGGCCTGGCCGCTGCCTCTCCAAGTCTGGAGTCTGAGCGCGGTTCGAACTCATCGACAGTTGCGGACACGGACAACGGACAAGACAACTGACCGCTGCCCATATATCTCATCCACACACTTGCCATCTCCTCAACCCTGAGTGCCGTATTCAGTCCAACTAGTCCAACTGTCTCCGCCCACCCTCGTATTCATTCCCTGTTAACCGTCGAGCCAACCACGCGCCACAATGTCGGACGGCGCACTCTTCAAACCGGAGAAGGACTTCACGAAAGAGGCGGACAAGGTCCTCCCCGAAGCAGAGGCATTGGCAAAGGTTCGCCCAGATCCTGCTTCTAGAAATACCGCCGCTGACCTGAGTGTAGAATGATCTGCAAAAGGCCATTGACAAGATCCTCTCGCTCGAAAAGCAAGCCAGACAGGTATGCCGCTGTTCTCTTCGGTCTGCCGCGTTGGCCTCACTGACCGGCAAACCAGTCATCAGATCTCGCTTCAACATCCCGATGCTTAACTACAATCGTCACATTATGTAAAGAGGCTGGAGACTGGAGTCTGCTCAACGAGCAAGTTCAACTGCTGTCCAAGAAACATGGACAGCTCAAACAAGCCATTACCAACATGGTGCAGGTCGTCATGGGGTTTCTTGACGACACCCCCAGCTTGGAGACCAAACTCAGTGTCATTGAGGCTTTGCGGACCGTGACCGAGGGCAAGGTTAGTGACTCTCCACCCACACAACGGCACCTGCGTGTGGCTGACCCAAGACCAGATCTTCGTAGAAGTCGAGCGGGCCAGGATTACCCGGATCCTGTCTGACATCAAGAAAGAACAAGGCGACATCAAATCAGCAACCGAGATCCTCTGCGAACTCCAAGTCGAGACATTCGGGTCTATGACGCGAAGAGAAAAGACGGAATTCATTCTCGAACAGGTGGATCTGTGCATACAAAACGACGATTGGACACAAGCAGGCATCCTCAGTCGAAAGATTGGCACCAAATTTTTCGCCCGCAAACCCAAGAAGACGCCAGCACAGTTGGAAAAGGAGGAAAAGGCTCGGGCAGAAAAGGAGAAGAATAGGTCGGCGGATGAGCCTCCGCCAGAAAAGGAAGACGATGTGACGGACCTCAAACTGCGCTACTACGAACAGCAAATCACCCTGGCGAAACATGAAGACAAATACCTCGAAGTCTGTAAGCATTACCGGCAAGTGCTGGATACGGAGTCCGTTGAGAACAACCCAGACCAACTGCGCGCCGTGCTGCAGAGAGTCATTTATTTCATCCTTCTCGCCCCTTACGACAATGAACAATCCGATCTGATCCACCGGATTGCCCAAGACAGCCGCAATGCCGAAGTCCCCAAGGACGCCGCGTTGCTGAAACAGTTTACCATTCCCGAACTGATGCGCTGGCCCATGATTGAGCAGCAGTACGGCGAACACCTCTGCTCCACCGATATTTTCTCCAAGACGCCGGACACGAGCGACCCCAAGGCACAAACAAGATACGAAGCACTCCGCCACCGGGTGATCGAGCATAATGTCCGAGTCATCGCCAAATACTACACCCGCATTACTTTCCCACGCCTCACCGAACTGTTGGACCTGTCCGCCGAAGAGACTGAAAAGTACATCTCTGATCTGGTGACCAAGAAGACTGTCTACGCCCGTATCGACCGGCCCGCGAGAGTGGTGAGTTTCGAAGTCAAACGCGGCCCTGATGAGATCTTGGACGAATGGGGCAATAGTATGAGTGGACTGCTGGGGCTTTTGGAGCGCGTAGGCCATCTCATGCAACGAGAGGAGATGATGGCTCGGATCCAACCGGGAGTTAAGGAAGAGGGCAAGAAGGTCAAGGCGTAAGTCGTTGAGCACGGGCGTCTTTGATGAGATAGGGAGAGAAAGAGGAACGATTGGGGCAGGAGTGCTGACCTGGCGGCTTGTATCATAAATCAGGAAAACGGACAGCATGTGATTTTCCTAGAATGGGACGGGGAAGTATGCGCAATACAGCCACCTACTATTAGAGCCTGTAACTTGAAGGAGAAGATGGCTCGACTTGGACTAGAAATGTCTGACTTTATTTGAGGGCACGAAATAGAAGTCTCTGTGTCGAAGTCTCTGTCTCTATTTGACTTGATGAGATGAAACGGAACAATGTTCCTTTTCGAACTCAGCCTTGGACATTCTCAATCTTAAGCCATTACAGTACCTATTTACATACATACACACACATATACAGACAAGCAGACAGACAAGCAGACAGACAAGCAGACAGACAAGCAGACAGACAGACAGACAGACAGGCAGGCAGGCGGAAAGACAGACAGACAGACAGACAGATACGGTATCTAAGGTATCTTTAACCCAGGCGCGCCTCGATCTCAGATTCAGACTCATGACAATCCCCTCCGTTTGATTGTTGTGTATAGTACAGCATAGTATATCTTTAACGCCGGCTAGTCTTCGCGAAGTATAATTGAAATCACAACGTCATCTCTTTTCCAACAAGGCCCTTTCCGTTTCCATGTCCATGTCCACGTCCACTTCCATCTCCCTCTTCATCCTCAAGACGGATCACAACCTCACTGGCCTCGCCGTGCTCTATCTCCAGACTGCGCGTCAGCCTCCACATGCGCCGCTGGGCCTTGAGCGCCAGGCCCAAGAGCACGATGTGGCATAGATAGACGAGCACGATGACCCAGGCGAGCACAGCCTTGACGATGCTGACTTCGTGGATGCCGTACATGAAATGCCCGCGCACCTGGGCGGGACAGAAGGCTTGGCTGGCGATAGAATGGGAACTGGAACTGGAGTTGGACTGGAAACTGGATTTGTTGAGCGAAGGCAGTTCGCAGTGCATCCAGAAGGAGAGGGTGGTGATCCAGCCGGCCACGAGGAGCGACGAGGCGGCCAGGACGGCGAAATAGACTCGTCGTCCGTGCAGGTGTTCGGCGTTATGGTGGTGTGTGATGAGCTCGAACGAGAGATGGACCAGGCTGACGCCCGGGGTGGTCAGTGTGTAGAACAGTAGAGCTGTGACTGGTTGTCCTTGGGGTTCTGTTTGGGATGTCGTCGAGCGAGTTGTCAATGTCAATGTTGATGCTATGGTATGCAGAGGCAGAGGCAGAGGCAGAGAAAAGCCCGGAGCGAGAGCCCGTTTTCCAAATAGTGAGCTGTCGGCTTCGGCGGTGCTGTTCTGGGCCAGTCGGTCGGCGATCTGCGTGTGTGGTTTGGCCACGCAGTATGCGTAGATGGCGGCCAGGATGAGACTGGTGAAGACCAGGACGAGCAGCATCGGGAGCACGATGGTACGGAATCTGTGGAGGCGAAGTAATGCCGGCTGTTGCGGACGGACAGGCTTAAGGGGTTGGTCTTCATCTTGTGCTTGTTCTTGGTCTCGATCTCGCTGTCGAGGCCGTCGAGGTTGGGAGATGGGAAAGATATCGCCCGTGCTGACTTGGCGAGTGATGAATTTCATGGTGAAGGTGATATGAGGCAAGCCAGACGACGAGACGAGCTTGTAGATGTTGGCCGATTAAGATTAGGTGATTGAGGATGCAGTGCTCAGCACTGACAAGAGTGGTCGTGGTCGAAATGAGTAGAGAGGTGAAGACTGAACACTGAACACTGAACTGGAGGGCGACGGTGACCGGCGACCAGCGCACAACACAAACACAAAGATGTGTATAGTACAGCAACAACAATATGAAGTAAAGACGGAGGAAGGAAGAGAAGAGGAGGAAAACGAAGACTAGCAGAGAGCAGCAGGATACGAACGAACGGCCACTTCTCGGTTTTTCTGTGCCTGAGGAATAAACACGCCCTGGAGGCCCTGACTGCTTGTACTGTACCTTATCTATGTATGCGTCTGCGTCTGCGTCTTCGAGTTTGTGCCTTGTTTTGGGCTCCAAGGACACCTCTTGTCTGGGTTGGCCCTCGGCTGCGTTGTCTTGTCTTGCCAGGCGCGGTCGACGAAGTGAGCCTTACGCCGCCGCCGTGGTGTGGGCAGTGGGCAATGGGCAGTGGCAGTGGGTAGCCAGGTCGGCGGCAGATGCCACACACCAAGCAGGCCTGACCAGCGCAGAAGCATCGACCTCGTCCACTGCATTGTCGGTGGCCAGCGGGCGCTGAAGCTGAAGGTCGGGCGAGGTCAAGGCGAAGGCGGGCGCAGTGAGCCAGCCAGCCAGACATCAGACATGATGACTCTATTTTTATTTTCTGTATTTCTGTTTGCCGCGGTGCGGTGTGGTGCGGTATGGTATGGTGCATCGAGAGCCAACGGATGGCGCGAGCATGGCGCAAGGCTCAACACATGCTGGCGTCATGCAGTGGCCGACTGGCGACCGCGGCGTCTATTCTGTGTAGGGAGTACTCGTAGAGTGTACAGTAATCATGAGGACCTAATTGAAGGAGACTTCCTGAGCCTGTGTACCTGAACTCACAGTATTGGCGGTGGACGGAAGAGGAATGATTGCCAGTGTACCTTACGGAGTACAGTCTTGGAAAAATGGTTGCCCAGCTTGTACTGTGTAAGTATTTAATAAGCTGCGGCTTCGTCCCCTTGCAACATATTCCTCACACGACAAAATATGTGGTCAGTAGTGTTCTTTGTTCTTTACTCTCAGTGGACTGTGATGAATCTCTGCTCAATTGAAACAATAATCTAGACCTGGGTCCCGGCCACCAGTGGCCTGGGAGCCGGTGTCAAGATGTGATTTCGAGTGAAGTCTGAGTCCCCAGACGGTGAAGTGCGAAGTTGAGGTTGAGGTTAGCTGTTGGCGGTTTCAGGTTTCAAGTTTCAGGGTTTAAAGAGATCGAGATCAGCGACATGGTAGGTGGGTAGGAGCCTAGGGGGCACCTATGGGGGGACTTAGGCCTGGTCGGTGCCCGGGGCCTGAGCCTAAGCCTAAGGAAGAGCGTTGAGGGTCGAGTTTCAGCTTTGCCGCCCAGGTGCCGCCCGCCTAGAAATCGCGGTAATAATGGGTAATGTACCTAACCTTAATAGTAGCACCTAGTACGGAGTATACTGTACCTGTAGGGGGGTCACGAGGTCACCCATCATGTGACTTTGGTGTCTCTATCACTGCCAGTTCTTGTCATTCTCTATTCTCTGCTCCTCGAGGCTGAGGCTGAGATTCAGATTGGGGCCTGGCCTCGTCACTCGTCACTCCGGAGGACGGAGGGCAGTCATGCAGTGGGAGGCACGACTGCTTCCTTCTCCTCGCACAATGTCATGGTCTTCGGCAGTTTCTTTGTCTTTGTCTTTGTCTTCAGAGGTCCAGCATGATTGATGATTGTTCAGGCACTGCCACGACTAAAAGTCACAGGTGATAGGTGACAAAGACCTCTGGATCAGAAGTGAAGGCCCATTCAAACAATGAATATGTGGTCCTTGAAAGGTAAGGATTTAATGGGATCAATCTCGGACTCATCTTCATCTTCTCAGCCTCCTGTCACCACTCCCTAGGTACCAGGCACCGTGCATCTCACATCTCACACCTCACACCTAACATCTCATCTTGACCGGTCAAGATGGATTCTCCTCTGCCTCCAACCCCATTGGGAGATCTGGCACAATTGTCGGCTGAGATCCGGAGGCAGATCTATAGGGTATGTGTCAATGAACGCTCTGCTGCCGCGCTGACCCGTACTAGCAAGGCCATCCATAACGAAGTGGACTACTTTCTACATGACGACTTTGTGCTCACGTTCGACATCGACCCTGGAGACCCTCGTTCGTGGGTGTTGATGCTCAATGCAGAAGGGGCGCCATGGTCGTCGCACCCGGGCAAAGAGCACTACCTCGACACATCCAACCGTCATCTCCTAGACCTAGACGAGACTGCCCCCATTCCGTTTGAGAGATTCAAGGCGATCAACGTCGACATCCACTGTCCCGACGCCGAGGACCCCGGCCAGCTGGTCCAAGGTTGGCAACAAGTCAATCGCTTTCTGGAGTGGTTGCTGCCGAAATGGATCGTTCGGGAATTCATCCCTGGCGAAGATTACAACCTCCAGGCGCGATGCAACACCAGCCTCAACTTGCCGAATGTGCACGTTCGTTTCGTGGGGACGCAATGGGCGGGCACGGGCGAGAAGAGAGGGTTCCAGCACAGCGTCATTGGGCCGCGGGCGGACGCTCTGAGCGTGTGGGAACAAGCCAGCTTGGGCCAGGCGAGGTTCGAGGAAAGCGACCTGGAAGTCCTGCTGCTGCCATTCCGTCGCATGCGCTACGCCCGTTCTTTTACCGTTGAACTGCCCCCGACGGCGGCAGCCCTGCGTAATGCCAGGTTGCACTCGATGATCTGCGGCGTGACCAGCCTGGCGTGCTCGACGACCGACTTTGGTCTTGATTTGAACAGAGACTCCGCCATCCAAACAGACGCCGATGTTTGGGAGGTATGGCTGACGCATTGCCTCGACAATCTCCCGGGTGGGACAGCAGCACAACTTCGACGAGCGCAAGCTTACCAATGGTGTAACACGTACGATGCGATGCTTGCAAGCAGTACGATAACATTTACTGGCAGCCTCATTGGGGGAACGAGGCAATCTTTCCTACCTGAACAGTTCCGGCAGATATGCTACAGCGACGAATTACGCTCAGACAACGCCTTATATTTACACCCACACACGGTCCGCCGGATGGCGCTGGAGGAGGAGATGGAGATGGAGATGGGGGAGGAAGGCTCACCACAAGCCCAAGGCGAGTTGATGACATACGAGCAGTACTATCCCGGAGGCCTTCCACCGGTGTCGTCGCCAGAACATGACCAGCTGGTGAGAAGACTGCAGCACACACATTACGCCGGGCCGGTAGGCCTTCGTGGCTCGGATCGCCTGCGCTATTGTAGAGGGTGTTCACGATACGCAGAGCACCGGAATGAGAGATACGACAAGTACTACCGGAAGCGGAACATGATATGAGGGGAAGATACAGAGGAGAGACGAAACAGAAACAGAAAAGAGTGGCGATGATGAGTTGTAGTGGTAGTAGCACGTAGGTAGGTCAGTGCTTGGGTAAGCAATAAGTGACAAGCCCCTACATGACTACGATGACTCCATGACTACGAGATATATCTGACATATGACTCCAGAGATGTAACTGTCACCGTCACAGCTACAGCCTACTACTAATGTACTGGACACTGGACACTGGACAGTTCGCTGGCCCGGCCCCGGCTATGTATGTGGCACGGCACACATTCACCATCTCCTCTATCATTACGGTAGAAAAGTAATCAGAAATCCTACCACTATCAAACAAATGTCACGACCATGGTATGTAGCAGAAATCCCACCACTATCAAACGAATGCCATGACCATGGTATGTAGCAGTGGCAGTGGCAGCGAATGCATCTGTGCGAGGTCAAAGACCGCCCTGATCAGTCAAGTCGTCGAGCAGTCAAGTCGTCGAGCAGTCAAGTCGTCGAGCAGTCAAGTCGTCGAGCAGTCTTCTGTACTCCCGTCTCGAACCGAACCGACCGGACCGGGACCGGGACCGGGACCGGCGTGGATCTGGTACAGTGCGACAGTACAAGTACCTACGGACCCTATCACGGAATACTGTACACAGTCGAAGAAAGAAGAAGACATTAGTATTAGTCACGCCCGGTCAAGTCAAGACACACAAGTCAAAACACATATAGAGTACATCAAGATACACATCACTTGATTACGTTATTAGGGTTAACTGAGGGTTAGGGTTAGGGTTAGGCATGATCCCTCCCTCAAACATAAGTCGACATCAACCCCCCCGACAAGGGTTTGAGAGGCTGCGTCAACGGCAGGGTCTTCTCCTTCCGCAGTTCGATCTGCACATTCTCTTCCTCCCATCGCCGTTTCTCCTGCCGCACCCTTTCCAGCTGGACCGCCTTTCCTAGGCCCAGCCATGACCACGACGAGCCAAACAGACCAGAACCCACCCCCTTGGCCATCTCTTGCTCCCTCTGCGCTGCGAGCCGGCTCATCTGGCGAGACATGGCCTTCCAGTTCTGCAGGCCCGTCTCCAGACACTCGCGACACCGTTCCTTGCCGTCGTCTTGTTTCCGTTCGTCCATGACCCACATGACCGCCTCGGCGGCTTCGACACTGTCCCGGGTCCAACTGAGACCTTTTTCTCGCTCGCTTTCGCTGGTGGCGAACAGGATCTCGCCGATGTACGTCATCAACCCGACCTCCTCGCACGCCTCCTTCAACGTGTGGAATGGCCTTTCATTGCCCGTGGGGGGAGGCGGAGGGTACGGTCTCTCGATGATCAGATCCTTCAAAGCATATACATATGGCCAGATGCCTTGGTCCTCCTGCCCTGCGGCTTTCGTTGTGCTGCCGCTCAACTCCATCAGCCCGGACGGCGGAGGAGGTAGGCTCTTTCGGGCTCGCAACACACTGAGGAAGATGGGTAACGCTTGCTTGACGTTTCCAACTCGGGCATGATGCACGCCCAGCGCCGTACACACTTTCAGTATGTTCTCGGTAACCACCTCTTCTTGGTCTTTGTTGATCACTCCGGATCGGACGTCGACAACCTCGGTCGTAACGCCTGGTACTCCTGATTGAGCAATGTCCATGGCCCAGTGATATGTCTCTTCGGCCGTCTCGGTCAGTCCCTTGAAGTCGCACCAATCCGCATATGCCATTGCAGCTTCGAGCCGTTGCCTGGTGTCGAACCCCGAGGTGGTGAGAATCTTTAGGTAGAATGTTTCGGGTGGTGGGAAAGCATCCTCGACTTGGTCCGCAGTGGGCGGGTTTTCATGCCCCTTGTTCTTATCCCATGGAAGCGGTTTCGGCCGTGGATTGTCGGGACCTGGAATACTTTCCCGAGGATAGACTCGTCCTCTTACTTGGCCTTTCTTTCTACACATTCCATCCAGGTGTTCCGCGGCACGACCGGCGCCCATCAACGCTTCATGGTACCCCCGTCGCCACTGCTCACTTTTCGCGCTGACGTCGAAGCCAGCGATTCCCAGACTATGCGCATCCGCATCCGACCCGCTCGCTTCATTTTGCATCAAGTTCTGGCCGTCATACTTCTCGCTCTCTAACCGTCGTATCGCCTCGGTGTACAGATAGCCGGCCTTTTCCCAGTCCGTCAAGACTTGTTGGACTTTGGCCCCTTCGCCCAGCTCGGTGTATTTCGCATCCCGCAGGATCCAACGACTCCAAAACGACCATTCTCGAGGCGTAGGGTAGTCTCGCTCAATTTTGGTGTGTTGCACCCCGAGTAACAGAATGGTGGCTAGGAGGAGCGACGGCCAGAGGTAGGCGTGAAACCGTAACTGGCGCCATAGTTGGGCTTTCCACCGTTGCTTTCGTTCGGTCGAGAGGAACCGGCCAAGCGGGGCCTGTGTTATATTTGTTCGGGAGATGGGATGGAGAAAGGGAAGTTGGGGTCGCGGGATGGGACGAGCCACGAGCAGAAGAGATGGTTTGTGGGTAAAGGATCTCGAGGACGGAGGTTTGGCGTAGAAGAAGTCAATGGTGGGATTCCGGCAGAGACTTCTCAGGGTTCGACGGGTGAACAGGGCAGAGGGGGAAGACCTCGACATCTCCGTCTCGTTTTGGCGGTTGTTGTTGGTGCTGTTGCTTCTCGCTCGGCGTCATGCCTGGGCGGACGAGTTGTACAGCATCGTGGATCATGGAAAAGCTGGAGTTGGAGTTCGACATCATCTCATCGCATTGAGGAGTCGGTGCGGCACCGCGGAGCACACAGATAGACGCGCATATTGCTGCGGGGTATCAATTAGTCTGGAGTCGCAACAATCACCAGCTACTACTGCCATTTCATCCGTTCTCAGCTACGGCGAGGACAGGTCCAAAGACAGCGAAGACTTCTTTTAGAGTGCTGGACCCAGGGTTACAGTGTGCCCACTTCCATGTTCATGTAGTTATCGTCCCCCATCATCCTGTTCATCCTGTCCATCACGTGTTATTCGAGAAGGCCAAAGAGCATGGCCAGTCAGATACCTGCCTCCCTGAGTCTCTCGTCCCCGATGCTTGATCTTGCTCTCCACCTTGCACAGAGGACAAAAGTCATACCCGCCAGCCTCCTTGCCGCCATGGACCTGCAATCCCTCCCGTTCATTGAGTTCGTTACTCTGACGTGGCGGCGGGATGTATACCCTGAGAGGTGGGCATTGAGCATGGACACCAAGACGTGGTACGGCCGACGGGCTCTCCTTGCTGAACCGGTTGCTGAGAACTCTTGCCCTCGGGTTTGTCCAAAACCCCCGGCCGGTGGCACTTTGTGAATGTTGCTTTGGTGACGTGATGAAGGTTGTTCAGAGGAACGCGATGACGCTGACAGCAAACATCAATGTCGCCACTAGATGAGCTGCGCCAGGTAGTGGCACGACAGCAGCGTTTGTCGCAGACTGGCTGGGTGAAGAGGAATCCTCGACCACCTTGAGGCAAGAAAGAGATGCCTCAGGCAAGCCTGAAGTCTTCGAGTCCGCGCCAGAGGGATTGTAGAAGACGGTTAAAACCGGGGTCAAGCTGAAGAAAAATGGGGCGTTGTCGCTCGACACTTCCTCCGATGTCACTCTTTGCGTCTCAATCAGAGCAACATCATAGCCGGCGCCGCCAGTGGAGGGATGGCAGCTTGTTTGCTTGATAGGGCTAAGCGTCGCATGAGGACCGGTGATTTCTAGACACAATGGTCAGTCAAAGGCCCTTCATTGTCAAGTCTGCCGGCATAGCTTGCCTTTTCCAACCACGTTTCCCCAAGTTACTGTGGCCGTGGATTGACATGAGGGCGGGGGGTGTGCCTCGAGTGCGGATTGAAGAGCAGCGCAGACAGAGGCGTTGCTGCCACCGCTGGCGTCGCGGAGCGTCTGGACCTGTTGTTGAGCCTGCGACACAAGGTCGTGTACACAACCATCTCCGAGTGTCTGGCCGCAAGTGACAGAGGTGTATTCGCTGGTGCCGTTGAGTGTGATGCTCTTGGCGATGCCTTCAAAGAACAGTGCACATCCCATGAAATCCGAGGCGCCGGCAAGGTCTAACGATGGTGGATACCCGAGGTAGAAATTCTTGACGAACTGCGTCTGGGGCGAATTGCCGGAGCTCTGCTGGGACGATGCGCCCACGGTCCAGGTAAGGGGCGCATGAGGCGAGACGGAGGTGTTGAAGGACGTGGTGCCGATAAATGAGTTGGTAGTGTTGCCCACAGTGCAACCGTCAGCCTGGCATCCGAGAACATCGCAACCCACGAGTTGCGCAGAGCCCTTCTTCAACAGAAGCCATGCTAGACAGGCCAGCAGGAGCGAGGGGTGGCGAAGAAGGCCGTGATCCAACGACGACATCATGGTCTTGAGCACACTGAGCCTCAAGGGGAGGAGGGAAGGCCATCTTCTCAACACCACAGGCGAATCCAGACAGATGAGGCTTTATGTGCAATTTGCTCGAGACCACCATCATCCCACCTACCTACTTGCCTACCTACCTACTCGCAGCACATGAAGGTTGACGGCAAGAGTCCAGACACGGCTCGTTATAATTAGCAATGCAGGCGTTGGCTGCAGGCGTTGGCCAGTAAGCGCCTCCTTTCCCGCGGGTGTATTTATATATTGCTGGCCGGGCGGGCTGCTCTGGCATGTCATTTGCAGACGGGCTTGGATGGTGGAGAGCCAGGAAAGGGTCATGCTGTGCCGGGCGCTTACACAGGACAGAGTAGCGTGGTAGTAGCAATTCGATATTACGGCAGACGAATTAGGTAAAGACAGAAGCTGTGCGGCGGAGCAGACTGGCGTCAACTGTCTTTTGTCGGGCGGAGCAGAATGGGACAAGGTGACATGGGGTGCGGGGTCATTTACGGCGAAGTGTAGATTCTATCAGGCAGTATGCACACCGCATCTTCTTGCTCTGCCGTAGAGTCACATGAGACAGAACACACCTCACACCCGGGTCCCGGCTCGCTTACAGCTAGCTGCAGAAATATCATGAGATCTCAAAACACATACTCTGGTAGTACTACTGTCAAGTCTCGGGACCGATCGTCGACTACTCGCTTCCAGACTCAATCCAGCCTGGCGATTCCTCATGTTTGACGTCCACTGTCGCGCAGATCCTGGGCACATCTGGTATAGGAGATTGCAATATCTCGTCACTGCTGCTGACTCCCTCGCATGACTCTGGGCTGACTGTGTATTGCTACTACTAGTCGCCTATCTTCTTGTACTCAGGACTCCGTACTGTGCTCTGTTGCTGCCGATGTCAACTCACCGTCCACAAATCTCTCTTAGGCTCTCCTCGATGGCATTATCATTGGCTCGCTTCCCTCGCCTAACCAGACCTCTCGCTCGATTCTCGACTTTACTCACCACCCTTGAAGTGCGAGATTGGGAGTACAGCTAACCAAGCCGACAATCGCAAACACTGCTGCCCAATGGGGTGCGCTACGGATAAACAATGGCACCCAGGCACGGCCGGTAGAACGTACGCTGCCCCAGGTGACGTCGCACACCAGCTTAGAACACGGGCTTAGAACACGCTCGACTACGGGAACAGTGGAGCTTGGTGAGCTATAAAATTCACGCGGCCATAGGTCGGAGAAAAATCGGTGGGCCAGTGCGGCCTAGACCAATGGTCAATATCGGCGCAGGGGCCGCCAGCCTTGCTCCAGGCGAGTGGCATGCATGCACCAAACCAATATATTAACGTGAGGACCAGCACTGTTCCTGACCGTCTTCTTCCCATCAAACCTGAGACAAACCACTACAATACACCAATCTCTATCCCAACCGACATACCATTCTATACCCCGGCTGAGTGTACCATATTCTCCAGATCACCTCACCCACCAGCCGGTATCGCCTCAGTTCATATCCAACCATGTCAAACTCTATACATTCATCATCGTCATCAAGCTCCTCGCGGGCCGCCAGCCGCGAGAGGCCGGCTCAGCATCAAGAGTTCAACCATTTACGTCTCCAGAGGACTGAAACTCGCGAGACTCTCCAAGAGTTGGGCGTCTCACCAACGCCGCCCAACCCCGATGTCAACTACCCCGAACTTGGCCGGCAAGAAAACCCCGTCTTCCCCGAAGAGTACACACTCGAAACCGTTACCGGTCTGGTTCCCGTCAGGACTTTGGAGCAAATCCGATCCAGAGCGTCAGTTGCGCCTTCGCGGCTGGGACGGCGGCTCAGTTACGTTTCCGAGGCCGACCTGGAAAAACAGGCGGAAAAAGAAGAAGAGTTCGTAACCTTCACCATCGCTGACCCGGAGAATCCCCACAATTGGTCGAAAATCTACCGATGGTACATTACCATGGTCGCGTCTCTGCTCGTGGTGTGCATCGCTTACGGCTCGTCCATAGTCACCGGCGGCTTAGGGCTGATCGAAGACAAGTACGACGTCTCGCTCGAGGTCGCCATTCTGACCTGCTCCATCATGGTGTGCGGGTTCGCCGTCGGGCCTCTCCTGTGGTCTCCTCTGTCGGAGATCATCGGCCGGCGCCCGGTCTACATCATCTCTCTGGCGCTCTACACCATCTTCAACATCCCCTGCGCGCTGTCGCCCAACATTGGCGGGCTGCTCGCCTGCCGATTCCTGTGCGGCGTCTTCTCCAGTTCCGGCCTTTCGCTGGCCGGCGGCACGATCGCTGATATCTGGAACCTCGAGGAGCGGGGCATGGCTATTGCCTACTTCGCCGCGGCGCCTTACTGCGGGCCTGTCATTGGCCCAATCGTGTGCGGCTGGATCAACGTGGGCAGCGGCCGTCTCGACCTGTTCTTCTGGACCAATATGGCCTTCTGCGGTGTCATCATGATCATGGTCGGCCTCATCCCAGAAACGTATGCCCCGGTGATCCTGAAGCGCCGCGCCGCCCGCCTTCGAAAGGAAACCGGCGACCCGAACATCATCACAGAGCAGGAGAAGGTCAAGCTGACGCTCAAGGAAATCATCCGTACCAGCTTGATCCGGCCCATCACCATGATCCTGACCGAGCCCGTCTTGGACCTGATGTGCATGTACATTGTGCTGATCTACGCCATGCTGTACGCCTTCTTCTTCGCCTACCCAGTCATCTTCGGCGAGCTGTACCACTACAACGACGGCCAGATCGGCCTGATGTTCATCCCCATCCTGATCGGCGCCGGCTTTGCCCTGGTCGCCACGCCCAGTCTGGAGCACCAGTTCAAGAGAATCTGCATCTCCCGGGCCCCAACCCCCGAAGACCGGCTGATCGGTGCCATGTGGGGTGCTCCCTTCGTCCCTATCGCCCTCTTCATCCTGGGCGCCACCGCCTACAAACACATCATATGGGTCGGCCCTGCTTCCGCCGGTATCGCCTTCGGTTTCGGTATGGTGCTCTGCTACTACTCGGTCAACAACTATATCATCGACTCGTACCAGAAGTACGCCGCCTCCGCCCTGGCCGCAAAGGTCTTTTTGCGATCCGGCGGTGGTGCTGCCTTCCCCTTGTTCACCACTCAGATGTATCATACCCTGGGTCTGCATTGGGCCTCGTGGCTGCTTGCCTTTATCGGCGTCGCCATGGTCTTTATTCCTTTCAGCTTCTACTTTTTCGGTGCCCGCGTCCGGGCCAAGCTCAACAAGGACTAGACAGGACAGCACAGCCGTCTCAACTTCCTTAACGGAGGGCCCGTAGTGGAGGGCTTTCCGATTTGCGACATCCGACATGAGACATGAGACATGACTTCATTTCGTGGACATCGAACCACAGTCGAAGCGATCATCATCAAGAGTCATGTGTTTTTACCTCTTGTCATTTGAAACCAAACTCCAACATGACCGACATGAAATTTTTATCGTGTTTATTGCTTTCTGGGCCATATTTGAAAGTTTCGAGCGACCGCAATTCCGTCCAAAGTCCGCCCGTGACTTGGCTGGGGAGAATCATGGCCTTCTACCCGCCACCCCAAAAATCCAGAACAGATTTGCGCACACGCAAATCCAAATGTTACTGTTTACACACTGCTACATGTACAGCTCGGCGCACCGGTGTTTCTTTGGTGTCTCCTCTTTTCTGGAGGGGACGGAGGTGCAAAGGCAGACGCATCGGAGCTCGAGATGTCTAAATTCCTCGCTCCCAGCGTCGACGTGCGGTTTCATTTGATTTGAATCGGAGAGGAAGAGGAAGAGAAGACAGAAGGAAAGGAAGGAAGCAGGGGAGAGAGGCAGAGCAGAGCAGAGCAGAGCAGCCACAAGAAAGACGGCTTAACAGTGCCGTCCGATGGGCTATATGCTATATACCATACCAGACCATCTACCTAGGTATCATAATTAATCACTGTTATACTTACTTGCCTTAGTTACTTCAGTTATTCCGTGCTCATCATGTCCGTTTTGGCCAGCACGGATCAGGGATCTTGTCGAGGTCCTGTAGATACAGATACACAGAGTACAGAGTACAGAGTACGGATATGATATCCTTACCTTACTCCATACAAAGCCTCGCTCCGAACCGGACGGAGCTCCCAATTCACCAATCATTCTGATCTTCTGATCTCTATTGTTTTCTTCGTAGTGGCTTCAACGGTGGCAACTGTTCAGAACACCTTGAAACGCTAGAATGGAATAGTCCCGAGCTAAGTAAGGTACCGTAGCTATGTATGCTAACTGAATGGACTGGATACGATACTTTGTCCCGCTGGGCAGCTGAGCTTCCCGCCTGGACCGTCACTGTAACTGTCACTGTCACTGTCACTCCCCGTACAGCCAGCATATGTTTGCTACGGCTTGAAGCTCGCTCCGTAATGAAAGTTGAAAAAGTGCCCGCACGCGGCTTGCTTGTTCGCTTAGACCCTTGAAACACTCGTGTCGACCAAAGAAACGTCCCAAGCACGCCCTCTCCCGTAGCCAGTGACGCCTCGTGCCCTCATGTTAACGTGAGACCAGACTCCGTGCTTGCTTGATCAAATCCCCTCCGTTGCTGTTGCAAATGCTTGGTATCCCGGAATGGTATGGGCCTGCTCTCTCAGGAGTGATAACCGATATGGCCTGCCTGGGTCTCGTCTCCTATCTCTTCACCGTTGGATTCCCCCGCGTTAAGTCATATGCATCCTTATCATCTACTGTGTCATGGTAACATCATGGTCAGGATCGTGAGCTGGTGTTGACACCGCCATTTCAATGTCGACTCCTGGCACACCTTCAGACCGGCTCGTCGGACTTCTCACCACCCGCTCCATCAATTCCGGTGGGAGCAAGGGTAGCTCAATGTGGCGATCTGACTCACGACGGTCGAGGTCGGGCCGCAACTGCTGCGAGGCATCTGCCTCGGCAAGAGCTTGCAGCATGGCTTCTCGATGGGCTTCTTCCTCCAGCCGCACTCTTTCTCGACTTCGGCCGTTTCGACTGCTCCGTCCAGTACTGTCTCCCTGATTGAGAGGCGTAGAGGAATAGCTTCGAGGCGGCGGTGCCAGAAGACTACTCAATCTAGTCCGACTGTTGACCCTGGAGACGTGAGGGCTATTGGACCTGGAAGGATCTCGACTTCCGGATCGACTTCCTGGAATAGTCGCCATGATCGCCTCATGGTTGGCATCAAACGCGCTGAATCCAGGCTCAGGTCTGAGGTAAGACTGCCGCATGTCGGAGGACGGTCTGAAAGCTACGCCGACCAGCGGCCTTCTTAGAGGCTCTGCTGAAAATGGGCTGGAGTTTGGCCATCCTGAAAACCGTCTGATGTCCTCAACCCCAAAATAACTGGTTCTGGGATCGTGTGCATAATGACCAAGTTCGACAGGCCTGGAACTGCTTTCCCCATAACCGTGAATCGGAACTGGCGGTGGGCCAAAAATGCTAGAAGCAGATTCCAAAGTGTGCCTCCGTGATGGAGTACGTGACGAGCTTCTTGCGCGTTCACCATACTCTCCAGTCACGTCAAAAGCGGGGCTGCGTGATCGATGTTCATACCCTTCATGTTGGTACAGGGGACCGGAATTCATCAGATTGAGATGTGGAGGTGCAAGGGCCGCCCGAGCTTCTGGGGTCAATGACACGCCAGGCGTCCATGGGCCTATATGCTGAACTTGATCGAAAGGCAACAACGGCATTTCAACGTGGTAGCTTGGGAGTTCATTTAAGCTCCGAGGCCGAGGTCTTGAGTGAGGAGTGATGGCGAAAGACACGCCGTGTCGATGGGGGTTCAACACTGGGTCCATCAAGTGATCGTTTCCGTCCAACGTACCGTCGTCGGACATAGTATCGGCGCCGGGACTGTCGACTCCATCAAGCAGACTGTCGTCAATTGCCTCACGACAGAGTCGTTGGGCCTCTTCCAGGGCAAGACGCATCAAATACTCGCGGAGTCGTGAGACACCCTCTCCTGAAAAGACGCAGAATACATCTCGTTGCGGATGAGTAAACTCGGCCGGGGCATCGCGACAGAATCGTGTCAAGTCCTCGCGAAGGAATGCTTGAACGCCGGTCAGTGAGAGATGGGTTAGTCGAGGACAGTTGTGCAGGAGGGCGGTAATTCCCTATTCTTTCTGTCAGAAATCATCCGGAGCAGGACCAGGAAACAGGGAAGATGCCATACCTGGACAGTCAAATTCACACAGTAGCTGAGGTGGACTCTCTCGAGTGACACAAACTGCGAGGGCACTCCCGCTTTCCCTGCTGGACTAAATGAGAGTGGCCCATGAGCTAACGCGAAGATGCTCGAGTCGGTCAAGTTCTGGCATTTGACCAGCCCGATTCGGCGAAGCTTAGGAAGCTGAGCGAGATGGCGTACGCTGGCGTCAGTCAGCCGAGAACAGCATGCCAAGTCAATGTATCTGATGCGATTGCAGGATTTGACCAGCTGGATGACCGCACTATCGGTCAGATTGACACAATGCCCCAAGTGGATGTAGTGCAGATTCTTGCCCAACTTGCAGATAGATGCAACCGCTCGATCTGTGATATGTCTACACTTGGCCAGCACGAGATTCCTCAATCGTGGAGCGGCGGGGATGATCCTTGCAATCGCCTCATCTCGCACTTGCTCGCAAGCTGTCAGATCCAGAATCCTCAGCGTATCAAAGCCAAGCCGTGGTGGAAGATTGGTGAATGCCGAATCATTGATATCGACGCAATGCGCCAGGCGTAGCTCGCGAAGGTGGGTCAAATTCGACAATAGAGCCGTTACGGACTCCGAAGTGATGGAATGGCAACCAGCCAGATCAATCTCCAGTATCGAGCGGCAGTTTCGGGCCACGGCGATGATAGAAGCGTCTGTAGCCCGTATCACGCCGTTGAGCTTGAGCCGTTTCAATTGTAGGCAATGTTCGGCAATGTCGATCAGCGACTCATCCGTGATGTTCGAACAGTTAGTGATGTTGAGGCCTTGGAGCTTGGCGCAGTTTTCGGCGACGACATGCAATGTTCGATCCGTTAAAGCGTCTAGGTCCGTCACGTCTAGGGCCTGAAGCTTTCTGCAAGAGTCGACAAGCCCGGCCACGGCAAAATCCGTCAATCTCGAGCAGTTGGTCAGCGTGAGTCGTTCGATCCCTTTGCAGCTCATGAAAGGCGTTACTGTCCCATCATTGATGGTGGCCGCAATTGCGGATAAGTTCAGTCTCTTGACCATCTCGTGGTATGGAAAATAACTCTTGTTCCCCTTTCCCAAGGCAGCCACGACATTGATCAGGTTCGACCATTTGTTGCACAGTGGCCTATGCCACAAGATTCCAACCGCATACAATGCCCAGTGGTATGAGACCAACATGCAGTTCCGAAGGTCCGCCGTCGTGGTCAATTTGGAAAGGATACCAATCAGGATTTCTGGAGGCAGTTTCGATATCGGAGAGAGACGGTGCACTTGTTCGAGGTCGACGACATCATCATCACAGTCGCGGATGGCGGTGACGGCACCCAGGGAGGATTGCGAGTCATTGGCATGTGCCATGAAATAGTCGGTATCTTCATCATCGCCGGGACCTGGGGTAGTGTCCGAACTGTCTGAATCGACGGTCACGGTGCTGATATTTCGGGTGTGAAGGGGGGGCAGTCGAGGTCGCGGTTCGTCAGCCATAGTGGCAGGTAGGGGCTTCTGTTATGATGTAGAGTCGAGCTTGTGTGTCGGAGGATATGTGGTATGTTATCGCTGCATAGATGCCGCCTCTTTAATGAATATCCACAGACGCAAAGATGTAGAGAAGGGTGTGCATTGCCTCGGGGGGCGCACCGAAGGTTGTGAATTTGAAGTGTTTGTGATCGGTAAATCCGGTTGCGGTTGCGGTAGAAGGAAACAAGGGCGTTGGTGACTCAGGAGGATGCAAACGGGGTGGCAACATGCATTGCCTTTGCGACAGCACTATATGCAGGGAACATTCGGCATGCACTGGCGTGAACGTGAGCGTGGACGAGAAGTGGGCAGGCTGTCTGGCTGGCTGGACGAAGAGGAAATGAGGCCAGGAGGTCGATGGCGGTGACAGAAGGAGGCTGCGCGCCAGGAGAAGACGGTGACAGCAGCGGGATGTGATCTGGTCCGTTCAAGCAATCAAGCACCGGCCGCAAGGAATGACCTGGACGGATGGTCTGAAGCCCCAGGTTTACAGGAAGGAATTGAAGACCGTCAACGGTACTGTAGGTCGGGAGAGATCGACTGTCTCAAAAGCTGCAGGTGGCCGTGTGTGTGTATGTGTGTTTGTAGGAGTAGGGTGTAGGAGTACCTGGTAATAGGTGGTAGGTGCCTGGGAGTAGGAAGAAGAACAATAATAATAATACCTATTGGTGAGCTGTGACTAGGTACAGATGCTGTCTGCTGTCGCAACCCTCACTGACCAAGCAACTGTGGTGACTGCACTCACTGGCGCACTGGCAGGCGTCGCACGCCCAGAGACAACATCCTACGGGGGGCGAAGCGGCTCCCGCCTCCTTTGTCAGCTCTAGGGGCATCCTCACCTCCTCATCATCCTCCGTACGTACTTTAGTTGCCACTAATTACTCAGACACTCCCTCTTTCTCCTATACGGATCACAGGCCTCCAAGTCCAATCGTTAAAGGAAAGACATCTTACATCTTACATAATGCCTACCGCCTACCAATGCCCCCAGCTCCAAGTCTTTCCTGATGGACACTGCTACAGGGTGTAGGTGCTGCGATGATGGGAAAAAAGCCCGCAGGCTACATAGCCAACATGCATTTGATCCACAGATCTCGTTCAAACGGTGAATGCACGTCCTTGTGTCAAGCGTAGCCGATGTCGAGTCAATTCGGATTGTGGACTGGGAGACCTGGTGGTCAATGTGATTGTCATTCTTTTCGACGACTCGCTAGCACTACTACTCCCTGGTCTTCAATGCTCAAGCGGGGTTCTAACGCTCCTCGTCTATCCGTACGTATATCCGTACATACATTTCATGCGTCCTGTATGCTACTACACTATTGACCATCGGCTCGGACAAGCAAATCGCCTACTGCAATGCACAACTGCGCCCCACGGCCAAACGTGTCCTCGAGGCTTTGACCGGGGCTGTCGAACAGGTTCAATGACCATGGCCACCGGAGCTTCGTCGAGATCCTCCCAAATCCTCGGCACCCAACGCCGATGTGATGCATTCTCTTGGAAAGCGAGATGACCTATTACTACCAACTGTATCAGAGGGTCATCGCAGAATATCTCCCACATCCTTCCATCCTTCCCTCCTTCATCTCAGCTACACTCGACAGCCTCAGTCCACTCCACTATTGGATGTCTTCCAACCACTAGCGGGCGCAGTGACGTGCTGGGCCGATGGAGGCGGCGATATAACCTCCGGGTTGCCGACATTATACGCATACAGACGAGACACGGTCGTTCAGCTGCATCCGGCACCACGGCAGCGCAGCCGTCAACCACAACCACAACCACAACCGAAAAACCCGACCTGATGGAGAAGAACGTGTCTTGACAGAGCTTCATGTACTGTACGACTCTGTACGACTCTGTACGACTCTGTACAGATATGCGGTATACAATATTCAATACCTGGCGGCCATTGAGGCCGAATTCCATGTCCATCATGCAACCACGATGAGTGCATGATAAGAGATATTGTGCATGTCGATGTCGCAGCTAACCCTGGCCCGTAGCTCTACTCTTCTCCCCGTTTTCCTCGGGCCCACTCTCGCAGGATGTTCTTTCTAATCTTCCCCGTGCTTGTTTTGGGCAGTTCGGGGACAATCTCTACTTCTCGAGGCACCATAAACCTGCTGATTCCTGGATGATCTCTTGCCCACTTGATCACGGCCTCACCAGTCACTTTGGAACCGGGCTTGACAGTGATGAAGGCTTTGGGTCTCTCACCCCAATGACTATCACTGACAGCGGCAACACCACATTCAAGCATCTCCGGATGTGTGACAAGTATGGACTCGAGAGCAACCGAGGAGATGTTTTCCCCTCCTGGCGGAGTTTGTCAGTCATCACTATGAGATAGGAAGCTGGGCAGCTTACCGGAAATTATGATGTCTTTTGCACGGTCGAGGATTTGAATAGCCCCATCTGGATGCCACACGGCCAAATCGCCTGAATGCTGCACGCCGCCGGCGAACAACTTTCTTGTAGCAGCTTCGTCCTTGTAATATCCGCGGGCACAAATGTTACCAATGAAAACAATCTCGCCAATCTCCTGGCCGTTCTTCTCAACGTCCACTATCGTCCCTTCTGGTAGGTCGGTCTTGATAACTCTGGCAGGCAAAGAAGTGACGATGCCATGACCTTGACGGGCCATTTTGGCGTATTTCTCCTTGACATTGGGGAGATTGTCCCATTCCGGCAGAATGTATCCTTTTGTGATGGGGCCGTATGTCTCGGTCAACCCATACACATGCACTGGATGTAGATTCAAGTTGGTCATCTGCTCAAATAAATGTGCAGTGGGAGGGCTGGCAGCAACCGTCACCCGGACAGGCTTCGGAAGCTTGGTAGCATTTGAGTCTGCGCAGAGCAGTGTGTTGACGGTTGGAGCGGCGCAATAATGGGTGATACCCTCATCTCTTAGCAAACGCCAGATTTCGGGGTAGTCGATTTTGCGCAGGCAGTAATGCGTCCCTCTCACCGCGGTCACTGCCCAAGGGTATGTCCAACCCATGGCATGGAACATTGGCAGAGTCCAAAGGTACCTGCAACGCTCGCCATTGTGATAGGATAGCCCGGACTCAATGACATTGCCCAACGCAGCTAAATATCCACCTCGGTGAGTATATTCAACGCCCTTAGGTCGAGCCGTAGTGCCTGAGGTGTAGGCCAACGCAGTCACGGCGAGTTCATCGGCGGCCTGGGCCTCAAGACCATTCCAACCGTGAGAGCCTTGGGAAGTGTCATACTGTAAACCTTCCAGCACGGCTTCGTCGAAGGGACCGCACAATTGACCCTGGATCGCATCGGTATCCGTGTCCACGATCAGTGGCACGTCGGGGTGTTTTGCCTTGTAGTCGTCAAGAAGGTGGATGAACTCGGCGTCGACCACAATGGCATCGGCATCTGCATGGTCGAATATGTATGCGATATCATCTGGCTTCAGCCGATAGTTGATGGCGATGTTGACCGCACCGGCAGCGCCGATGCCAAAGACGGCTTCCAGAAACGCCGGGGTGTTTGTGCATAAGATCCCTACTCGCTTGTACCCTTTCTTCTTGATGTAGTAGGCAAACCCGCGAGCTCGGTCGGCGAATTCGATGTATGTCCGGCGTAGGATCTTGTTGTTGGCCGTTCGGTGGTAGATGGCGGGAGCATTGGGTTCGATGACTGCGGCGCGGGGGAGGAAGAAGGCCGGGGACAGGGTGTGATTGTTATACCATGAGGAAGTGCCGACCTTGTGACCGTCAATGGTCAGATCATCGATGCTTTTACTCCGCGAGGCCGAGCCGGGGTGCAGGAAGTGGTTGGCCAAATTGCTCAACCGAGCTTTGGGAGAAGACATGGTTGCGTAGCCGTACAGTAGCTGGGGAGGTGGAGATGGGGAGGGATGTGTTGCGGAGGGCGATGTCGGCGTCCCGGGACCAACTGGCAGAGCTACTGTACAACAGACACTGGTACAAGCGGAAGTTCAGATCAGTAACAGGATATCCCTTGTATAGGTATGCACAGCGAATATCACTCTATCCGTACAGTACGGAGTACTCACCGAGTGCGAGATTCTTGATGGCATCCAGCCGGGGCAGGGGCAGTCTATTCGCAGTATTAGCTCGGCTGTTTGGCACTCCGCCGAGATTCGCCCACTGCAGCGAGTGCGGGGAATGGATTACGTAGGAAATGGGGAGACGCGCCTAAGCCTCGGTGCCTGAGGAGCCTAAGCCTTCTGAGCCTTCCAAGCCTAAGCGCTTTAGCCTAAGCCTCCTAAGCCTCCTTATGTCGCCCAAGGAGCCTGCGCCCTCTCGATTCGCCAAAGACAAGATATGCCTGCGGTCCTGGACACCGCCAGTGACCGTCAGGCTGTGCGGTGGCATACTGTACTTTCTGCACCTCACTCTTGCTTTTTTCTCTCTTGCTTGTAATCTGCCTAGGTCTGAAGCGACCCTTGTGCCTGTCCTCTGAGGCATGTCATGTCTGCATCTTGAGGCTGATGCCGCCTGTGCAGCAACACCATGACTGAGCCTGAGCCCCTTGTCTCGGGGTACAATCTGGTCACCGCAGAGACGTTTCCTCAGCAGTGTTTACAGCAACTCCGAAGCGATGAACATGAACGAGGTGCTAATTCAACAGTCTTTACACCGTACTGTGACTGCGTGAGACATCTCAGTGGAAGAAGAGAGAGGACCAAGAAAGCAGGTGCTTTACAGAGTCACCCATGGTTGTCACAAAGGAACTCTTGAACAGTATGCTTCGACATATCGGAAAGCTGCTTCTGCTGACTACAGGCCTGGCTGGTCTCCTGGGCAAATCCGTTCCAATTGCGTCCCCAAGATCCCAACTCCAATCTTGTGGCAATCCAAGAGAATCCTCTCGTGAGATTTCATGCATACCCCAGAGACCAGAATGTTTCGATATTCTTGCCGGTGTCTTCGTCAATATATGGCAAAGGCTCCCGTAACGTCACACTTTGTCCATGGATCTCAGCAATCTGCCCAGTCTGTGAGGGATCGGACACCAGCTGCTGGACTCCCCTCGTCAGCGTCGACATGGGTGTGATGATCATGGGCTTAAATAAGTCCTTGCTGGGAGCAATGTTGGTTTCTGCACAATATAAGCAACTTCCCCTTTCGAGCTGAAGAATGCATACGCACCAAGAACAGCAGGTGCTAAAGCATTGATTTGAATAGACTCCTTCAGAAGTGACCGAGCAAGGGACCTAACCAAGCCCACCACGCCAAATTTGGAGGCGGCATAAAGCGGAGCAACATGAAACGGATAGAGGCCGGCATTTGAAGCTGTGCAGACAATCGAACCTTTGGATGCTGTTGTGCCATTGCCAACCACGGCGTTCTTCTTGATATAATGGATTGCCAACTTCACAGCTGTCGACCACCATCAGCATTTCCCAGCCGACGAAAACAGAATCGTCTGACTCACTATAGATGGTCCCTGTCAAATTGACATCAAGAGTTTTCAGGATTGGTTTGGAAGGTTTCTCTTCGTCGACAATGAGCTTTCCTTCCCTGGAAATACCAGCGTTGGCAATAACCACATCGATTCGGCCTTGTTCTTGGTAGATCTGCTCGAAGACAGAGGCCAAATCGTCCCAGTTGGAGATGTCGGCTTTCTTGAACACAAAACTTGCTTCTGGAAATTCTGGTATTAACTGTTGCACGATGTCTGCGCCGTCGGAGTTTACATCCAACACCGCGACGTGGGCGCCTTGTCCTGCGAAGAAACGCGATATTGCAAGCCCGATACCCGAGGCGCCTCCTGTTTAGACGAAAGCAACGTTAGTACGCTTCCTTCCCATCTCTTCAATGGCCTCTGGGATAACATCTGGCCAAGGACTGACCGGTCACAACAACGCTCTTCTTCTGCACTGCCATGATATGCGTGATGCCTGGGCCGGATGTCTGGATTTGGTCGAAGAGACAGTCGTTGTATCCAAGTACATCGGTTGCATCCAAGCTATTGACTCACCTCTACCACCCCTCGGAGCCTTTGTAACAATGAGGACCGCGTCAAAGCAGATGGAATGTTCGGAAATGCCCCCTCCGCCTGGCCGGGTGTTGGGGCATTTTTCCACGTGGGGCACACAGCCTTGACAACCTCCTTTTACACCTTTCCCCTCAATTCCGCCTTCCGCCATGTGCTATTGTGAGTTGAGAAGCTCTGTAATGCCGGGTACAGGCAACATCGGATCAGGCACCCTAGCTTGTTGTGGAGATCCGTCGGCACCTTCATGTGGGTGGACCGCATAGTGACAGACCCCAAAGGATTTAAAATATACCATGCCAGTCGCTGAGCCTCATCATCATGGCATTGCCTTGCTAAACAAAAACCAACACGGGCGACATTGCTAGCCCAATACCAACATCCATCATGGCCGAAATCCTAGTTGACCAAGCAACTCTCGACTCGGTCAAAGGCAAAGTGGTGGTTCTTGCAGGTCAGTCCATCTAACCCTGCCTCACATCGCCTCTTATGCTCATGTTGGACATGATCCAGGCGGTGCACAAGGCATTGGTGCAGCAACAGTCACTCAGCTCTACCAGTCCGGAGCTCATGTCTTCTTCGGCGACTGGAGCGAGGCTCATGGCTCCAAGCTTGCGGAGCAGCTACGTAGTTCCTCGCCAGCTTCGGGAGGGAGCGTGACTTACCTCAAGGTCAATGTGCGAGACTACCAGTCTCTCTTGTCGCTCTTCGACACGGCGTACAATAAGCATAAGCAAATCGACATGGCGATCTGTTGTGCGGCGGTATCTGAGCGCCCAGGGTATTGGGAACCGGACAAGCTGAATCTCCAGTCCGTGAGGGAGGTAAGTCAACCATAAGCCACCATTCATTCCCAAACAATTCTGCTGCACGCTCTTTTTAGCTAGGTCCGAGGACCGGTCTTAGAAGCATTCCGCAGCTTCTCCTCTATCATGATTTCATATAGTCCGGACTCCCCCAGGCCCATTTGATAGAGAAGGAGGAACCTTTCAACCTCTGTTTGTTGGGCTATTCCTGTGATCGGAACTCACAGCCAGGCATTGAGATTCTATTACTTTTAATCCCAGTCTTCATTGTGACACTGACCATGAATGGGTAGACACCGACCGGGATCATCGATGTCATCGACATCAACCTCACCGGCACACTCTTCTTTGCTCGGCTGGCGGTGGCATATCTGAAAGAAAACCACAATGTCGACCGGCAAAACAGCTCCCCCGAATCCATTGTCTCGTCGAAATCCATCACGTTGGTGTCGTCCGTGGCCGGCTTCAAAGAGTCGCCTGGCCTGTTTGCCTACTCGGCAGCAAAGCACGGCATTCTGGGGCTCATGCGCTCCCTGAGGCCGTTCTCTGCACCCGTGTATGGGTTAAGGATCAACGCTATATGTAGGTCAACCCCAGTATCCGGCCATGAGTTCTTGTCACATCCAGCAAGAATGGCGGACGGCCAGTTACATAGGGTCGGGCCACAGTCCCAACCGCGTCTATCAAACTGTACTGTGGTTCTGGCCGAATGCTCATATATCTGGATCCTTCTCTGATCTGACATTCATGCTGACTCGATGCGAATCTAGGCCCATGGGCAACCGACACCCAACTCTTCTCAGGCGTCCGCCAGGCCTGGACAGAGGCCAAGATGCCGCTCAACACGCCGCCCGACGTGGCACGGTATATTATCCAAGTCGGGGCCGATCCACGTACGCACGGGAGGGCGCTTTTTGTCAGCGGCGGCAACGCCGTCGATATCGAAGACGGCCTGAACCGCACAGAGCCTTTGTGGCTGGGCGAGCAAAACAGCCGCGAGTTGAATCAAGGGCAGGTGATTCTTGGATTGGTGAGTCGCACTTATTAGTTTTCCCCTCTTCCATGTTCCTTCCTCTTTGCATAGGAAACCGAAAGGCATTATATCGTCTCGTCTCGGCTCGTTTCATTGGCCTACCCCATGTCTTTTTGATACGATGGGACGTCTCCTTTGGCACGAATTGCGTTGCATTGCAGGACTCCACGACAGACCAACTACTTACCGTATATCGTGGCGTCACACTTAGGGCGTGGACTGGGGCCACACCAAATCTTGATCTCTTGCAGCAGTCCATCCCAGACTGGTGCTGGTGACAACTCTGGGCAAGAAAAGCAGGCGATCGACTCGCTTGTGCCCGGACAGCCGTCTTTACAATTTCACGCCATAAGCCGAGTCGGATTGGACTTTGTGGGATGCAGTGGGAAGCATGCACCCCAGCAACGCCTCTTTTCAAGCACGACGGCTGCAGAGCACCGAACCGGAAGGGACGGAAATCGAATCGAATCGGGCACTTGCTGGATAAGATTGGGACTGCGGTCTCGGTGTTGAAGGAGAGTGGCCTTTTCTGGGCATGAGGGCTCAGATCTTCTATGCCGGGTGCAGAATGGTACTGTCCTTGTATTGAACTGGCACTGAGCAGGATTGAAAGGAAAGGAAAGGAAATGAAATATCGAAGGCGTGAAAGTAGTACACTTGACAGAATGGTCCGGTAACGAATTGATTACCTAGTCTTTCTAATTACCTTTTGATCAGGTCTAGGCCGAGCACTCGATGGCCATTATCATTGTTCTCTATATCAAGTCGTTTCATGAAATGAAGAGGACGAGGATTTGAAATCGCTCGAGTCTATCGTCGTTCGGTCGAGAGCCATGTCCAAGTCCGAGGCCGGGCCTAGGTTGATTTCTCCTCATCATTCTGTGTGCCTGCCACTACTACGCGCTGGCCCTGACTGTGTTCGGGACGCTTTGGCTCTGGAATAGCTGCTGCCTCAGCAGCAGGCCGAGATTGTTGTTGCTCTTCTTCGTCACCGTTTCGCTCCGCGGCCTCAACCGCAACCGCAATCGCAACCGGCGCGTTCGTGATTCCGCTGAGGTTCTGCTTCCGCACGTTCCAACCGCCAGCCCAGCCGATCCATCGGTGCTCATAGGGTCCGCGGGCGAAACAGACGAATATGGATAAGGCCACAAAGGCGACGCTGAGACTTCCGCTGGCCACCCAGCCGCCACGGGCGTACAGCTTGGCGCCGGCGCTGGTGCCGGTCAACTGGCCGGTGAAGGTCATGAGCATGAAGGCGGTGTTGACCCTGTTCCGGCCGTTGGGCTCGATGGTGGCGATGGCGCCGCGGTTGGCAACCTGGGTGATTTGCAGACCCATATCTAGCGTGAAGGCCTGGATGATGGGGCCGGCGACCGTGTGCTTGCCGGAGTAGGTGCCGACGACGACGCCGACCAGGCAGGCCAGCAGACCGACCAAACAGCTGAACAGCGGCGTGAACGGCTGGATCAGGTACTTGGCGTACAAGGGGCCGAGCATGATGGCCGCGACGCCGATAAGCGCAAACAGCCCGATCACCACCGGGCTGTAGTTGTACGGCGGGTCGGCCAGCAGAAACGTCAGCGTGGTCCAGTAACTGGTGAAGCCGGCGGAAACGCAGTAGCTGACCAGGCCCGCCTGCACCAGTACCGCATATTTCCGGTATAGCAGCACGATCCCACCGATCATCTTGAAATAGTTCAGCCCCGCCGGGTTCGTCGACGGGTAGTCCGGCATGAACAGCCACAAGGAGCAAAGGACTAGGTATTGTAGCCCCAGCGCGATCCAGTAGATGTTCCGCCACGACGTGAACTGTGTCACCACCCCGGAAAGGATCCGCGCGACCACAATACCCAGCAGGTTGCCGGATGTGACAATGCTCAGTGCCATGGCCCGTTGGTGGGGAGGCGCCAGCTCTGCCACCAGCGGGAGCATCACTTGCGGGATCACGGTGGTGATGGCGCATATGTACGAAATGGCGCAAAAGGCTGTGAACGACCGGGTCAAGCAGAGACCGATCCTGCAGAGAGCATACGGTAAGCTGAGTTCTCGGTGGGTGTGCCGTTGCACCGCTCTGGCGGCACAGGAGCCTGGACAGAAGACAGATTCCTCATCGCACGGCACGGGATGAGATAGAATGCGGATGTGCATACTCACCACATGGTTGCAGTGAAAAGGATCAGCGCCAATGTCAACGGGCGCCGTTTCAGAAGGTCGCCCAGCGGACACACGAACAGCAGTCCTGTGGCATAGCCGGCTTGCATCAAAGTCGGGATCCGCGACACCGTCTCGTACGGCACGTCGAATTCACGGGCGAGAATATTCAGGATGGGATGGTTGTAGTAGAGGTTGCCTACGGTGAAGGCGCCGGCGAAAGCGAACAGGACATTGTGCCAGATGGAGAAGGTCGGAGGGTTTTTCACATCGTAGCGACACCAGGGCGGCATCCATGTGAGCCTGTCGATGAGCCTCTTGGTCCATCTCAACTGGGCCTTCGATGCAGAGAGATCGCTCTTTTGGTCTTCGTCGAGGGCGAGGGCGAGGGCGTCACCGTTGGCGGTCGGCCATGCTTGTTGGTGATGGGGGACTTTCTCGTCCACCATGCCCTCCGAGCCGGACGACAATAAGCAGTAGTGACGGCTAGAGATCCAAGAATATGGAGTATGGGATATTCAGTGTGTTCCAGTAGGTCTGAGGGCGGGTGTGAGGGCCACGACTGTTTATAGTCAGCTTCTTTGACTGGAGTTTTCTGGGACCGGCCGAAGTTTTTGCTGTTCTATGTTCTCCCGTCGGCTCGCGGAGATGATCGGCTCCACCGCCAAAAGCTAGGACGTGGGAGCAAACACCGGAGCGTGTTGGGGAAAATCTCTCCACCGATGATGATCCCGGATGTCCATTTCTCACTTTTCGGATTCCGTGGTGGGACATGAAGCAAACATTACTGTCCCACGTCTCCTGTGCTTAGAAGGAAGGCCTTCATCTCTGCAACGCCCGTCAAATGCCGGAGTGCTCGAATTGGGCAGCGGCGGGGTTGTCGCCCACGGTGACATTTAATTCGACCATTTATCTCCAGCATCTTTGGACATGGATTTCGCCGGGAGGTTATCTGCGGTGGCATCTTGGTGTCTCGGATGTGATGGCCCAGACACTGTGGGAGGCTGGTCCTGTTCTTGAGAGTCTTCGACCTGAGGTGGATTGTCTGGCTGCGCGTACGATCGATCGGGGTGTTCGAACTGCAAAGTCTGCCATCTGCCATCTGCCATCTGCGCAGGTTCAGGGTAAGATTATGGAAGCACGTACTGGGTCCGGGGCGGCAGATCCATACCCTTTGATGTTCTGCACTTGACCCAAAGGCACTTACTAGCATGAGAATGACAGCCTGAAGAACTCGAAGATGCCATTCATGATCATTGTCCCGGGTGCAGCTGCCGGCGGATTGTTTCTCCGGCCCTGGCTGCCTGGCCGTTGCACGTGACTGCTGGATTTCTCACCATTTCAACCTGAAGCCTTCTATTCCACCTCACCTCCTACTCTTTGGGTTACTTCTTGACTCCTTCTTTCAGTCTGGTGGTGATACATATCATGGGGCTGGTTGTTCAGCCACCGCTCTTCCGACTTAGTCAACAATGAATGATGCGGTGCGGGCGACCGCTGAGTTTCGTGCTACGCTGTCAATATCAGCGTTGGTGTCAAGAGCAGTGTCAGAGTCAGAATCAGTATTCAGTACTAGTGTCAGTGTCAGTGGCAGTGGCAGTGGCAGCGTCATGCTCGACTTGGCTTGATGCAAATGTTGCGTCGAGATGGCTGTCATATTGACGTTCGTATGGCGGCGCATGGTGCTGACGATGGTGACTCAGCAGGGCTGGCGGGACTCCCTATACAGAGTACATACCTTACAGTATCGAGTAGTTCGAGTAGTATAGGGATGAATGATCCCTCTGCCGATCACAAATCACAATTAGTCCCAGCTGGTGCTAGCAACGCTGGCCTGGCTACTGGAATCCTGGGTCCTATCTACGGCAGGCGAAGAAACGGGGTCATTTTTAATTTGCTTTCTTGGTCTGGCCTCAGCCTCTCCCTCTCCCTCTCTCACTCGTCTTGACTTTCTTCGCCCCACTCACCCAGCTCCTATATGAATGCCAGGTTGGATCGACTGCGCTAAATACATCATCTCCCCCATGCCCAGATGAGAGCGATATCTCGATGTATGTAGCCGCCATGAGCAAAAGAAATCTTCCATTCCATTCTTTTGCCCGAATCAAGGGCAATCGCGCTTGATGACCGAAACTCATCCCGCTAGGACACACAAAAATCGTCTTTCTTTCCAAAGGAGTGTTCTCATGCTTCACTGTGCTGAAGCTGCAAGTCGTTACTACCTGCTGTTGGCCGCCCTGTTCCGTAAAGGAGCGCCATGTCGTTAATGGTCATAACATTGAGAGGATAATAAAAATCGACACCTGGTTGAGGTGCCGCGGAGACATATTAGATTCTTTTGACAGGGATGGCTCCCGCTTTGAAATCTTGCGCTTTTGGACCGGAATGTCGTGCCTAATGGTTACATCCCCTCGGTACTCCAGTTACAGAAAACCATGTCGCTGTTCCGTGGCGCCGCTGAGCCGAAAGAACCTTGGATTTGTACAGTCAACAGCAAAAGAACTGTACAAGGTCTGGTTGTACATTTCAAGTGCGGAAAACATCAGTTAGGATTTTGATGAGATTGCGCTTGTGGGGTAAGAGAGTAGGGCCTTTTGGTTCTGCACTTTTGTTTTGGTTGGTCAACGCTCGAGGACGAGCAACTGTCATAGGTCCAATAATCTCTCCATCGCCGAGTTCAGGAAATTTGCCGCTCTTGTCGTCGATGATGGGCAAGACAACTTTGCTCATAGGCGTCTCTAGGACCGCACTTGACGTGGTCGAGGCTTGCAGATCCGACCCGCCGTCGCTCAGACGAGCTAGAACAGGAGCAAGGATATTTCTCATTAGCGTGTGTTGTCTTTGCCAGACTTCGTCAACGCTCGCCCATTTCTCCTCAGTGAGTTTGTACACTTTCGAAGTCGACCCGTAATGCTCCGCGGTCCGGGTGATGTGCCTAGCATAATTGGTTCGAGCCTGATCCCAATTGTTGCGGAAGTCAGTGTATGACTCCAGGTCGACCGTCTCGGGGGCGAATGGTTCGGGGTAGATTGTGAAGTCGGCATGACCGAGTCGGACCGCCCAGGGATCAGAAAGTGCATCCAGGGGGTACATTGGCGCGATCTCACCATAGGGTGAACTGGTCATAGTGTTTGTGCGAGACCTGTTATGCAGGGAGACCATGGATGGCTTGGTCGAGAGAGATGGGGACGAAAGGCCTGACAGGGGACGCTCGATCGATGTCGTGGAGCCCATGATTGTAGGTGTGGGTGCGATGGTAGGCGATTGAAGAGGAGAGTGGACTGGTTCCTCCAACTTGCTCAGCTCTGTCAAAATCGGTGGTAATAGCGGGGTGGTTGCTTGACATGGCTCCTCATCCTCTGCCGGCTTCTGCACTATATCGATTGGTTTTGCTTCTGGTTCGATTGAAAGTTCGCTGATCTCAGGTATGACTGGCGACGAGGTAACCAAGCTCTCCCGCTTAGATATAACACTCAAAGTCGGACTGCAGACTTGCGACGATTTAAGAGACCCAGAACGAGACAAGGGAGAGTCGATGTGGGTGACGATGGACATTGGCGGTCCTGGAGCAGACCGATTCTTCCAGCGTCGTGAGATGGAGCCAAATCTACTGCTGAAGCGGTGACGGTGGACAGGGGCGGGCTGTTCCATGGATTTGCGGCGTTTGAATATCCCAAGCCCGGAGGGAGGCTGAGCCCAGTCGTCTGCGTCTCTCAAGCTCCATTCATGTTGTCGTCCTGGAGAACCTGGTGGGGAGAGTTGGCCGTGGTGACTTGAGTAGGCCTTGTCACAGTCACTCCAGTCATACATCCCGTCGCTCACCAAGGTGTACTCTTCAAACTCATCCCTTTCGTGAGGTTCCTCCGTCACATCTTCCAATCTTTTGGGTGCCCCGTACATGTCGAGTGATTCTCGCGGGAGTGGGGACGACGCGATGGACGAATTGGAGCCTCGTGACGAGTGGCCTTTGGAGAACATGGACGTGGTGGGTGAGCCCAGGTTGACTGAGGATGTCGAAGACTGAGCGGCGTGCCCATTCGCGGCAGAGGGATATGGATTATGATTATGATAATCCATGGCAATGTGATCCAAGGTCGATCGTCCTTTTCGTGGTGTAAACCAGTGTCTGGGAGGGCCCAGGTAGAAATATAGGAGAGTCGAAGGAGAATCGTGGACTGGTCTGGGTCACCGTCGGACAGCTGCGCGCATGATGGCGGGTGACAGTTGTTCAGAGAATACGCGAGTCGACGAGTCGACGAGTGCGACTGTTTGTTTGTACAGTAGGCACTTAGTGTTGAGGCCTAAGCTGGCGACGACACGACGCAGGGCAGAAGGTGGTCCAGGTTTCGTGTGGTGAGGGCGTCGGACTTGGTTGGTCTCTAGCTTAGCAGCCCCGGACAGGACCAGTGACGGGTCGGCGAGCTCCTTAGTCGCAGTTGTGCCTATTTGCCAGTGTGCCATTAGTCGAGTGCCATGTGTACGAGGCAGAAACCACAGATGCACTGAAGATGCACGAGAGTAGACAAAAGACGAGGTGTTTGACAAGTCAGAAAGCCGGTCGAACCTGCGAACCTGGGGAGGGAGGACTGAGTGGTGGACAAGAGAGAAAACTTGTGTGCCGTGGATCTGGCTGCGCTGCGCTTCAACTTTTTAGGCGCATCCACCGCAACCCACAGCCAGCAGCCTGCACCAACAGCATGCACCGACAGCATCTTCTCCAGAAGCTTCGTCCATCAACTGGGCTCGCCGACAGGGTGTGACGCTGTGGGCCTCTTTAGCCATTCGCCCCCAGGAGCCTACCAGTCACCAGTGCGAGTCAAGCCCGAGGAGCCCGAGCAGCCTAAGGAGCCCGAGCAGCCTAAGGAGCCTAAGCAGCCTAAGCAGCCCTGGGTGACTGGGGCCCCTGGACCCTGGTAGCTTCTCGTGCCTGTTGATCGGATTCGGAGGTAGGAGCATGGCGGCCTCCGCCCAACGGCTGAACCACAAAACTGAGAACCACCGAGTCCGCCAGTCCCTTGCTTCATCCAATGCTGAAGACGAGAAATCACAGTACGGATACTCTGTACGGAGTACATGTACACAGTAAAGTACATACCTTTTCTCCACTACTGCCACTGACTCCCCAATTCGGTCCTTTCGCAGTCCAGACTTCTGGCAGTTGTTTATGCTTCCTCGGTTGCCGTCGACTCGTGGTTGAGAGCAAAGGTCAGGACGTCTGTGCAGGCGCAGGCGCAGGCGCAGACGTGAGAAACAATGGATGAACACAGAGAGACCTGGATTCGCCTCGAAACCAACTGGTCTGGAAGACCCAGGGCGATGCAGGATTCAGAACTGACGACCTAGGTGTGAAAGACAACTGGCTGAGTTTGCGACAATGTTTGGGCTTTTGTGAGAGCGTCCCGGGCTTTGTATCAGTCACATCTGAACCTTGAGGCCATGGCAAGAGACAGACATTATTTTATGACTGCGGTGGCTTGCTGTCCTCCGCTCGCTCGCCTGCAGGCTCCCCTTCCTGCCTGCTGCTCTGCCGCGCTGTCAAAGCCGTCAAAGAACACGATGAACGCCACGGCAGGGCCTTTGGGCCTTTTTTCTGTGCATTTCCGAAGCTAAAAATGCTTCTGCGCCTCTAGCCAGGGCTCACAGCACAACACCCGGGATGTGGCATACCTGCCGGTGTGCATTCCATTACAGAGGAAGACACCAGACAGCCATTCATTCGTGCCCTCTAGCAACGCCGTGGCACCGCGCTATCAGCCACCCGTGCCGCTTTGATGCTTCCGCCCGGCCTTCAACGCTAGCCTCTGCCTGCCGTTCTGCAAGGAATGTCAAGGGACGGAGCCAGAGTTGCCAGAGTGCCAGTCTGCCAGCCGGACCTGCAGGAACGGTATCAGATATACCCCTGGCTAGGCGAGACTAGACACACTTTTCCCTCCGGTACCTACTATTTATCGACCTGCCTAAATGCCAGTATTCCGAAAGTCCCCCAGCTCTAATCCGCTGTTCCAAGCCATATGGGAATCGTGTGAGCTTGTCGGCACATGGCTTCTGGCACGCAACAGCGGATTGAACCTTGACGGCCAAACACTGAGGTCAAGGGTTAAAGCTACCAGAGTTTTTCGTACCCATCGTTCGTCTACAAAGTTTATGCTGAAACGCCGTTCCGAAAAGTAACCTTTCAATCATTGCCAACAAACACCTCCGCTGTTGCAGCGATGCATCCTGGAGCCGGCTGTCAGTGTCTCTATCAATAACGGAAAGGGCGCTCCCCTTACCTCACTGCATTCTACACAACCTTGGGGTGGAAAAAAAGTGGGTGGCTGGTAAAGTGGCGGTCGGCTGTTGTTGCACCCTGGACAAACCCAAGCGACGAGCATCCGCTGGCGGAAAACTAGAGTCAAGCCATCGACGACCCTTATTTCGTGCCTTTTCTTCCCGACCCACCTCAGCCGCTGGATTTGCCCAGAAGTTACGATGCTGCGATGTTGCGATAGTGCAACCCAAAGACCTGATACGCTTGGCCAGGATGCCGCAGGGAAACGTGTCGCTTTCCCAGGTTGCTCTGTAGTTCACTGTCCTGCGGTCTGCAGACCGACAGAACGGGAGACCTTCCATGCCTGCCGGAAATCACTCCTGTCGAGCAGTCTCCTTAAGATTCTCAGGATATAGAAGGGTAAGAAGACGGCGAGTGACTGCCTTCATTGCGCTATACCTGCCATGCTTCGACTTCAGACAAAGACTTCTTATCAGGGACCCTGCGACCCCCGGGATTGATGCCGGAACTCAAATGAGGTCGGAGACGGCTCAATCAATAGTCCTGCAATGGCGACATTGGATTTCCCCCTGCGATCCATGTCAACAAACACCTTGCTATTATTGCGACAAGCCCAAGTTCGAGGATGCCTACCATTCTGAAAGTTCTGAGAATTGCTCTGGCATCTTGTGCACTTCAAGTTGGTCGGCAAGGTAACATCTCACGCGACGGCAGGAACCGAGACATTGATGCCTCCGCCGCCGAGCTCCGTCCTTTCCACATACTAACGCTGTTTTGTTAAGCACCGAGATCGTAAGCGAGACCGTGACCAAGTGACAAGTGTCCCAATAGTTCCATGAGTTTCATTGTGATGGAGCCATCCCGCTGGTCCAGGTATGTTCCAAGTTCACTTTATCGCGGACTCCAGTCTCAGTGTCGCCATTGCTGCAAGGAGATTCCTCATGGCAAGCCTCCACTGACTTTGTTGTGGAAAGCCAATCATGTCGAGAACGGGATTTCCCATCTTGGGCCCATCGCGTGGCCTTTGGACCCTCCTTTGTTTTGCCAGTGTAGTCGGCAGATTGGCCCCCTAGGGCACTCAGCCTGGTCGGTGCGCTCGGTACCAGAGCCGCGCACGGATATGAGTATATACCGTGCTCAGGCGAACCCGAAAGGCCCGAATAAAGACCTGAGGACCATTGGACCCTGAGATCTTGGATTTGACGAACCTTCAGCATGCCATTGTGCGATTGCCCGGCTGCTGGGGCCCTGCTGGGGTCTTGGCCACGAACATAGCCGGTGGTCCTGCGATGGTAGAACGGTATTCACTGCTCACCAAGCAATTCACAGACTTGACTCTCGTCCTTAGCAAAGCAATAGCGCCTCGTGAGACCCGAAGCTCTGCCGGAGCCTGCCGATCTTATCCCCGGACTCGCTTATCGCACAGAGCCTCATACACACATTGACCTTGACTGACCACTCGATGGTCAGTAGTTGGAGGATAGTATTGCCTGAGAAGCCCACTTGGTGAATGCCGGTGGGAAATGTTGTCGAGAGTCTTCTCCTTGGGTTTGACGTTTCTTCTGCGCGCACAGTCGCCTGCTTCAAGGCTTTCATTGCACCACCTTCTTCGGACGTTCGCCGGTCCCCGGCTGTGGGCTGCGATGCTTTTCACGCCGCATTCTGCATTTCTTCTGACTAGAGACCTCATATGCTCGGCACAGATACAGAGAATCACACAGCTAGTAGTCAACATCCCATGTGGAAGGGTCCGGCGGTCCAATATTAACTGCGAGAGCATAGCATGAAGCCATAGTAGGAAGGCTAGATGGGGTCACTGCGCATGTCGAGCTCTGTGTGCTATGAATGGTTGGCCATCGTCACCGGGAGTGTTGGGCGGCATCGGGTCAGGGTTCTGGTCCGGATCTATAACCACGTCAATAGCAAGAAGTCTCTTCTTTCCTTCAATGACTCCCAAGTCCCATTACGGCGGCAGTCTGCGTGGTGTGGCTGTGGACCAGGACCGTGAAGACGTTTCCGTTCTATACGACAGGGGTTTGCGTGAGCGCACCAGACATAACGTAGCACGTGGGGGAGAAGGGTCAAATTTGCACATATCAGATCATCATATTCTTATGCGTCTCGGCCTTCGCAGTTCCTCTGTAGGGGCCGATTGCTCGGGTAATAAACTTGCTTGGTGCCGAAAATCCTATCCAATACTGGCACTGTGATGTGTGCTGTGGTTGAGAAGTAAGATGTCGAGCCGTCGGCCGATTCTCTCTAGTGCGAGAGCGGTCTGATGTACGGTGATTTGATGGTGTGCAATGGTCAGCTCGCTTGCGCTTGCGCATCAGTGGCAGTATGCACGGCCCGGCGGACGACAGAAGGAACGCCGAACGTGGGCTGCGGGCATTTGGTCTGGTCTGCCGCTTCACGTGGAGAATTTGGAAACCCAGTACCGCGACCACAGCTGCCTTTGCTCCTCGGTGCCCTTGAACTATGGTCCGAGAAAAAGGCGTCAATAGCTAATCCAGCATTGTGTCTCGGGTACGAAAGCTGGGCGGGATGATCGGACGTACCTCGAAATCGACCTGGTAGATATCTTGGAAGCCTTCGGCCAAAGTGGGCGGCTGGTGGCGCTTCACGAACGAAGCAAACGCAATTCCGGGAAGAATGGTTCGCTTCTCGGGGTTCATCTGAGATTGGCAACACCGTGGAATCAGTCAGCTGCTGCGTCTAGCCGCGGAAAGAGGCACACGATTCCATTAGGTAGATGTGGGAAATTCATGCCATATCGCCTTCAGTGGCAGCATTTAGATTCCCAAGCGCCGTTTGGATGGCGTCGAGTGCTAGTGCCCGAGCAGGGAGCAGGAATCATCACGTACCGTGTTGGGATTCAGGGCCCTGACAGCATCATTATGCTCAGCGAGACGAGTCGGGGCTGTAAAATGCACACATCGGATAGGCACATTGAATTCTCGCGCCAGCCTGACCCAGTACGACCGGGTCTCAACGTCCGCATTGGTATTGTCTGCCACCACCCTTGTGAGCACACGGTCCATCCAGCAGACTTTCGCCTAAAAGAGGATTTGTCCGACAAGTACGGTGATCAAGATACAGAAAAGAACAGCGAAGAAGGCATATCAGGCTGAATCACAATTGCCGTGTCGCAAGAGAGTATTATCTGTGCCGTCATGTCTCGGCGTAGGCTTGTTTGTGGAAGAGACTAAAAAACACAGTGAATGCAGTGCAACGTCGTGCGACATATGACATGCCTGGAGAACGGAGAAGGGCAGGGATCATGGATGAAGTATAGCAGACAGACAGGCACACACAAATGTCAGATGGAAGGTGTCACACAGAACACACAGGGGGACAGGAGGGTAATCGAAGAAACAACACATGTGGGAATAAATGTCATGGGAATGTGAGATCTGACTGAGAACTGGGATACATACCTATAGCCACGGACAAACCAGCACCCAAAAACTCTCTTGCCTTCCTGATACACTTGTCGCGCTGTTTGCCAACTCATGTCTCAGCCTGAAACAATCTCCCTGTGATCTGCCTATGCAGGGGCTACTTCTGGTGGTTGGACAAGACAAACAAGGGGGTGGGACATAATGATGGAGACTGCACGATGGATATGACAGAGGCTGGATCAACGCACGTACCGTCTTGAGGATGTCTTGATTTACTCTTTCGTATCCCAATGGCTGCAGAACGTCCCAATAGAACGTGCTCTTCCCAGCACCTGGTGAGCCACAAAAGATGACCAATTCTTGGGGGCTGTTCTTGGTGAATGGAGCCGATACTGTAGTCTTTTCCAGGCTGGCGGATGAAAGTTCTGAGAACTGTTGTCTTTCAAGATATTTCGCTGGTTCGAAGACGTGTTCATAAGATTCTGCAGTGGCGTTGAGAAAGTATTCTTCCGGCGTGTAGAACTTTATGCCTATGTTGGCCGCTAGGTCCCTGTACTGCTTGAGCTCAAAAGAGCACAGGTCAAGAGGAAGGATGCCTACCTGTCAGAGGTTGAGTGGTCTTTTCGTCGTTTATCTGTCTTTGCTCTTCCTGCAGCATCACCAACATAGAACGAATTGCTCAAATCGACGGCACCCGCTGCTTGCAGGTCATAATTCTCGAGGACTTCTTCCCACATACCGGTCCGAGGCTTTCGATAGCGGTCCTGGCCGGTTGCCGCGTAGATGCTGATTGGCAAATCGAGCTGCCTGAAAATGGCGGTGACTTGGGCTTTCAGGTTGGTAAGGCTCGCTGTGTCCTTTTGAAGGGATTTCGGATTATCTTTCAAGCTGATATTTCCCTGGTTACTCAAAATGACAACAAGGTAACCCTCAGAATAAAGTGATCTCAATCGACCAGGGATTGATTGATCCAACCATCTCCAGCTGGTTGCCGTCCGAGCCCATTTGTTCCCAGTGTTTGGGACAATGAGAGTATCATCTAGGTCGAAAGCAGCAACCTTGACGGGGAGTGTACGAGTGTGAGGAGGGACATTGGATGCATCGTATCGACCCACGATGAGGGTCTTTTCGACATTCCGCCATGTCAATTTCTCGGGTTCCTTTTGCGACGCAGGTTTGAAGAAACTCGCAACCGCTTTGTCTGCCCTTGGTCAGTGTGAGAGTACCAATCACAAGTCCCTCCTCTGGCATACTGGTAGTTATGGACTGGACTTTTCGTTTCACCGGCGGTGGTGAGATAGAACGGCCGGGTGGTGGGGCCGATCTTTTCATGGTGAACGATCTTCCTAGAATGCTCACATCAGGGGCACCAAAACAAACAGTATGCACGCATCGAGAATTGCGGCGTGATGCAGTGAGCCATGGGCGGGAAGCCAGGATCAACTCCAAGGCAGACTTCGGGAGATTCTGGGGAAGCAGAGGTGGCTGATGTCTTGTCTAATGGATGCATGAAAGACAGAGACAGGAAGAGGCAGCAAGTCAAATTTCTGAAGCGGACGCGACGACGCGTTGGGGACGACGTCATTGGTTCAATGTCATGTGATCTTTGCTTAGTCATCAGAAATGGGAGTGCTTCGCCATTTCGCCAGCGTGTGTCCAGCACTTAAGGTCTACTACTACTACGAAGTCAAAGGCACTCGTGTGTCCAGAGCCAAACGATCTCCCGGAGTCAGCTCGACTGCCTGTCTCAATGCTTCTTTCAGAGCCAGCAGCTGCCGAGTCGCGCGATCTTTGAGATCAGGGTTGTTTCCATCAACCACATCGATTGATGCCTGAATCAGGTATCCGCCCGAGCCATCCTGTTCTGGAAGTTCGGAGGTCTTTGTGAGAAACGAGGTGTCACGGAGTGCCTCATCTGCAGGCACTTGTGGGAGCCGCAGGACCTTGTGGACAAATAGGCTGGTGTCATGGTCGTAGAACCTAGAACCAACCACCATGTATCGAGAGACGTACCTGGCCAACTCTATCAGCAGGGGAGTCCGATGGTCAAAGATCAGAACACCTACTCGTAACCGAAGTTATCAAGGAACTTGACAAAGTTCCCATCATTCATGGGGATTCGAGAGACCAGTCGTGTGCTTACAGCTTGTTTCCCCGGTTCTGGTGTGTCTTTGAAATCCAGAGACCATCGCACTGCCGAGGTGTCGGGCTTACCATCATCATTGCCGTTCGACATGGCGACATCTCCATTTTCTGTGACCAGGGACTTTTGCGGCACTATCTCGCCAATCAATTGCATGTAGTAGAGGCCGGCGTTGAGCATGGTCTTCAATTTCTGGACATCCTGCTGCATAACCCCTTGAGACCCGCCGGCAGAGGGGAGATGGTCTAAACCCAGGGGCTTGCGAGGCTTGAAGACAAGGTGGATCTCTGTTGTCTCCTGCGGCTGCATGCGTGTATAGCCAGCTAGCTGTTGAAGCGTTCGATCGTGGTCATCTCTAGAGACTAGGCCGTAGAGAGCAAATTCGTGCATCTCGGACGAATCGAGAAGCGGTCTCGGTTGCCTTTTGTGGCCAGGCGGCTCCTACGTTGACTGAGTACTCCGTAGTTGTAGCCGCGGCTCGGAGGTGTGGACTATGGTGTCGGCAGTCACGAGACACATCATCTGCGAGATGGATGGCCTCAGGGGAGCTGCTCGTAGGCACTGACTGGGCAGCGGGGCGGGAAACGAGCGCGAGAGTGAGAGGGGAAAAGCGCGTGGTAGTGGTGAGGGCGGTTGCGCAGTCAAGAATGAATGGTGACTAAACCCACAAGGATGGCGGCAGAGAGGTATCAGGTATCATGCACGGCATGGAAAGTCCAAGGCAGAAGAAATGGCATCGATCAGTTGCGCAAGGAGACGGTCAGACCACCAAAGGGTCGGGCATCGTCCTCCGCGTGAGGGAAGAAAAGTTTCAGCCAGAAGCGGTAAAATGATGCCATTCCAGGTGTGGGAAAAGAAAAGCGGCCGCTGCGCCGAGCTCCGACAAGGCCAACAAGAAGCACTTCAAGCTCTCTCGGAATTCCGGCCAACCAACCATCCCACCAAAGAATCTCGTCGGCCGGTCGGAGTGCTTGCTGCTTTGGAGCTCAAATCTACTCCGTACACTTCGAACACCCACACCACAACCTCGACCGTCTCTCCCGCTTCTCTCTCTGAGCGACACCAACGCGACCCTTCCTAATACCTTCACCTTCGTCCGCGTTCTATCCCCCACGGACACCTTCACACCACTCGACGTCCCACTCCACCACGCCCTCACCCGAACCCTCCCGCACTCAACATAGGACTCCTCCCTCAATTTCGTGCAGGAAAAAGAAATAGCCTGTTCCTAGCGCTGGATATAATTCGAAACCCTCTTCCCAGCGTGTATCTATATCAGCCGTACACCGACTCCTCGCCCGTTACCCCCTCCTCTGCGAGTCCGCCGTCTGCAGTTAACCGTCATCTCCTTGTTTCTTCAACAGCTACTACACACTAAATCAGAATGCGTCCCTCTCTCATTCTCCGGGCCACCCAGCACCGGACTCCCTTGATTAAATTCATCGGAAAACACAATCCACCAAGTTAGTCCTTCTGAACAGCATCCTCTGGCGAGACCGGTGCTAACAACATGCAGAAACATTAGACCACACACCCAAGCCCCATCCTGCCTCACCAACTCATTCCCTCCCCGACAGCTTCAAAACCTATCGCTCCAAAGCACAACAGCATGGTCCTCTAGGTGGCCAAGGTCACGCTTCTCCGTTTCAAGCACCCACCTCAGGCATAATGACCTACGGACGTATCGGCGGCACTCCAGGGGAATTGCTGGGGCCGGTTGAACCCAAGGACGGCGAGTACTTTGACAGAAATGACCTTCCGAAGAGGTTCTGGAGAGCACAGTGGACAGAAGAGGAGATTGAAGCAGTGAATAGTGGCGGGGCCGGCTTGTTTGCGTGAAAAGAAATTCGTCCAAAATAAGAGATTTTAAAAAGAGCACCGGAACAGCTTTGGCGTTCTCTGGGGGCAGGTCATTGAGCGAGGCGGCATTGTTTCCTTTTGGACCTTCAACAACACTTTGATGTCTTGGGGAGGACGCTACAAATGAGCCACGTGCAACTGGGAGCCGCGACAACTCTCCACATGGGAATCAACAGTACAAGTGGATTGCCGGCCACGCGCAAGAGGGGGACGAAATGTCGTATGTGGTATGACAGAGCCTTGCTTGGTCAGTCCGCGGCCGAGGACGCTTGGTCAAGGATACCAGGGGCTAGGGGAAGGGCGAGGGCATGTATAACTTCCACCAGTTAGTTATTCACCCCAACGTGTACGTACATACAACACCTTGCCTTTCTAGAGACCGAGGAATCCCCTCTCAACGATATCTGATTCCTTGAAAAGAAGATGGGGAGATAGATAGAGCATGGAGAGGAGAGAGCATCCCCCAACCATCTAAACCACAATAGTATGCGTGCTCAATATTGCTTGATGCAACTACCTAAGGCAAAATATCCCAAGTGAAAGAAGGCACAAGCAATTCGGTTAAGCAAGGGATTACAATGCTACCGGAAGATGAATTTCGTTTCTTCTACTACGAATACATACGTACATACATACGTCTACCTATCACGAGTCCCGGAATATCGTCGCCTCATTATGAACCTCCCAAGAACTATCGTCGCCTCATTACCAACCTCCCAAGAACACTTTTCCTCCTGGTCCGGGGGTTGCTTCGTCTGGTGTACATGTGGTCCTGCATCGCGTCCATTTCCTCTCCCACGCCGTCTTGACCATCGCGTTGACTGACTCGATTCGAACTGCGCGGGCCTGGACCCTCGCGCAACACTCGAAAGATCGTCTCCACTCGGTCTCCGTCGTTGAGACTTCTTCGCCTGGCGGCGGCAGAGCGGCGGCAGCGTGAGATATCTGGCGGAGGAAGAGCTGCGCCGTGGTCTATCATGTCATTATCGTTGTTATCCTCGTCATCTTCATATCCTCCGAATATTCCCCTCTCGTCGTTGGCGTTGTCGTAGTGTTCCGCTTTCCCAGGCCTTTGATGTAGACCCGCTCTGATATCTGAGACTGGTCGTTGGATGCCTGCTGGCGAAAGTCTGGAATCTTGTCCAGGCCACCCGCCCCCGGCATGGCCGGGGAAATCCAGACCGGAGTCGGAGTCGAAAACGAGGCGACTGCCACGGTCCGTTTGATTCGACGAGACGGGGATCAGGGACGGAGCGCTGAGACTTGCTGCCCGGGATGTTTGAATGCTCGGTGGTTTCCGAATCTGTCCTGCTTGTGTGTCCATAGCCGCAGTCATGCTCGTCTCCATGTTTGTTGGCGTTTGCTCGTGTACATGCATTGACTCGAAACGACTCTTTCTGTCACCACTCCAGCCTTGTGCCAAATCCAGCAGACTGACATTTTTGCTCCCCATCACCGGCAGCCGATGGCGATGGTGCTTTCGTTCCTTGGTAGGAGTGGTCCTGGTCGAGCTTGCCTGAAAGTCGGAGTTCGTGCTTGCTCTGGGAGATGCGGCCGACCGTCTTTGTGTCTCCGCGTTGATTACAGCTATCTTTTCAGGATTGCGCACGATACTGGGCGTGCCAAATGGGGGCGTGGAGCTTCCGTGTCCCGGGGTCGATGTCGAGGCTCGCAGAATAGAACGTGGTAAAGCCGCCGCTTGGGTATCGGGTGACGTTGAGAATGAAGGTCTCGATTCGAAATTTTGCCGGTGACTTCGCGGAGGTGCTCCCTGCGGAACTGAGAGTGTTTGTTCAATCCCATCGGCAGATGAGACGCTGTTGTTGCGCACTTGATGGCTGGGGCCAGCCATCTTCACCGTCCCGCGAGGAACAGGAGAGTTCACCGCTTTGTCTGCTTGTGGTTCGTTCTTCGGCATATAGTTGTCCACATTGCGAGGGGAACCTCTATGCAGATGGTCGTTCCTCAGTGGCGCCCTGGAGAAGTAGTCTCCATTGGGCCGGCCTCGATTTGAAAACTGTAGAAAGTCTGGTTTGACACTTGAGATACTCATTCCTCCCACCGGAGAATCAAAGGACTGTGCCGAGTGCGGAGTCAATGGACTGAGTTGATCGTCTGGGACATCGAAAAGCAAATCCTGTCCTTGCAATGGTCCACCGCCATGTTTTGATTGGGGCCGGGAAAAGGTTGAGGGTCTCTGCGGAGGACGTAGCTCAATCCCGTCAAGTTCGCTAAGTTCGCTGTCGTCAATATCTGATATATCGTAGGTCTTCTTGGTTCGCAGTTGCCCCATTCTGGCGTCGGCTCGTTGTGCTTCCACCGACTGTGTATCCCATTGGGAATTCGGGGCACCCCTTGTGGTCAAAATATGAAGTTCCTCTGTAAGATCCATTATCTTCCGCCTTCGAGATGTATCATTGGACCGACTTGCGAAATTCGAGGTCAAGTCCCGTAAGTCAGGGGTGGGTGTGATCCGTGCAACGCCTTCGCCGTCATCTGAGGAGTTTGTAAAGTTGATCCCACGGCCGTCCCTGAGTGAAGGCATGGAAGGTCTCGTCGACGATAAATAGCCTCTTTTGGAGCCCTTGTCTTGTGAAGGAGGGGATTGAGGCGATTGTCTCTTTCCATAAAATGTGGAAGAAGAGAATGTGGATCGCTGTTGCTTGGACGCTGTATTATCTTCTTTCAAGCGGGGCGAAGCGTTGAGAAATTCTTGTACAGATAGAAGAGGTTCACCCCTATGACTCTGAGTCGGTGAAAGAGGAGCACCCCTGTACCTGAACTGTTGGAAAGATTCCACATCATTCCGTGGCTGGAATTTCAGGGGTCTGGATGTAGAGGGTCTTGTGATCGTTTTGAAGACGATTGCATCTCTGGAAGTGCAGGGGACTGGCACCTGCGTGTCTGGCTGGAGAAAGCATACCTCCTTTTCAGTATAGGCATCCAACGTCCTCGATATGAGATCAGCCGAGAGGCGATGTTGCACTGAATTTGGTCGGTGAGACTGAGCATCCTTGCCCTCAGTGCCCTCAGTGCCATGGCCACTGGCATCATTCTCCAAATCCAAGATCAGTCTTCGTGACTGTTGTTTGTGAGCATGCTCCTGCAATTGATTAGGCGTAACACAACCATTGGACTTTGGTTGAGGCTGTCTGGTGGGGATCTCTACGTCGGGAAGGCATGCCTGCCACGTAGATGATATAGCTGTGGTTGAGCGTTCCCCGGATTTCACAGGAGGGTGAAGGGTCACTGTCTGTGGCACCGGAACAGGTGGCAAATTTCCCAATGAGCGGAGATAAACTAAGAGCTGGTCATCAGGAGGATAGATGACACCATGGTTGGAATAGTCTGCTAAGACAACACTGTGAGAGTATTTCCCGGGCATTGTGTGGACAGGTCATAGTCAGACAGAACATAGAAAGTGGTAACAGACAAAAAGGGAAGAACATGTAGGTATTTTTGTATATTGCGTTGCTTGGAGGAATCGACATGGCCATGCCGTAATTATGCACATGTGGACGTCAGCGTCTGGCTTTGGATTTATGTCAAACCATGGATTGGCAAGATCCGAGTGGTGGTTTGGAGCAGCCACAACCGCATGATAGTGCAACTGTGGAGAACCCGCCAGAAAACAGGGGTCATTGCCATGGTAGGAGTGCATCACGATCACGGAAGCGGTCAGGGCAGATGTCGACAATGACCTTCTGCCGTCGAGCAGCAAACAACGAATGGGGAATATCTGATCAACTTACAGGCGATCAGCGTTGAAAGAAAGTAGAGTTGGTGTCCCTGTCATGGGCAGCAAGCCTCTCGCTTGTAAACCAATCGATGGCCAGGATCTTGGGAAATCAGATGTGAGATCCACCTGTCACGGCACGACGGAGGAGGGTTGGGTTGCTTTGCACATTCCTAACCCGGCCAAAAAAGGGGTAAGGAGAAGCGATTGAAGGAAAAAACTCCGGGGTACCCATGTGCCTCTTGCCCGTATCGACCTCTTAACGACGGCATTATCGTTTGGTGACAGAACGGATGGTGCTGCTCTCTATTTTTGGAGGGACAAGTTCGGTTGTGGCTGAACGAATTGATGAATCATCAAGTTTTGATGTGCAAGGATTTGTCCGACGCGGCATGAATGATGGTGGCTGATTCTTAACATAGATTTGTATCCGGCCTCCGTTCGGATGGCTGAACTCTGTCATGAGCCACGCCGCCCATGATTAGGTGTTTTCTTCAAAGGAGCAGCAGGTGGAAAGGATAAGAACGGGCAGCGTAATTGGATGTCATCTCCAATAAGTAAGCAACGATGGACAGATATGAAGATGAAGAGGAGGAGGAAGAGGAAGAGGAAACAGACACGATTCTAGCTGCCTGGCACGTGACACTGCCGCTGACTCATACAACAGTCAGCCTCGACTATCAGTACTACCATGCCAGTGTCGCCTACCAGGCACCTAGTACGTACCCTGTACATTGCATTCAACTCTGCTGCTGAGTTGTTAACAACCTTAGCCATCCAAGGACGAAGAGCATGAGCATCCTCCCCTTCTTCAACTAGGAACTCCTCGACGAGCGCGTCCACGTGCCACTTTGAAGTTCACTTTCATTGCGACACTGGCCTTTCTACTGTCCGTGTGTCGCTTAGCTTCCAATAACGACGCCCTAATGCCCTCCCTACCAGAGGAAAACACCTAATTTAGGATTGAAGAGGACTATTACAGCACATTGTCCACGGTCCTGACTTGTGATATTGGCGACCCAAACTCATGGGCCCTGGTGGTCTGGACAGTAGCCGCAAAGCGCATATCATCCTGCGCTGTTTATGGACTACATCGCAAGGTGGTCCTATCATGACTTGGCCCCTGCTTGAACATTTCAATCCTCTCAACCTACTCTGACCCTCGTCTACCCTCGAAAAAGAATTTGAAGGCATGGGCAGAAACCCATACAGATGTCCCAGGGCCCCCAGAGACTGAAAAAAGAAGGCTGCTCACAATTAGAACAGCAAAGCCACCCAACGCCGCATGCCCATTCATATCTCGTAGCCGTATCGTGAATCCTGATTTCAATCCGACAGTCCATGACCAAAAAATGCTGCCGGCTTTTCCCATTTCCAAGTGACGCCTGTGTCATGCTTGATGCCCGTAAATCGCCATGACTCAAACGAAGAAAACTTCTTCCATGCTGTGAAAATGATCATCATCTGCTGATTCCTAAAACCCCCCTCGTGTTATCCGTCGAAACTCCCTGTCTTCTTCTTGCTTCCTCCAAATAGTTTCATAGCCTTCTTCCACCCACCACTTTCGCTTCGATGGGTTTTGGCCGCGTGGAGCGAAGCCACTCCACTGACCTGGCTCGGAACGCCCATTCCAGCGTCGCTGGTGGGAGGTGTTGTTGGAGGAGTCATGACAGAATCAAATTCCCCAGCTGGAGGGCTCTCTGGTCCGCCACTACTGTCAGTCAACGCACTTTCCGACACCGCCGACGAGGGGGAGATGCGGTGGGTTAATCGTGTCCCACTCTGGCGGCCCAACGCCGAGGATAATGACGAGGACGGGGTTGGTCGGTGTTGTGATGTAGGTATTCGGGAAGACTCAAACGAGACGGCCGAGGTATTCGGTGGCGACCGTCGTCGTCGAGCTCGGTGCATGCCTCGCTCGTCGTAGGTCAACCGTGGCGGATCCAGATCAGCGAGATTGGCATAATCCGACAAAGTGTCGTATGTTTGGGCGTAGGGTAATTGTTGGAGGCTGTTGCAGAAGGGAATAAAAATGGACTCGGACATCAAGTCATGCATGCGCTTCACAGCGGCATCCAGTGCTTCGGGTTGTGGTGGTCTCACCTCGTACGGTTGATGGACCAGGTCGTCTCGCTCCTCCGCCGGTAGATTGATTTCTCGTGGGGCCCCAGGCTTGACGTAAACATCGAGGATGCGAGTCCAATCCTGAATCAGCTCCCAACCCTCCTGCGTGTCCACAGTGATCGGCATCCCTGCGAGGCTGGCTGATGCTTCATCGTACTTGTCGGCATACTTTTTGGCTTCTGTGGTGAATTCGAGGGTTTCTAAGCAATGCTGTTGTGAAAGAAAAGCGGTGAAGGCAGCGAGTGTGTAAGGTGATGGTGCTTTGTTCGCAAGGACATCCTCCAGCGTCGGTCTCGCGGGGGATATGATACCCTCTCTCCGAACCCCCATACTGATGGGCCGAGCCCGGGGAACTTCGCCGCCAGGCATTTGACAGTCTTCCGGAACCTCTTCCAACGAGTAGACGGAGGGTGCCAGATGGGGCGAAGGTTCAGGTGTGTATGGCCAAACTATTTTGGTTGATTTCTTTTGAATCATTGCGCTGAACTTTCGCCCTCAATTGACCTTTGTATAGTGGCCGAAGCTCAAGGGAAAAATGTATTCTCAGCCTGTTGGCTGGCTAATGTGTAGGAACGGCGCTGTGATGTTGGGCCGTAATGCTGCCTTTCCAAGGGATGACGGCCTTCTTTTGCTTCTCTTTAGCAATCAACTGACGCAACTGCGCGTCCGGAACAGTGCGTGATGGGGTGTATTCCGAGGTATGTATCCGAGACTCTTGCTGCGATCAAGCTTCGTTCTTGTGTCACGGAAGGATGTTGTGCAACGAAAAATTCGGTCGCAAGCCACGTTCAAGCACAGTTAGAGGTGCGAGGGACGATCTGGATTCGGGAAAGGTACGACGTCGGTAGGATCCAGGTGCAGACAGATGTCGTGTGCCCGTTCGATACTCGCTCCAGAAGCCGTCCAAAGCGTGGTTGATGTCAATGACAGATGTGGAATCGGTTCAGATGCACATGAGCACTTGACAACAAAACTGGTCTAAGAGCAGTCACAGCTGTGGCTTGTCAATCGTCTGCTGGATATTGAAAGAAGCGAATGTGAGGCAATGAGCAAATGGCCGCAGTCCAGTTTCCGAACAGGCATCGACTTCTGGTGGTTTGGATCGGAGGACTATTGAGGAGCTGGAGGAACCGCCTCTTGAAGATCCAAGGCGTTGTGGCCGTAAGGCTTAGTAGTGAGACCAAGGCCTGAGCCCAGTCATGACGGAAGAAGACTTGTCGGGATCTGGTGGAGGCTGGTGACCAGGCAGAGTCCCAGAAGTGGAGAGGTGGTGGTAACGTTGTAGGAGAGTATCGAGAGTGTTTAGGTAAGAGTCATATTCTCAGTTGTCGGCCAGGAAGTGTTTGGCAGGTACTCCGTAGATGGAGGCAAAGAGTCGCAATGGTAGCAGCAGTAGTAGTAGGGGTGTGGAGAGTGCAGGTCGTAGCGGTAAGTGTGGTAAATAGAGACTGGGGCTGGTTTTGAAGGAAGGAGTTAGTGTTTATGCTCCGGCCGTTGGTGCTACAGGGGGTTTGAGACGCAGATCACAAGCATCGATCCCAAGACGCCCATGTCCTCTATGTCGTTGCTTGCTTGTGTGCGTTGAAGAGGAAATGGTGCGTGCAATGGGTGGAGGGTGGAAGAGGAAAGGCGCATGCGCATCAGTGATCAGGGCGCTGGCGCAGGCACAAGAGAAACCGCTTGACTAGTTACTAGCACCACAAACCACGCACAGGGCAGGAAATGGTTCGGCAAGGCAGCAGTATGAGCAAACTTCGCAGTGCAACGTTGGGCGTTAGCCCTAGAAGCCTTTGCCCAAAGCATGGCTAGGGACCAAGCTAATGGGGGCGCCGGGACCAAGATTGGCTGCTGGCGGCGTTAGGGGGGCCACCGATGATGCTGATCAGATTCAGTGCTGAAAAGAGGAGAATCGGAGGGTGCTAGTGGCATTAATGCAAAGTCAGATCGCAGCCCATACCAGATGTATAGAACATGTACGGAGTCCTCTGTATCTAGCTAGATGCATCGCATTCTCCTAGATATGCTGGTAGAAGCAGCACCAGGCAGAGAAGACTTCTATCTCGAGTGAGAGATGAACGAGCTTGTGGGAAGGGGTAGTCGTTTGGGGGAGTATCCCTAAGGAAGGACCTGGCATCTCAGCCCCCGAGGAGACGAATCAACCACCTTTCGTCATGCCATCCATCAGGCACCCGGCTGGGCACCCCAGCCAGTGACGAATCTCTCCTCCAGGCAGCCGATCTCCGCCTAACAGTCTTCTAGCCCAGGCTTCTAGTAGTTCTCCAGTGCTTCCACCACGCCTTCTACGCTTTCTAGCTGGCGCTGCTCTGGCTTCTACGTGTCTTCCAGAAACTCTGGCCGTGCGCTCATTTTCGCCTCGTTTGTGGAAGTCAGAATAATAGGGAACAGGTACTTCCAGGCTGCCGCCTCTGCACTGCAAACACATGCTCTGTACAACTCACCACCACCAGCACCGTCCATCACCACATCAGGAATTGGGACTAGAGACCGCGTCGGTCCCATGGTCACGCACCCGCACAAAAATCTCCACTCGCCTACGCCGATGGTCCCTAACGGAGCACAGTAAGAGGTACCGGTACTTGTGCGCTGACACTGGACAGGCCTACGGAGTACGGAGTACATACCTACTACGTACTACAAGATCAGCGACACGCCCTTCCTTCATCTTGTCGCTCAATAAGATTTCGAGATGCTCGCCACTAATGCCCACAGAGCTATTTCACACCCGTCCTCTGCCGCTGCTCGATTTCTGAAACGCGCAGCCCATGCGAGAGCTTATTCCGAGTCCGACCTCTGTGGCCCGCCGCCGCGGACCTAGTATCTCCTTGACCTGCCTAATTGAATTCCTGTCACGCCCTGCGTCCCCGCCGTTTGTGGTAGGATTTACGGAGTACATATGACAATGAAGAATTTTAATTTTCATTCGCCATCATTGAAGAATTGTCGTCAGCGGGAAATTTATCGTGTCAGCTACAACGTGGTCACCCTCGGCATGCAATGGTAACGGCATTGAGATGGTGCTCAAACACCCCCCTGTCACCATACACTTGTGGCACTGGCACTTGTCACTTGTCACTTGTGAATGAATCCTGAGCAGGCGCCTGACTGCGCTCGCTGGCGGAGCCATGCGATTCGCGCTTTGATCAATACGATTGTCATCAAACTGAGCGGCTGATTTCAATGCTCATTATAGTAATCAGCCACCTGAACAAGCAGTGCCAGGTGCCCAAAACGCCACATTGCCAACTTGACGCTCAGCTCCGCGGTCCTTTCGCCACCAAGGAAATTGTGACAGAAATCTTGCCCACCAATGGAAGATCCGAGACGCATTCTTTGAGCCTTCTGGAATGTTGCCCAGATTGGCAATCTACCCTGGTCACTCCGTTTGCCCGTATCGGCGTATGCAACTGAACCTTTGGCCACGTCGTGTCCACGGGACCCGGGAGAGGCTTCGGCCCGGATGTCAAATCTGAAAATGTTTCCTTGCTGCCCAGTCCTGCCGACGAGTTACTGAACGTCGCGGTGCGCGGGACGATCAGATTGCTCTGCTACATCGAACAAATGCCATGACAGAAACACGTGAACTCCGAAATGTGCTTCCACCAAGGTTGCAATCACGTTGTAATTTCTCCACCATGTCTGCGACCATTCATGCATCCAGAACCGCGGACAACACATTCCGGCGCTGAAATCCTATCCTCCCCAGCATGTGCGGAAGGAATGGATTCGCTTACGTTATTTGACCTTTTTGTCTTGCAGGGGGGCGTTCAATCGAATGCGCGTGGCGTGTCCTTTCACCAAATTGGTAAGATCAAGATCCCAACCAGCTTGTTCGGCTTGATCACGTATCCTGCTCCACTGCTCACGGTTTTCGTAAAGGGTGTCTTTGAGCAACTGGATGCTGCGTTGACGGCCGTTGGAGACGTTCGATTGATGCTCTGTGGCATCCATTATTTCCTGGACCATGTGCAATTTTTCACCAGGCTCCCTGGCTAGAGTAATGCGTCTGCTCCTTGGCCCTCTGTCGTCCTGTTCCACGTCTTCAGCGTCAACAGGGGGGTTGGTGGGTGCTTGGATCTTGATGCAACATCGAAGCATATGACAGAGACTCCGGGCCTGTGTAGTGCCTGTGGCCGTGTCTTTCAGCAGGATTATCCCTTCCCTTGTTTCGATGTCAAACCAGAGCACGTATTCTTCCTCGTGGAAAATTCGGAACAATTGAACCAAGTCGCCTGAAACCTGCGACTGGTGGCTGGCTCGATTATTCATGGTCATTACCAAGTTCTTTAGACCAACCCCGACTCGGAAACGGCAGGGATAAAGACCGTGGAGACCACTGGATTCATTACTCCAGCCCAAGATAATCTCCTCCTCTCCGACTTGATCCAAGCCTTTGAGTTGACCATCGAGTATCCCGCGGAAGAAGATCAAGGCCCGGTCAGTATTGAGAGAGCTGAGGCGCACGCTCCTAACGGCTTTCCAGTTTGCCCACAGATGAAATGCCAGTAGAGGAATCAGGCATCTCCAAGTCGCAGCTGTGCCGTGGACTCTGCTGACGACGAAGCCTCCCACCCACATGCCCACCAAGCTCACCACAGTCTCCTGGCTGCCATCTTTGGCATTGAGCTCTCCTATGTTGCCGGCTTTAGCAAAGTGGGCACTTAAAATGGCCTTACTACTCCCACCGGCAACGCCACAAACCGCTCGGCAGGCGTTGCTAACACATAGAGTGACCACACGACCCAGGGTTGGCATAGCAGGGCTCAGGCAGTCGAGGACGAAGGCGGTGTCGTTGACGATATCGGCAAAGAACCGATAGAACTTGACTTCCGCCTCGATTCGCTGCGAAAATTGGTGGGCAAACAAGATGGTGGCAACCCGACCAATAGTCTCTTGGGCGATGTATAACAACATGGTGGTGACAAGGGAGGCATCCTCCGACCCCACGCCCATTCCCACAAACACCGCTCTTGATGCTAGAAGGCCTGCGATGGTGGAAGCAAACGCCTGCAATGAATCATATATCTGATATGGTGTATAGTCTGGTGTAACGGTCGAAGGATATCCGGCTGGTAGGAATGGGCCCATACACTTGTGCAGTAGCGACGTGCCCGTTTTGGGCATGGTTATCGAGGGAAGAATGGACATTTGAAGTCTCCCAGTCATGGAATCCCATTTGAAGACGGCTCTTGGGCGGCCATCAGAGCCTAGTTCCTCTACTTCCACATCTAGGATGGACGGACCTGCCATTCTCGCAGGAGAGATGAGTTGCCTGACCTCTGAAGACAGACGACTCTAAATGGCAGTTGTTCCGGAGGTGGTTGAGAGGGTGAGGCTGTGTATAGCCTCACAAGCTAGAGCTCGTTCCTGGAGAAGGAGTGAGCGTAAAATCCCATATTCAGTTCTGCTCGAGATGACGGGGAGAGTAACGAACGCCTGGGGCAAAAGGAGGAAATGCACATGTGTGACAACGAGCACCCACCGTATATGGCTCCGGCAGAGTGCAAACACGAAATTGTCACACCTCGTTCAAACTCAACCAAGCCCGTTCCGAAGCGATCACTGATGGCTTGCTGAATCGCAACATGTTCCTCGTTCACTAACTCATGTCTAACGTATGATTAGGAGGCGAAGCAAATGTGCACTTGGATGCAGTGTGGTGGTTAGCTGGGGGATGCCCGAGTGTCAGCTCACTGCCCACTGCTCACTGCTTCAATTCAGTGCAAGTTAAAGCTCGAGCTTCGTCCGTCGATATTTTGGGATCGGTAGGAAGGCACTGACATGGCAGGCTTCTCTTCTGTTCTCGGATATGTTGATGATAGTCCTCTGTTCTCTATTTGTCTTGAAGGGATGGCAGCTGGCAACTGGCAACTGAATGGCATCATGCTCCTTCCCTCAGTTGCTGCGTCCTGCGTCCTGCGCTCTTTCCATCTCCTTCTGCTCACCACAGAACCTTTTACGAGCCCTGATCATGCTCCGAGTCGTGCAGCTCATCTATATTGACTCTGCGGGCTCCCTTCTATGCAAGCAAGTAGGTTGTGCCGACGCAGAGCTTACCCGGCTACATTTGTTTCACTTTTCATACCATTTCCGTCATCTCCATTTCACTTGTCGAGCCTTCCAGCATGCGTGCTTTCAAGCAAACGTTTTCTCCCCTGCTATGTTGCTTCGGCGTTCGTCCCCCTGACGAACCGTCACCCTCCGATCTCCGCAATCTTCAGCACCCTGCTTCTGCTCTGTCGGTCCAGCTCCCTGCCTCCACCGTTCCTCATGCCATGGGCCAGTCCCCATCCAACGGTGCGGATACAGATGCGTTACGCCAGATATTTCGATCCTCCTCATCGGTACGTGGCTACCGAACAGCATCGCAATCCTCAGCCATGCCTACCAGAAGACAGCAATCCCTTGACGTCGACTTCCAATTTGGACAGGCAGGAAAGGAACGGAAACAGCCCGGCCGATTGGAGCAGTTAGGCAGCCATGTAAGGCAAAAGCTCTCCAAGTCCAAACTGAGCAAAAACAGTTCGACTGGGATCTCTCTTCAACGTTTGGGAGTGGAAAATCCCGAAGCTGCTTTGAGCCAACGCTCAACTGGCCTGCTCGAGCTTCTGATGCCAAGAGGAGGTAGTGAAGGAGGCTACGACAGCGATGCCAAAAGTATTCAGACAGCCATGTTAAAGGCGAGTGACGGTACAACGATACGGAGTCCTCAGGCAGCGGAAGACCTGGTCAGAACCGCCGGTAGACCGACGTCTCTTGAAGGCGTCCCAACATCGCAGAGTAGCGTTGACGGAATCCCAGGTGGTCAGCACACGCACAGAAGCCCGTCATCGCTCTCGACGCCTTCGAAGACATTATTCACCAAAATCGTGCTGGAAGATGACAATCAGTCGCCTACAAGAGTCCTCCAGAGGCTCAGTGTCGGCCTGGCGAGTGGGACCATCAAACTGGGAGATGTTAATGGCTTGAGTGGAAATCTGAACCAACAGGAATCGCCCAGCTCACAAAAACGGAGAAATGATCTAGAGTTTGAGAAAGCGTTGAGAAGATTGAGCACTACTGTTGCAGCCGCAAGAACGGAGAGCCTCGAGTCTAATGCTGAAAATGCCCGAAACAGTCTCCTGGCAACTCTGGACCCGAGTTTGATTAACTTTATTTCAAAGTTCGGCGAACTCAAGTCGATAGATTGTTCGAGAAGATCATCCCAAGAGAATGCCGTTGACAAAGGCCAAACTGCGCAAAAACTGGAGATGGCTGATCAAAGCCCAATGGAGATCTCAGTCCTAGGGGATGGAAGTGTCATGAGGAAAGATATGGCATCGCTCACTAATTCTGAGCGAAGCTCGATACATCTTTACAACATGAGGATATCCCAACGACTTGCAAGTCCTTCCGTCAACGCGTCTGGATCCAGACCAGAGACAAGTCGCACCAGTATTGAACAAGCTAAGAATGAGCTTACAGAGGGCTGGCCGGCTGACAGTCGACTGTCGTTGACTGAAAGACGCCCTGGCTGGGTCGCAACTGAGCACAACAAACGACCATCAGATCCCAGAACTCGGCGCCTCTTTGAGGATGTCATGGCTGCGGATAAGTCTAAATCGCAATTGAGGAATGTGGTCTCAGCTAGTTCTAATCCCGGAACAAAACTTGTCGGTCATGATGACGCTTCGTCATTCTACTGGAGTGATGGTGAAGTCAGTGAAGACAGAAGTCGACAACGCAGCACGAGGCGAAATCCGAACAGTCTTGCAGTGGCCGGAAGATCAGAATCCATCAGCTTACCCGTCAGTTCCTCCGGTGGTAGCATGGGCCACGTCTCGGTTGCAGGGGAGGGTGTTTGGTTCGGTCGCAGATCCTCACAAATGCGACGACAAGGCGATGATGATGGCCAGCTCAAGCTACACCCACAAAGACAGCGAAGCGCCAGCATGCCGACGGGGAACAAATTTAGTCTCATAGCCGTGGGCACCGCCCCGAGGCGTGACCGAGGTCCGACGGATGACTATGAGACGTTGAGTGAGATCAGCACCGACCAAATCCAAGACACGAGAAGAGAACAGCTCACAGAAGTCAGTGTCCAAGCGGTCCGTGACGTGTACGATGAAAGAATGAGTGATATTGACCCTGACACAATATCTGCGACAAGGAAACTGGACTCGAGCTTGACAGAGTTTGACCCATTCTCTCAGTCAACCAAGAGACGGTCACTTGGCAGCTCCGATCTTCTACCTGGCAATGGACGTCAAAGAACGGAGTCTAGTCAAGGGGCGAATGGCTTTAGTGGGTCTGAAGGTAGATATCCAGAAACCACTACCGACATGTGGCGGCGAACGTTGAAGCAAGCAATTGACAAGCCTCAGGACGAGATGCTGGGTGGCTTTCTTACTGCCCCCAAATTCGACCGCAATGGTAGGCGAAGAAGCTCGGCGTCCAGTTACAGTACTGCCAAGTCTGATCAGGAAGCCGTGACGGCGGAATCGGTCAATGTTCCGGACAAGAGAAGTCTGCAGCAAGTCCAGGTCTCTATGTCTGCAGTTCAACCCCAGTCACTCAAACTAGGCCAAACACCAAGACTTGACATGCGACGAAGCGGTCTGGGGTTGAAGGGAGGAGGGCAAGTGAAAAGAGCAACTGGAGAGAAAAAGGCCAGCAAAAAGAAGAGTCTCTTGGATCTGGGCAAAAGGTTCACCACACTTGGACTTTCGACGCAAGGCGAGACAGGTCACGGAACCAGCACTCCATTCAGGGATCTTTTGGGCCGGTGGGGACGGTTTCCTAGTTATTCAAGAGAGGCTAGATGTGGTCCAGCAGGTGCAAGCGAGGGTGTTGCTGTTCGTGACTTTGCTTTGGAATGTTCTGATGAAAACGCACCATCCTATGTACGGGCTCAGCAGACTTCTTGGAACCGGAACCGATCGGCTTTAACCCTGGGCTTGCATAGGCCACCATCTAGAAGACGGCTACCTTTTGGGAGAAAGGTGAGAATGGACAAGAGGAAAAGCAAAAGCCTGGACCTTTTACGAAGCAGTATCAACACCCCGGGATTTTTGGGTCCTCGGACCAAGAAAACTGGGACCGGGCTGGTTGACAAGTGGAAAAGGGCATACCGAAGCAGCAGCTCTGATCTCCGAGCGTACACACAAACCTATGGACATAGAAGCAGTATCAGTATGAGTGCCAGTGTCGAATATCCTGAGCTGGAAATCATTGCCGGGCACGACGGTAGCCAGGACTCTCCATGTCAAGAACATCACCGCCGTGGTGAGGTAGGAGGTCCACCAGGGCCGCCACAGGCGTCGACAGGTGCGCTGCCTTGGACGAACATGTATCGAGAATGTGTTGGCAGTCTCTCTGCGCTGAAGAGTGATGTGGACTTGCAGCAAATGAACCAAGTGGATGAAGCAAAGCATCGAGATGGCAGACAAAGCAGCGGGGAGATGAAAAGCACCGATCTACGCAGCAGTACGGTGGACTTTGAGGTGCAGCTGGGACGAGAACATGAAGCGGTAAGAGAAGGGTTGATCCGGAAGATCGAAAACATAGGAAAAGAGGGATCCCCGGATGGAACCCCGGATGGAACCCCGGATGGCTTGGACGGGGGCGGGATGAAGGGGAAGCCGGTCAAGCAGGATTAGTCTGAGCTCAAGATGGAGTTCGGGAGCAGCAAGTACAGAGGGAGGCAGTATGTTAGTTGACGGTGACGGTGACGGAGACAGGGGATAAAACATTGGATTGCGAGGTAGAAGGAATGAGCAGAGAGGGTAGGTAGAGGTAGACAGCACAGCACAAAACAGAACAGAACAGAAGCGAAGACGAGAGTATTGGTATGAAAACCCATTGATTTTCCTTCGTCTTTGCGACGGGACGTGTCGGGACATTGTGTCACGACGTCAAAGCTATGTCCTCTGAACCTCTTTCCTTTGTCAGGCCTTTTGCCTTTTGCCCTTCTGCCTTTGACCTTGGTGTCATGGTCAATGATTGGCGAGGTGGATGTGGAGGTGGACGATTGTTGAGTGATTGAAGCTCTGATTGAAGCTCTGATTCTGAATCTCTGAATCCGAATGGGATTCTGAATCTCTGAACCTGATTTGCGAAGTGAAAAAGCTCATTGATTCTTGCTTGGTTCTCCATTCATTCTCATGACAGCTCTATGACAGCGCGGGAGTTGGTCGTGGTCGGCTTTCAAAGCACAGCCCAGGCAGCGAGAGCCACGAGCACCATAGACGCCAGACTGGATTTAAGTCGACGATTGGCGGTCGCGAGGGCAGACAGCGGAGCGGGCGAGAGAGAGGGAGTGTAGGTGGCGAGATTGGCGAGGCCGGTGATAGCGGGCTCGGTGACTGTGATGGTGGTAGTGGTGTCTGTGTCGGAGGCGGAGGTAGAGGTGGTAGAGAAATTGAAGAAGGATGGCATGGTAGTCGAGTTGAAGAAGGATGGCATGGTGGTCGTCGAGTTGGCAAAGGATGGCATGGTCGAGTTGGCAAACAACGGACTCTCCGTAGACATTGTCGACACCGTAGACACTGTAGCCACGGTGGTCTGCAGAGTCGAATTTATAGCGGTGACGACAATGGTGAGGGTGGACTGGACGGTGGTGGAAACGGTGGTGAACAAGGTGGAAATGGAGGTCGACGACATGTTGGCAGGCAAGGAGGCGCCGGCACCAGAGCGGACGGGCTGGCCACTGGCCGTGGCGCCAGTGGTGACGGCAACCACTGTCACCGTCTTGGTTGTCGTAGGGGTGCTCGCCACGACCGTCACCACAGTGGTGACAGTGGCCGCAGTGGCCTCTGGAGATGCAGATGAAGATGCCGACTTCGATGCCGATTCCATGATTATTGATACCGTCGCCACAGTCGTGACTGGTCGAGGAATCACTGTCACCGTACGCACCACTGTCGTGGATGGTGATGGTGAGTGTTGAGTGATGTCAATGCTGCTCATGCCCATGCTCGTGCTGGTCTCGGCGTCGGTGCAGTTGTCGGTAGTGGTCGCAGTCGCAGTCATTGTGGCTGTGCTGTTGGTGAATGGAAACGGAGGAGCTACCGGAGGCATGGAGATGGAGATTCTCGGGATGGAGAACGGGGCTGTAAAGAGATGACATGTCTTGTTAGCTTGTGTGTGTATGTGTATGTATGTGTGTGTGTGTGTGTGTGTGTGTGTGTGTATATGGCGCAGGCTACACCCAGTCTGAGACTGAGCAAGTCTGCCATTGTATCTTCAAACTTACCAGTTGCATGGCTTGAACCTGAAACAGAAGTGGATGTCTTGGTGACAATCACAGTTGAGGTTGAGGCATTGGTAATGGTATTGATCACAGTTGCAGGACCAGTCGAGGTATGATTGGTATTGATCACGGTTGCAGAACCAGTCGAGGTATTATTGGTACCCAAAACTGCGGAGGATATGAGTCAGTTTTTTTCATTTTTAGGGAACATCAGAGATGGGAATCAGCTTCAATCTTGCTTACCGATGGTGGTCGTAAGGGATTCAGTGCTCGTCATAGTAGTGATGGTTCCAGTGCCAGTGGCAGTGGGAATGGAAAGGCCGACTGCAACTGTGATCAAGTAAAGTAGGTTAGTTAGTTGCAGTACATGTAATGTAGTCTTTGTGTCTTTGAGTACATGTACAACAAAACCAAACTTGAAGAAAGCGAAAATTTGACATTCAGTTCAAATTCAAATTCAAATTCAAATTCACGTACCTGAAGTGTTTGCAGTAACTGTAGTCGTGGTACCGACAGTCACAGTTGCAATTGCGATGGAAGTCAAGCCAAAGCCAGTAGAGACGGTCGAATGGGAGGTGGAATTGGAAGTGAGAGTTGCCACGACAGAGTCAGACGGGCTGACGACGTTGTCGGTGACATTGGAAGTGAACGTGCCCGCAGTCGCAGTGACAGTAAGAGAAAGAGGATGGACAGTAAAACCAAGTCGGCTGGCCGTCTCTGTCACCGTGATGGTGGCCAGATCGGTAGCGCCAGAAGTGAGGGCAAACAGGGCCACCACGAGGTGGATGAAGAATGCGAGATGAAGCATGATGATGAATCAATTGATTGATTGATCAAGGGATGGAATGAGTGTTCTTGGAACGAGTGTGATTGATGGAAACGGGATGGATGACTGGGTGAAAGGTGAAACGCGGACGAAGATAGAAGAGTGAGTGAGTGGTAGAGGGACAAGTTCAGATTCACGCGTGAGAATGTGCGCGCGACTCTTTATGGCGACGCGAAGCACTGCAACAACACCGACAGAGCTTGGCGGCAGCATGGTCCCGTGACCCAACGCGAGGGCTGGCGAGGTGCTGCTTCGTTAGAAAAGGGCGGCCGCCGCGGAGGATGAAAGTGAGTGTGTGGGTGTGGGAGAAAGCAGAAACCAGTTTGGTAGGAGAGCAAGGCTGGCTTGTTTATGGGGTTGGTATATGTGATCCATGTATCGCTCCACTCCACGCAAGGCTGACAGGGGCATGGGCAGGGGCATGGAACAGTGGCAAGGTGTGCCTGACGACATCATCATCGTCGTTGTGCCATGGACCAGGCGAGTGTGCAGACAAGACACAGGACGTCCAGACAAGGCCGTCTCTTACCCCCTACCTGAGGACCCTGGTCTCCTTAACCAGGCTCTGTTTTAGTGAACCATGAACCTTGTGGTTCAGGTCAGGAGACAATCCCGTTGCCCACAGGGACTCTTTCAGTCTTCGTTTTTGTGTCTGGCAGTGCTCCAGGTGGCTGAGGAACAGTCTTCCGTCTCATCGCCTGGTAGAATGCCTGAGTCAGCGCTGCAAGCTTGACCGTCGTTATCAAACATTCACAGTCACAGTTACCGCCACAACAAAGTGGTATGAGCTGAGTTGGGACGTGAGGAGATCTCGTCTTCATGTCGTTCAGTTGGGGGGAGAAGAGGAGAAGAGAAGGGAAGGAAGGCTCGAGCAGTTGAATATCCGTCTTAGGGCGCCTGTGCCAAGGCATCTACGGAGTACAGTAGTACTGTCCATACCTTAATCTAACCACAAGTGGACGCTGGACGTCGACGTTTGACGTTTGACGCTTTGGCCGCTTCCCCATGTACAGTATGTACAGTATGTTACAGTACAGACTGTAGTAGCCTCGCCTCAGGCCCGGGCCCTCACAACAAAGACCACGGAACTGTACTGTCACCAAATGCTGCCACACTCCACACTCCCTTCACGTCAATAGTACACATTATTTATATAATGTCCGAGTCAGTGAAGGCGACGGCGTGCATGTCAAATCAAATGGCACTCTTCTCGACGTCTGCAGTCTCCATATGTGTGAGCTCGACTTTGACGGACCCGGAGTCGTGATGGTCGATGATGCCGTGAGCGTTGTGCTGCACTTCAATCTCCCTCTGATAGATGGCCACCTCGTCCGTGTCACCGAAGATGGCGGCAATCTCCTCCAGGGGCAAGAACCGGGTGTCAGGGAAGGTGAAGATGGACACGAACCCGCCAATGAAGGTGAGGATGATGAAGAGAAGGTAGAACTTCCAACCCACTGTTCTGCGAGCGGGCAAGAGGGTCAGCGTCCATGCATCATAATGACAATGAATGCAAGCGCCACCTGGATGGAATGGGACCGTGGCAATGACAAAGACACAGAGACGGAGAGAGGTTGGTGGCACTCTCTCAGATACCGTACCTGAACGCGGTTGGGGCTGCTTGAGTGAAGCAGACATTGCTTAGAGCGAGGGTGGAGATTGCCAGGCAATAGCCCTTGGATCGGATATGTGTTGGGAATATTTCACCCAAGTAGGCCCATTCCGGTGCTGTATCGTGTTATATAAGTTAGCCAGCTCGTGTATTCGATACACGGGAAAAGGGATGGGATAACACCATCACTTCTAAACACAATAACAGGAACAGTGGTAAAAACAAAACCAAAAGAAATCCTACCGTTGAGCATCGCCGTGTCAAAGACCTGAAATACAAAGAACATGGCGACGGCCGCTCGCAGGGCGTTCTGGTTGTCCGAGGGCACGAATTCGGCCAGTAGAGCCGCTTCAACCACCAGGCACGACATACAGCCCCAGAGACCAATGGCCAGCATGACATTCCGCGGCAAGCGGTCGACCATGGGCATGGCCAGGACACTCATGCCGAGGGTGAAGGTCAACCAGGCGGCCGAATAGAGCAGCTGTTGAGTGGTGCCATATCCCAGCATCTTGTACAGAGTCGGGCCGTAATCTAATTACATGGATGGTTGAAAGTCAGCCTCAGCGTCAGCCTCTCGCACCGTAGCTTACTGCTTACTGCAGCGTACCGTACTGTATGTACAGCAAGACAGATACAGATGGTACTTACTGTTGATGACCAAGTCCCCCGAGGCCTGGATGAAAAAGGTGACGGCCGTGGCGATCAAGGCACGTTTTCGATACGACGGCTTCTTGACCATGTGCCACCACGAGCTCCCCAAGGTGCGGTCGATGGCGATCTGCTTGATGATCTGGTAGTATTCGGCCCGGGCATAGGTATTGTCCGGGTCGTGCTTGTCGCTGTGAAGCCGGTTCAGGACGATCTCGGCCTCGGCCTCGCGGTCTTGCAGGATGAGCCATCGCGGACTCTCGGGCACCCAGTAGAGGCAGACCAGAGACAGCAACGACCAGAAACACCCGATGGCCAGAGGGGCTCGCCAGGCGTTGGGACTGCGGCTCACCCAGAAGGAAAAGCCGAATCCTACCCATGAGGCGAGGGCAAAGCCCAAGACGAAGAAGACCGCATGAAGCTCCACGAGACCGCCTCGCATGCGGCTCGGCACCACTTCGTTCATCAACAACTTCAAATTGGACCTTGTCAGCCCTAGATCTCATGGCAGAGAGATTGGGTTCACTGTCTTCCACTTACTGGGACAGCGGCCAGCAGCATGAAAGAGCCAGCACCCGCGACAAAGCGGAAGGCCAGGAACTCGGCGATATGGGTGCTGCCAGCCTCGACGGCAAAGGCGACGAGAGAGACGAGCAACGATGCCGCAATCGACCACTTCCGGCCGTATTTGTCGGCGATCCACGGCAGGAGCAGAGGACCAATGGTGGCCCCGGCGAAGAAGAGCCCGCCCGTGGCGCCGAGAAGGGAGGTGGCATTGGGCGCGGTCAACAGGTTGAAATACTCAAGGAAAGATGGCTGTCCCAGCGTGGTGGAGATGATGGACGCACTATAGCCGTAGGTGAGGGATGCAGGTGCCAGTAAAAAGAGGACGAGCACATTGTACCCATTGAGCTTCTGCTCTCTCTCCCCTGCCTGGAGGGCGCGGTTGGAGAAAAAGCCCATGGCCTTTGATTGGGAGTCTGAGTCTATGTCTGTAGCTTTGGCTGTGTCTGTGTCTGTGTCTGAACCTGGGTCTGAATCCTACTCAAGGTGGTGTCTGATGATGGACAATGCACAGGTGCGCGGCTTTCCTCTCAGTATCTTTTCTATCTTTTCTACCCTTTCTACCCCTCGACCCGGGTTGCGGGGGAAAGGGTATTTGAAATCAAACGGGTACTTCAACCGTGGCCATGTCCTTTGCTGTCCTCAATAACCGAGGAATTCATCAGGCAGGCAGGCAGATGTTATAGCCGTGGATAGAAGGAGGGCCATCACTGTCACGGACTACTGTCCTATCAGTGTGAACAGTGTCCAGTAGCTTCCTTCTTCCGGTCTTGGGGTTCGCCCAATGCCATGCGCTGGCAATTCAACTGTGTGGAAGCGACTCCGACTCTAGTGTGCATAGCATACAGTAGAGGAGGTGTCTCTGTCTCAAGGGACTGAGGAGATCTGGTCTGGCTTCCCCAGGTTTGGGTTCGAAACCCCACAGTCCCTTTCCCCACTGCAGTCCGGGGTCAACGCCTTATACTGGAGCCAGTACTCTCTGTCAGCCGCGGGAGCTTACGGTCGCCTAAGGCCCGTAGCGAGATCCCAACTCCGCATAGCACCTTCAGATACTGTACCTTCCTAGTGAATGGGCGTGTTGGCACGTCTCACGTTTTCAGAGGTCGGACACCTTCTGTAATGTTAATGGAACGAGAATGAGGAAGCCAGCCATGTGTGGAACATGTTCGATCAAGAGCGTCGAAAACAAAAGGCGCACCAGGTTCTTGACTTGTAATATATAATGGGTCAAAGAGGTTCGTGACTTGTGTTCTTTCCCCCCCTCCCCCCCAAAACCACAAGAGGGAGGACGGTGACCTCGGGTACTAATTACCATCTACTGTGCTGCACCAGGCGTCAAGGGGTGTGGGTGTGGGTGCGGGTGTTGGTGCGGTGTTGGTGCGGTGTTGGTGTTTGTTCCCGCGGCCATGTCCTGTCCCCAGGACAGGTGGACTGACATACCCGGGAACGAGATGCTCGAGTCAGGAAATGCTAACAGGTTGACTCGTATAAAGAGCCAGAGCCTGGATCACTCCGAGTGGACGAGTCAGAAACGCTCAGCCTTGTATTCTCCTCGGCAATTTCATTTCCCCCGCAACCCAACTGAGTTTGGCAGGCGGGCGGGGAGACAAGGACGGTGGAGCACAGAACTGTAGATACTAGATATTAGATGCTAGATACTAGATGCTAGATACTAAATATATGATAGATAGATACTAAATATATGATAGATATACTCTGTACGGAGTAGTGAAATGTAGACGGGGTTAAAAGCGGCGAGGCATCCACAGCCTTGCCCTTGCCCTTGCCCTTGCCATTTTTACTTGATGCTGGACGCTTCTTGTGTATGTGTATGGAGTTACGTATGCATGGCTAGGTACAGAGTACAAGTCAACCAATCTGGACCAGATTATACCTATATACCCAATCTCTCCAACACAGTAAGATTGATCCTCATCCTCCGAGCTACAGTACTGTATGTTCCATCATGTTATGTTGTCCTGCCGCAACGCCTTGTACTAGCATATGCGGATGGCTCGAGCAAAACTGAACCAAGCCCAATTCAACCCGGTTGTTCACTTCACAGTACTTGCCTTACCTTGTTCACTTCACAGCACTTCCCTTGCCTTCCTGCGGCAACTACAGTACGTTGTCGCTGGGAAGATTGAACTTCCGATCGTGGGATTCCCAGTCCTCTCCTCCGCCCACTTCGGATCCTGGACCTGGATCTGGATCTGGTTCGTGGCGAGAATGAGAGTGAGAGTGAGAATGTGAGTGAGCACGGTCACAACCCGTTTTGATTTTCGGGGTATTAAACATGCCGTCTGGATCGACGCCGTTTTCGTCAATGAACTGTTCCACCTTGGTCCGTTCATGCTGAATCTGGGCCACCAGCTTCTGCAGGTCGACCGCGACATGTGGATTGTACCTTGCCGCCCCGCGGACAGCGGCTTCAGCGACATGGTACCGACTGCAGCCGTTCTTCAGCAACATTCCAAACGGGGTCGTGGGAGCGGCGGTGGCAGCGGCCATGTCTGTGGTCGTATATTCACCCTGGAAGCTGGAAATCGTGATCCGATCGAGCCGGGGTCTCCCAAACAGCAAGCCCTGGAGCTCATTCGCGTAGCCATGATAGTTGAAATGGATATGACGATCCGGGGTGAACAGGACATCGAAATCGACAGGACTCAGTGCGTGCGGATGCGGCTCCGGCTGCGAACCTTCATCCGCATGGCCGAGGATCATCAGGTCCATGACATTGACCACCCGCAGTGCCAGCGATGGAGCCAGGGTCCGCAAATACGCGGCCGCGGCGACGATTTCGAACGTGACGGCGGCCCCTACTCCCACCAGCACGACGTCCGGATCGATGCCGTCGTTGGTGCTGGCAAATTTCCACACGCTGCCACCAGCCTGGGTGTGCGTGTCTGCTTGGTCCGGACTGAGCCAGACCGGGCTGCCGTGCCGTGACCCTGAGCCTGAGCCTGAGCATGATCCGGACGCCACGATCAGGTTGATGTAGTTCTTCGACCGGAGGCAGTGGGCCAGCGTGGAGAGAAAAGTGTTGGCGTCCGGGGGGAGGTAGACTCGCGCGATGGCCGGGCGCAGGTTAAGAACAGCGCCGATGAAGCCGGGGCTTTGATGCGACGGCCCGGTCGACTCGGGATGGGTCCATGTGCCGGTCGATATGTAGGTCAGGCTGTTCACGTCTTTGCGCCATGGCGTGTCTTTGAGAAGCCGGAGGAACTTGCTGTACTGGGTCACCATGGTCGCAATTATGAGGAACAGACCCTCGTCGGCGGCGAAAATCCCCGTGCGCCCCGTCATGGTGTAGCCTTGTAATAATCCTGTACATGACTTGTCAGCACAAAAGTCGAGAAGTCGAGAAGTCGAGAAGTCGAGAAAGCTCAAAGTATGGTTGGTACGCGAGACGTGGCAGAGGGCGCCGCCTTGCCTACCTTGACAAGCATGCTCAGACATGAATTCAACCACCTGTCCACTCTGGTTCACATTGTCGTCGTCCCAGCGGAAGGCCCGAGATGTCCGTTCGGAAAGGGGGTCGAGCAGCTGACAACTCAGCACTCCATCCGGCGAGAATATCCGCAACGAATCTTTGTTCCGGGCCAACGCCTCGTGTAGGTATGACGCCCCCGCCTTCAGGCAGCTGTAGTCGTTCCCGGGGGCCACGGCGAAGTGTCGCCACTCAGGCACATTGAGGTGGCGTCGAGAATCCCAGGTGACTTTGTTTTGCCCGAGCTTGAGTCGGTCGTCGGCCGGGAAAATGGCCTGAATCGACTCCGGCACTTTCCCACCAGCCAGGATCTCGGCGGGCTTGTAGGAGGCCAGCCACTCCTGGAGCTGCCGCAGCTGGCCTGGGTTGAATTTCGCCTGTGGGAGAAGCACTTGGTGGCCGTGGAAGGAGCCGGAACCGGCCAGCCTAGTGTTGGATTCGCTCTCCTCATTCGTCAGCCGAGGATAACCCCAGCCCTGCGGCACTCGGAGGATGATCATCGGCCATCTGGGCTTGAGACTACGGTCGCCGGATTTGGCGGCGAGTTGAATGTCTCGGATCGTCTCCAGCGCCCAGGACAAGGCCATGCTGAGTTCTCGGTCGATGTCCTGGATATCATCGACGATGGTGGGCTGATAGCCGTAGCCGGAGAAGAGGCAACAGAGCTCTGAATTCTCCATGGATCCGAAAATGGTCTTACTGTTGCCATTGCCATTGCCATTATAACAGTTGAGGTAGAGGATGGGTATCACCGCCCCCGACGTGTTTGGATCGATATACCTACACATATGCCAGGCACTATATCATTATTCACGTTAGCACAGCACCTCCAAGGTTCGACCTCAACCCTCTTGGTGGAGAATGCAGCTCAGCTCGGCTTACGTAGCGGTCGGTCCTGTTTCGGCCTCGCCATCTCCAATGACTGCAACGGTGACCAAATCGGGATTGTCCATCACGGTTCCGTAGGCCATGGAGAGGACATGACCTAGTTCCTCATTTTGATGGATAGTGCCAGGGATCCTGGCGTTGAGATGGCTAGAAAGACGGATGTTAGTGCTGCCGCTCGGTTTGTCTGGACAACTGGACATGGGTATAGGTAGGGAGCACCAACCTCGGAAAGCCTCCGGGAACGCCGAATCCGGTGATGAGGTTTTCGAGGCCTTCTCGGTCTCGGCTGTACTGCGGATAGAAACGCTCCAAGGAACCTTCTAACCACAGGCATGCCAGAACAGCCGGCATGCCCTCTTTGGGGCCCATCAGGCAGATAATGTGCTGGTCATACTTTTGAATCACGAGGCTAATATGTGCATAGAGCAAGGTGGTGCCCGGCGAGATGCCCCAGTACCCTGGTCTTGTCAGCGAGACTAGTACTGTACCTGCGTGGCATGAGAGATTCCCTCCCCCCCTACTCACCGATATTGTGCTTGATGTCATCATGGGAAAGATTGCGTTGGAGGAGGACGTTATCTCGTAAGAATGTCATAGCAGCACGGACGTCAGCCCAGCACCATTTTTCCATAGATAGAACAGCTCACGAACCGGCAGAGATGTAGTCGGCCGCTCTTCGAAACTCGAGCAGCCGCTCCATGGTTTTGAAGTGTAGAGGTTCCGGATATAAGTTCTTGCCCAGTTCCAGCGCGAACTCCGGTAGCTGCGCTCTGGGGGGATTTTGATTCACTGGTGCCATCTCGGCGGCGACTGAAGTCTCCGGGACAGCCTGTAGATGATGACGATGATGATGATTCATGGTTAGATGGAGTTACTGTTAGACCCACGGTGTTTGAGGTTGATAAAACTTAGACTCCAGGACCAGGACCAAGACCAAGTTGAGGAGCCAGTGATAAATATGTATCTGGTCTATGGGTGAAAGCGGCTCAGGCTCACCAAGCACCGTCACGTCACATGTTCACAGTCACGGGATGAAGGTGGGTGCGGTGGCAACGAAGACGTCGAATTGAAGCAGCCCGAGATGGAGATGGAGACGGAGATGGACACATCTGGTGGTACATGATGGCGTATGGTGTGACCTGGTGTGACTTGGAGCTCGGCCCTCAAGGTCGCGCACCACCTGCGGAAGAAGAGACAAACGAAGCTGGTACATACTCCGTACATAACAGTCCCGTGTGAGCAAGCGATGTGAGAGGGGTGGGCAGGCTCGGTTGGCCAGGGTCGTAGGGTCGTAGGGTACTGTGAATCCAGAATCCAGAATCTCAACGACCAAACATGCCTGGCCGGGGTTATAGCTATGTCGTCAGGCTGTCCTAGTGAGACTCGCATAAAATGTATCGAGTCAATGATCACCCTGGAGTCTGGACACCCTGGACACCCTGGATACGCCAGGGCATCCTGGGCACCCGGGGCCAATGGCCTCTGGACAACCGCATCATCATGCATGACAGAGATCGCTTCCCCCCTTCCGCCGAATTCTTGGATTCATGGAACGCAGCGGCGGCTTTCGGATCCGGCAATCCGCAGGCGCCACCCTGTGTCGGTTCGCCCGTTTGGCCACTGAGTGTATAGTGTACACGCGACACTCGACGAGGGAGCCTGTGGTCTGAAAACACCTACCTGCTACCTGCACACGGTGTTGTTGTTGCGAAGAAAGATCTATGAGGGAAGAAGCTGCCAGCCCACGCAACGGAGGCGAGGGACTCCATACATGTACAATTGCGCAGGTGCTCTGACAAAAGGGGCAATATCTGCGTCGAGTCTGATTGGCTTTGCAAGATCAACACCTGTGTAGATCCGGAGTATGGAGTGCACGGTACGGAGAAGACATACCGTTCCCACCGTTAAGGGACAGTATCAAGTCCAGTCCTCTGTATTCCGTACTACATACATTGTACCGCCCAATACACATATTTAGGTAGGTAGATGGTAGGTAGTAGGTAGTAGGTAGGTACCTATTAGGTCCAGTCTGATGTACCTAGGTACATACCTAGGTATGTACCTTATAGGCCCAGGTAGGTTCAGGACAGTATTGACCTTGGCAGCTTTACTGTACAGTACTCCGTACTCGGTACTCTGTCTTCAGTACGTCAGCCGGATGATTCAGCCGTCAGTGGAGTTGTCCATTCTTGCATTTCTGTACCAAGCCCGACCCCTGCTCAGACTAGAGCAAATCCGACCTTGCGAGCTGCAGGGTCTGCTCGTCTCTGGACATTTTCGGCAACTTCCATGGGACGCCCCAGAATTAGAATCAGAATCAAGAGTCAGAGTCAGAATCCCCAGCAGGGGTGGCCATCCCTAGTTGAGCTTCGGCATATGCCTATCCAGTGACCGTGATGCGGAATTACATCTGCGAAGATTGACTGGTAGGCGAGGCTCGCGTGCCTGACAACAAACGGCCCGGCTGTAGAATCCGGGAGACTAGATCCAACCACGGATGTTTCTTCCAGCCGTCGGATTGATTTGTTCTGGGCAAAGCCACAGGCCGGTTGGTATCAGTATCAGTCCACCGTTACCCATACAAGTGGACGGAGTCAAAGACCTATGTACGTGCTTGTCCAGCAGATTCGTGATTCCTTCGGTGCCATGGAAGCCTTTGCATCCTGCAACCGTGCCCTCATTGGGACAGGCATGGTCGCTACTCGTAGGTTCTACCTATCGAACAACGAACAACGCTTGGGTCAAGGGCAAAATGGGCTAGATTCTACTTAACAAAGAACGTTGCCATGGCTGCTCTGGCATATGGCATATGGCATACATCAGCTTGACATTCCAGCAATCACAACCATTGATCGATGTGTGGAAATCCAAAGCCACGCGCATGTCACAACCTACTACCTGCACCTAGGCCGTATCAAACTTGCGGAACGTTCCTCAGCCCCGGCCCCATCTCTAGCAGCGTCTATTATAGTCCGGGACCCCCCATGCCCCTTTTGGCAGAAGAACAAGGAGCCTTTCAACCTCTTCAACTTCTACAAAATTCAGGTCATAGGGCGCATAGGGGACATAAGACGACACCGGCAGCTTCTGTGTGCATGCCGTCTCGGCAGATGCCCAACATGGATTGGAACGTGTCGGACGAACTGCCCTTGGATGAGTTGCCCTTCAATGACGAGGCTGCCTTTTTGGACATGATGAGCTTGAACGGTGTCATCGAACCGGCGCCATGGCTCGAATATCCTTTTTCCACCTTTACCAACCTTGACTATAACTTATCTCCGACTCCTCCTACGACCGGCAGCGCCGAGTCGCCCCTGACACCGCCTGTCCCTCTAAACCCGCAGCGGTTCGCAAACTCCAATCTCACGCCGAAAGCGATGGAAGGCGAGACTCAGCCAGTTTCTCCGATAGTCGTTGGGAGGCGTCAGACGGCCGACCGGCCTCTCAGATCAGAGTCAGATCCGAGCCTGATGATAAAACCTGACCCAACTGCTCAGCCCAGGCCGATTTCGCAGCGGATGACCATAATACCCGAGACGGGAATCTCCAAGCCTGGAAGCCTCGGACGCAGGAAGCGGCCCTCTCTTCGACGCAGTAGCGCCTCCCTTTCAAGTGACGACGGAAACGGTCAGGGGCAACGGGCCAAACAGATGCACACCGCCGTCGAACGGCGATACCGAGACAAGCTCAACCAGAAGTTCAGGCAACTCTTAGAGAATCTGAAAGCCACCGAGTTGTCGACACTACCTGCCCCCGATGATCCCAATAGAAGGATGCGGAAGGTGGATATCTTGGCTGACGCCGTGGGCTACATCAATCGCTCAGAGGCGACGATGCGTCACATGTCTAGCGAGATCGACCGTCTCAATAAGCGACTGATTCTTTCTCAAAGGTTCCGTGCGGACAAACAGGCGATTCATGAACTCTCCCGAACGGCGAGTTCGGAAGAAACCTAATGACAATATTTTGTGGTGAGATTGAACGGGAAACCGAGCAGGGCGTTTCGACATCAGTTTGCTCGGCTACCTTGGATTGTTAGCGATAATGTACAAGGAGATGTACAAGGAGGATCACTTTCGAAAAGAAACGGGTAGGGAATTAGGAGCGATTTAGCTGTGATAATGGCAATCAGCCAGGGCTCGGCTTGAATTTCATGGCAGACAAGAGTTTCTGGACTGTTCTTCATCCTTGACTTTCTCACGACCTTTCCAGCCGCTCTCTGCAGAATTGCAGAGACTGACTGAGTCGAATTTATGACATGGGGCCCCGGGTGGAGGCCCAAAGAACATGTGACCACAGGGACTCACAGGGACCTTTCGTATGTGCTTATTCGTCCTAACAGAAGACGAAGCCAGTCTGATTGAGGCCAAGACAGGACTAAGACGGACATGTCGGCTTAGTGATAGCAAGGCTGAGGCTCGAGATTTCGGAGGCCTAAGAGCGTTCATGATTGAAAATCAGACAGCCCGTCTACCATCTGACAGTACCATTTCGGTCGGCTAACGTTGAGCCTAAGTAGCCCTGTGACTGTGTAGATCTGACTGTGTAGATCTGTTGTGTAGTTCTATTGTGTAGTTCTGACTGTGGTCCTGTAGATCGTACATCTGTTCATTGCGAGGACAAGTCTAGACCTCTAGACCCATCGCATAGCGGCACGGCACAGACGTCAAGACAGCAGGACTTTATTCTTGAGAGAAACAGCTTCGTCGTCGCCCTTGACCTACTGTCGATGGCTCCGCATCCACCGATACACGTCAAGGATACTATACACTATGGACTAGCTATCATGCATGAGATAGGGATATCTGGTGAACTGCACTGCCGGGCCCTGCCTTCTCGAGCGCCATTGCCATTTTCTGTGATACCTCGAGAGAAATTATATTGTCTCGATCGCCATGGTGAACCCTACCTGGTGTCAGACCGTACATCCCTTCAACTAGATATCCTCACCAATGTGGCAGATGCTTTATATGGCTCACGCTCAGGTCGTCCTCCGCCACAGATAGGCATGAGTGTTGTGAACCGATGTGGAGAGTGTGTGACCCCAGCTCCCAATTCCCGTAGCCAGCCGTACTAAACCTAGTGACGTGGATCCTGTTGAGATCAACATGATACCGCTATACAATCTCGTCCAGCAGGGCCGATAAGATGGACACATTCCACCCATAGCCACAATCCATGTTCAGCGAGGGCGACACGGTGATCAGGTTTCCGGCCAGTAACATACAGGTCTGGGATGGGACAGGGTCGTACGACTTATCAGCCTGTTTGTTCTGCTTTGATTTCCTGACCAGCTCTGCCTGGGGTATGGAGATCGAGGGCAAGGTGTCTAAGGGTCAGACTTGAACTGGTCATAGCAGAGAATCACTCTCGGGATGCCATGGTGGAGCGACGCGAAGGATTCATTGCGACCTCGCTGAGACTCTCCGGCGCCGTGGAGAAAGAGAATGAGTGGCCACTCCTTGTCCACGTCTTGATAGTACTGGGCTGGAACAGACGCGAAATGTTTATATCCAAACGTGGCGTTGGAAATTCGCTGATCGAAGAACTCGAACTTGATGTGCTTTGTCTGCGGCTTAGGGTTGTAGGTGAGTGCCACTCTCACTAACCGCGATAGGCAACGGCACCTATTACGTCGTTCCGATAACGCTGCGGACTCCCATCCCAACTTTGTGAAACACACTCGACACTGGCACTGCGACGAACCCGTCTTGTGCACTTGCACTTGGACTTCAGGAGGCCAGTGAGTGACAGGATTTGGTTCTTGCTGCTCGATTGATCGCCATGCGGCAAAGATGGGAAACTCTCAGAGCGCGCACAAGATCTCTGCGCAGGACAAGTCAGTTGCCCATCTGCCCTCCCGTCGAAACCTGGTCTCTTATGAACGCGTCTTAACTTTCCCCACAGAGCAATTCTAGATATGAAGAACCAGCGCGACAAGCTACGACAATACCAGAAACGAATCACAGTAATAACGAACCGCGAGACCGAGGTTGCCCGTGAGTGTCTCGCCAAGGGAGATAAAGCCAAAGCTCTTCTCGCGCTTCGACGCAAGAAATACCAAGAATCCCTCCTCTCCAAGACCGACGCGCAACTGGAACAGCTGGAGAAATTGACCAGTAGCGTTGAGTTTGCGCTGGTGCAAAAGGATGTGCTTTTCGGCCTACAGCAAGGGACGCAAGTGTTGAACATGATCCACCGGGAAATGGGAGGGTTGGAGGGAGTGGAGAAGATGATGGCAGACACAGAAGAAGCCCGGCGGTACCAGCAGGAAATCAGCGAGGCTCTGGCAGGACAGATGTCGAATGAAGACGAAGACGAAGTGGAAGACGAACTAGAGGCCATGGAAAGAGAGGTGTCTGGTGTCGGGGCATTACCGGACGCGCCCGACAAGACTATTGTCGGGACTATTGTCGGCGAGGGCACATTGCCGGAAGCCCCCAAAACAGAGCTGGGAGCGGAAACGCAAAGGATACAGAAACAAAAAGAGAGGGCTCGGCAGAGGAGAATGGCGTTGGAAGCCGCTTGATTCTAGACTGTTGCTTTTGTGGTGGTGGTACATGGGATGCATCTCCGCGCAGGCGTTATGCTGTTGGACTTCCGTCGACTGACAAGCCCTTTGTTTCCTATTGTCCTGACATGGAGTGGCCAACGTTGGTCAAGCCCTGAATCAACTTGTGGTCTTGCGGATTAGCGGCCGCTTCATACAACACACTGACTGGTTCTCGGTTGAGTGCCATAAAGTTGCCCTTGAAGCCCAAATATCCTACGCGAGTGACGTCTTCTTCTCCGCCCGAGTGATTATCTTCGAAGAAGAGGGCGATGGAAGTGGTGCCGTTCCAGAGCGCACGATTCAGCGGGATCTCCATGACCTCGTTGCTCTTGGGAAGGTTTAGCGTCTGAGTCGGTTGCAAGTCGGTGGCGATGCCGAAATCCACGTCGTCTCGGTTGCGGAAGAGCTTGAGCGTGGAGGGTGCCGAGTCGGAGTCTGAGGTGCGGATGAGAATGGAGTAGAGTTTGCACGACCCGGCAAAGGGCACATGCATTAGGAGTTGTTCGTCGGCGTCGCTTTCGAGGAGTGGCTGCTCGTTGAGCCGTTGATCCCATGTCTTTTGCACGATGGCCGCTCCAGAGTTGGGCTCAGCCTCGTTTAGTGTGGTGATGCCTTCGAAGTTGATCTGCTGGTAGAGGTTCGACTGCAGGGCTGGTTCTAAGTCGTGCGAATGGTCGTGCCCGTGCCCGTGCCCGTCCCCGGCTCCATGGCTATGACCGTCACTGTTACTGTGTCCGTGATCGTGACCGTTTCCATGATCGTGGTGATGAGAAGCCATACTGCGGAGTAGCCACTGACGGACCACGTATTCGAAGGAGATGCTAGGTGTGGTTCAGTCTGCGAACATGTCACGGCTGATGTGGATGTGAGTGTGAGCACAAGTTGGTCACAGACCGAGACAGGCCAGCGAAGCAGAAGTACTTTCCGTCCTAAGGCTTCATAGAATCTCCGGTGGTGTGAAAGGTGAGGCGAGGTTCCAGCAATAGAGTTGTTTGACTGCATCTCCATGGCGGGGGTTCTTTGCTACAGAGTGCGCGCCGCTTTAATACCGCGGACGTTCATTCACTACCTTATGTCTTTGCTCTGACCTTTATCCTCCGTCGAACATAGCGTATCAGGCCGACGTTCTTAGATATGCCACTTGATCAAGATGATATTCTCTTGCTACCCAGGAATATTTCTCTTGCAAACTCCCAGCTTCGCCATTCCATACATCTGCAGTTGTTTGCAGTTGTCTTAATTCATCCTGCTTGCTACCGAAAAGTCAACCTCAGCCTCACTACCAGCGGCGACACCTTTTCCGATTCGACTGTCATCATCAGTTTCAAAAGTAGTAATTGTTCAGCACGACTCTTCTAGATCCTCCCCCTCTGTTTCCGTGATATCTATACCTATCGATTTAGAGTCAGTCTTCCGAACCTGGACATTCTCCATCAGAGTCATCCGTGGGAACTTACATGCCCTCTTCGCGGTCGATATACTCTCTTCGATCGGGTTTATGGTATCTTCGACGCCGCCGCGATGGCTGAGGCTGAGGGATGACCACTGTGGCAAGCTGTACCCGTGGGCCGGGCAACATTACCGCTCGATCGGCACGTCGTCCATCTCTGCGCAGCAGGACGACTCGCTCGCGGCGTGGGTCGAAGAAATCCATGCTGTGACAGTTGCACTAATCAAGGGCGTCGGTTGCTTGGTCGTGCGATGCGATAAAGGTGCGGCTGTTGTGTTGATGACACTGCTTTCTTGACCTTGATCATATACCTAGGTAGTTACAGTTCACACTCCCATCGACCTTCAAGCAGAAAAACGAGTCCCGTGGTATAGTGGAAAGAGAAAGAGCAGAGGGAAGAGGGAGATCAGGCACGCAGTGTACTGCCATACCAGCGCCTCTCGACATGAAGGCAACAGAGTCGTACAAGGCAGACTGTCGGCTGGGGCCAGTGTCGACGTTGAACATCAGCTAGCTGGTTCCCGTCGGTTTGCTCACCGTTGCAGTGGAACAAATGCGATGGCTTAGGTTACACGGCTCCCATTTGACTTGAGACCACGCTTGATTTCGCCATCTCGCACTCGAAGCGGCTCCGCATCCAGCCAGAACCGTGCGTGCAGGCCTTTTCATTTCCATCCGTCAAGGCCTTCCAAGCGCAAGAAAAGACAAATTCGAACAGGAGGCGGAGGCAGACGAGACATAGGATTGGTACCAACCCATCAAATCCCTTCTGGTTCGCTGCAGCGAATTCTCTGTGCTCAGTAAACCTGAGATGAACATGACCGGCCAGTAGGCCATAATCAAGATCATGTAGTACACGAGTGTCTTTGTCGGTCTCAAATCAGCCATACTCCGCAGTCAATGCGATAGAGTATACTAAGTATCCGTACTTCGTAGACCACAAACTGCTCCTTTCGGTTAGCGGTTATCTCGGGATACCTTCCTACTACAAATTAGTCAATTACTCCCCGTACTACCCCAGATCCTCCAATATCTGATGAATGTTGGGTTATGCCTCCTGGTCCGCCGGTGCCTCGATCTCTGTCTCTTACTACAAGCAACCCAGCTGACCGGCTATAGTAAGGTATTTCATTTAGCCAAGTGGGCGAACACCAATTCTTCTACCAATACGCGACATGGCCTCAGAGAGGTTCTTTGCCTAGACCTAGGAGAGCGATCTGCTCTGCCGTAGTAGTAGGGACCATTTAATTGTGCCAAGCCTTTAGTCCACCCACACCCCAAATTGTCAGTTATATACCACACCAGATGAATCTTCCCCAACAATTCCTGGTGATTGGAAGTTTCACTTCCACTCCTGAATTATCTCTGACACTATGGCCGAGTGGTTAAGGCGTGTGACTAGAATGGTCCAATTGAAGATTCAAGTTGGGCTGCTTGCCATCACATCTCTTCGGAGGCACAGGTTCAAGTCCTGTTGGTGTCGATATTGATTTGTTTTTTTGTCAATCTTGATTCTGATTTTGATTCTGGGGTTTTCCTTTTTTATTCCCTGCTCATATTTTACGTATTGTTTTGTGACGCTGGAGCTTCTACTGCAGTGTATAGGTAGGTACGTACCTTAGGTACCTACGCTGGATGAGAAATTCAATCCCGTCGCACTCTATACTCTGCACCCTGCATAATATCTCAATCTGTGACAGAGTACTCCGTACAGAGTATGGAGTACTGCTACACTCGATTAGAGAGCTGATGTCCAAATATTGTGTTGACCCAAAAATGGTATCATGCAGCTGCCGACCTATTCTTCCTCGCGATAGCGACAACGGCAAAAAGCTCTCTTTCAACGACGACAACGTCTCAAAACACCACAAGCAACATGTTCAAATCACCGAGTCAGTGCCGAGCAGTGAACTATCGTGATCTGATCATCACTCTGGACAAGTTGCGGTTGAAATGTTCCATATCTCTATCAAAAGGTCTCAGGGAGATGGCAGACTATACACTCCGTAGTATAGTATAGTATGCCTAAACCAGCCTTCTGGTTAAAGAACAAGGCTGGGATTGCGCCCAAGTTTGACAGAAAGACCTATTCCATTACTTCTCATCTTCATCCCTCAACTCGGTCCACATGATAGCACCGCCTCCCAGACCACGAGCATTCAAGGGATTCGTCTTGTCTAGCCTCGTAGCTTTGCTAGAATCCAAGTCTTTCTCATCCTCCAGCTCCGCCTTGGACGCATAGCCGACGAGATACTTGAACCCGCATCTCTGGTAGAAGGGCTCGGTGTCCGTTGCGCCAATGACCACAGCGGGAAGACCATCCGTCCGCGCGCGCTCCAAGCCCCAGGCGACCAGTTGTTGGCCGATCCCGCGGCGTTGATATGCCGGGTCGACGGCCAACGTACATAGTTCCCAGTGATTGCGTCGGTATGCCGGGTGAGTGAAGTAGTGCGACGTGAATGGCCACAGGCGAGGGCCAAAATTCCATTTGTTCAGCGGGTTGGGATCGGCTGGGGTGGGCTGTGCGACGGAGCGGTTGCGGATGAAGAAGCGCCGCACGGTGTAAATGAACGAGAGGAATGGAGAGATCAATCGCCCTGGGAAGGGGTTGGTCAGTGGTGTCAATGTCAATGTCAATTGTCAGTTGTCAGTGTCGGGATGCAAGAACTTGGAGGGTGAGACATGGTACGGATTGCAGGTTACGGATTGCAGATTGTTCGGGGCTGGAACTCTTGAAGCGGCTGTACGGTTAGGTGGAGAGTGTATGTTTCTTCTCTTCACGACGGGGGAGGAGGTCAAGGTGTATGCTGTTCCCCGACAACAGCAATGAGGTCAATCCCACCCATAACCAATACATAACATGCCATGACCTCAACTGAGGTGTGGCGGCATATGCGCTGCAAGAACAGTTGAAGAGCAAGAGAAGGAAAAAGACAGCAAATCACCACTCACTTGGATCCCACCATCTCACCAGCCCCCAGAGTCTATCTGACCCTTCACCCTCTCTTCCCCATTGCGCGACGCCGGTAATAGTAGTACCCGAAGTGGTGTTCGGGCCTGTCAAGCCGTCTTCATTCTCCCAAACAACCCATACTTTAGAGTAGTCCCACCAGCCGGTCACGGTCTTCTGTTTCCAGACGGACAGGTAGTCGTGCGGGTATTGTTTTCGGAAGGGGAAGATGTGGTCGTTCAGTTCCTCATCGTAGAAGCTGGCGGCGAGGATCTTGGAGATGGGGCCGATATCCGAGAAGGTGGCGAGGCGGAGAGGCATTGGTGGCGGCGGTAGTGGTGGTGGTTGTGGTGGTGAATATGCACGGGGCCGGGTGGTGGGTTGCAGTAACGGTGCAGGTGCAGGTGAGAACTTAAAGCAAGGGTACCTTTGGTACCTGAGTTTAGTGTCCGTACGCAGGAGGGTAGGTAGTAACTATTCTTTACAGAGTATCCGTACTGCGTACTGTATGCCAATGGATTGGAGACGGAGATGGGTACAGAGTCGATGGAAGATATTAGGGTGTTCCCATTATTGGTCTATGTAGCTTGGGATGCAAAGTTTGATGCAATATAATGCAGTGGCAGGGGAAACGAACAAAGGGTTGTGTATCTAAGATGTGCGGGGAAAAGGCCGAGACACTGAACAAGGAGGACGAACAATACAGAATACTCTGTATACTAGGTAGTAGTAGTAATGATATAATAAGACAGTCTCAGTCACTGCTGGCAGACCAACATCGAATTAGGCTTACAGTTAACTACCCTGTAGACGTTGGGTCCATCTGCCATCTGGTACCTGCCATGTGCCATGTGCCATCTGGTGACTGGAGACTGGAAAGCTCCAAGGTGAGGTGAGTTGAGTTGAGCTCGGGCTGGCAGCCGAAAGAGGGAGGTGATTAAACCCCTGCAAGTGCAGATACATTAGGTACTTGGTACAGATGGATATAGACCCAGCAGTACAATGGAGTGCAGTGCACACGTGGAATAACTTGCCACGGTTGACACAAACCAAGCTACTCCATACACCTACCGTACTCCATAAATCTGACTTACCTTGGATACTGCAGCGTGGACAGTGGATGGTGGGCGGTGGACGGTGGACGGTGGAAATGAGAATGATAAGCACAAGACAGCTTGCATGAGCTTGCAACGTCTTATCAAAATACCCGACGTGCTACTGTAAGTTTGACTGATAACTGCCAACCGCCCACTATATGTACTCCGTACTAGGTACTATTAAGTAAACCCTAGTTAAGCTGTATTGGTAGCTGTAGCTAATCAAGATACGGATACATTGAATGGCACGTCGCCTGTGGAAGCGAAGAACTCAAGTGCCAGGCCAGCGTAGGCGTACGGAGCCCCTTCGGAGTGCTCCGTTCTCGGTAACCTGGGCTGGACGGGCCTGGGCCGGGGGCTTCAACAGGCGAAAGGCACTGGTGTTCCGAACCCATGGCGGCGACAGGGGGATGAAGAAATCCATTCCATCAGAATCAATTTAATTAGTACGGAGAGACGCCTATAGATAGGTCCCTAGGTCGTGAATCGGATGCTGAGACAGAGTTTTCGGTAGCCGTAACATCTAGTGGTAGTGGTAGTGGGTTGGTAGGCAGTAGTAGGCGGTAGGCGGTAGGCACTCGGTAATTTCAGGACCCAGGACCTAGTACTTTAGGTACTGTAGGTAGGTAGCTCTAGGTAGCTCTAGGTAGTATGTTGGCACCTAGCCGTGTTAGTAGGCATGCATTTCCGACACCGATTCGTCGATACTTCCAGGTAGGTAGCTACAGTAGGTAATTTCTACTGCTGTAACCTGCTGCTTAGCAACCTTTACTTTTACGTGACACTGGAGACGACGACGACCACGCCGCCGCCGACGCGATGACCACTACCCAGTACTACTGATTAGCACTTCGATCTAGGAAAGTCTCTCTGGAGGACCGAGGTCAAGGTCAAGCAGATCCTTCCTTGATGGGTATCCATATCCGTACTAGCATCCGTATATCGGACAGTTTGACAGCTGCAGAGTTGGCTAGGTACAGGTGTGGAATTCTCCCACTACGCATTACCCCTACTACGAAAGCAGTAAGTTAGGTGGTAAGTACCTAGGTAGTGAGATGGAGCAGGTCCGAAAAGTCAGACTCGGGTTCCTCTTTCGCCGCCATCGGCCACCCTGAGCTTGCGCGCACACAGGCGCAGGCAGCGACTGTGGACTTGGACTGTGTCCTGTAACGGAACTACCTATGTGCACGGCTGGCGGATTTCTCACTGCAGCAGAGGAAGAAGAAGGAAGAGGGAAAAAGAACACGAACAAGAACAAGAACCAGTGGGACCTGGCCATTGCTCGTATACTGTCCTCATTTCGCAAAGATTGGCACAAAGATGCAAAACATACGGAGTACGGATACGGGGTCCTTCGGTTGCTGAGACCAGAGACTAGGGTACGGTACAGAGACGGAGACAGAGGATGGAGAACAGGACATGGGCGGACCGGTAGCCTGGCAGCTGGCAGCTCAGACAGCACCTACCTACCTCAGTTAGTAGTAGGTAGTAGTAATCATTGACACCAGTAATAATACGGATAAAAGCGGTGGACCGAAGCAAGGCCTGCCCTGCCCTGGCCTACTAACACTGTGCACTGTGAATTTGCAAGGTTGAAAGTTGAAACTAACTCTCGACTCCGAGTCGGGCCCATCAACCAGGGGCAACGGCACAAGTAGCTTCTGTGATTATTATTACGGAGTACGGCACGGAGTACGTGATATAGCATCTACTGGGTACTAGGTACTATCTGATTACGGAGTAGTGCTATCTACCAAGCACCGGGGGCACCAAGGGGATCCAGACCGGCGGAGGCAGAGTGGACGAACTGGTGCTGTGCTCTGTTTGTTTCTGTAACCAACTCCCCTCGCCTCCCCTCCTCCTCTGGAGTCTTGTTACTACCTAAGGTACTCGGTACACCGTCCTCGTAGGTTAGGTTAGGTAGGTAGTGGTGGTAGGGTGGTTGGAGTGCGCGTCTCAACCTTGACAAGCTGCTAGTCTCACCACCACCACCAACCTTTCTACCTACCAGGTAAGTTTCTAGTATCTACCCCTCTTGTTTGACACTAACGGATCCGGATCGACAAGGCCAAGTCGATGCGCCATTGGACAATGCACATGCCCCGCCCGGGTGACATGACGCTATCACCACAAACCACTGCGAAACCTTGCCCGGTCCGCAACCATATCCGGCACCGGGCCGGGTCCAAGTGGACCGGTGGTGAGGGTTGCTTGGGCTCTGTGCAGTGTGCAGTGTGCACCGTGCTCCGTAGTTCATCCGCAATTCGCCCAGGCACGGGAAACACTGAACAATGGAGAGATGAGCGACGAGAGACGAGAAACGAGAGACGAGATTGGAGAGACGAGCGACTAGAGGAGAGAGATCGAGAGAACCTTTCTTTGGATCCTCCTGGGCGGATGGATCCCAGTACCCCGTACGTCAACATTCTTCCCACTGGCGCCCATCCATTGATTGTTCCTCCTTAGTACTTGCCCATTCACATCCATCATAGCTCGTATCTATCCATCCACCACATCAATCTACCCAAGGTTCCACTCAGAAAAAAAAGTTTGGTTGCCATCCAAGCAGTTGCGCGTGTGCGCGTGCCTGTGCCTGTGCCTGCCTGTCTCCGTACTCCGTAGAAGCGCCGTGACCACGACGCCGCCTACCTGACCTATGCCGGGGTATTGTTGTTTTCGTAACGGACCTGCCACTGCATATCCTTGCGGATGATGTTGGCTTCGCTGTTCTGGCTGTCTTGAGACTCGCCGGATCGCGCATCGGGTTCGATCGCATTATTCCCCCAGTATGTCGATGTGTTGTATTGAACCTTGTCCGGCCGGAAGTTGGGGTCTTGTTGTTGCGGTTGTTCACCCGCCACAACCTTGTCCTCGTCCAGTGATCTTCTCTTGCTCCTGCTGTCACTGTCTTGGGACTTGTTCAACGACTTGAGCGGGATGCTTCGGGTCCCGCGGCCGGTTTTCTGCCTCGTAGCTTGTCGGCTGCTCTGCGACGCTGTAGTCTCCATCCACGTACTCCCCATGCTCGTGTTGAACTTCCGCAGGCCACGGTTCAGAGCAGGCAGAGCGGCCGAAACCAGCGCAAATAGTAGTTGCACTTGCTGGTACACGACCGGAGTGACAATCTCCACTCCGGGATTCGAGGAGTGCCTGGTCAGGTCGATGTAGTGGGCGTGAAGGCCGATGAGAATGATCGTTCTGTCCAGAGTGAGCAAACAACAACCGAAAGAATTTCGCCCGCTACTTACATCAGTCTGGGAGCAAAAGCAAGCATGACCGCAATCTTTCGGTCGAGCCGCATCTGCAAAGGCACTACCACGATGACGGACAGCGAGAAGATGAGGAGTTCGGTCACCGCGTCAATGACGGCGACTGCGTTCCATCGGGTGGTCTGGCTTGGTCAGTGATAGTACACAGCCGGCGGTCCGAAAAAGCATACCAAGTCATGGCAGAAGGAGCCGCGGTATCCGATCTGTCCGAGAGAACCACAGCCGACCGTGACACCGAGGATGGCTCCCAGACACCAGAGACCGCAAATGACAACCACGCTGTCGCACATAAGGCGGCTCCTTCTCATGTTCACGCTGAACAGCTTCCGACAGAGCAGGATGACGCAGCATTTCGTCAGGAACAGCGCCACGAAGAACAAAACGATCGATGCGATGTACAGCTGTTTGTCCCGTCAGAGTCATCGTCGGAGGAAGGACGTGGAGTATGAATACCCTTCCAATCGACCCTGCATCGGATGATCCGATGTCGAAATACGATCTCCCGAATCCGTGGGAAATGGCCACGAAAATCATGACATATTGCAAAACTCCAATCACCTGGACAGCTGTCAGCGGGTCGCAAGCTCACAGAGACCTGAGGATTCACCCACCGAAGCAGCAATGGCCAAATACTCATCCATCCCAATCTGATTGCCGGTAAATGTGCCGCGGAGGGACAGGATCATAGGGATGTACACCACACATATCACCGAGACCACCAGAATCGAACCGCGGTGGTCTTGGTCGGTGATGCGAAAGTATCGGTCGCCCGACGTGGTCGGGTCGGCCGCCGCTGAGTCTGCCATGGTCGCCGCAATCAAGAGAGGGTCGTGTGTAGCAACATCAAGGACATCTGGAGGTCTGGAGTTTGGAGGCGGTCGCACCCCTTTTGTGAGGAGTTGAGTTGCGAGAGCAAGGTCGGGTTCCGCCCGAGAGCGGGAGTGCGAGTGTCAAAGAGCATCAAATGGCATGACCGGCGCAAGGTGGGGGTGGTGGTGGCCGGGGGGGAGAGACGTAAATTTCGTCGAAACCGCGCAGGGAACAAGGTCTTGGAAGTTGGGAGGGTGGCAGATCAGGGCTCGTTCGGCCAGTCACGGGCAGAGGCCGGGCAGAGGCAAGCCGGGCGCTCGGGCTCTTTCCTCTTAGGCGCAGATGCGCAGGCTTAGGTTGCAGGCCCCTACTGTCTACTGTAAGCCTATGGCTGCCACTAAAAATGGTGGCGTGCTGGATACCCCTTAGCCCCCCTCACCGCACTACTGCCTGCGCTTTCACGCCGCGCCCAGGCTAGAGTTCCACCGGCGGCGGGGAGCAGAGAGTGCGCAACAGCCACCATCAGGGGTTGGCTGCACAGTGCATGCATTGGATGGCTCCCTTGCCTTCTGCCAGCGTCGCTGTCACTTGATAGTGGAGGGTCCTAAGCACTCGAGGAGACCCTGGATTCCTGAGGATCCCCCCCAACAGCAACAGCGGCGACACTATCACTCACACTAACGGGCGTCCTCGCTTGCCACATGGGCTGGGAACAACGTGCTCTGGAGTCTGGCGGCCACCTCGTGTTTCTTCGCGCAGAAAGCTGATCCGGAGTTGGTTTCAATCTTTTCTTCTCCTCCCTCCGACTCTCCCTTCCATCTTTTGTCCTCATCGGCCTCAGTCTTGTGCCTCTGTTCGTCCTTTGAGCACTCGAGGCGCTTCTCCCTGCTCCGCTGCCAATCATGAGCAAACCAACCGAGCTTACGACCCTCGACCATGAGGCTTACGGGGAGTCTGCCAGCGACGAGGTCGTCCTGGGCGAGAAGCAGGGGACCTCCAAGGATGTCGAGGATATGAGGCGGATGGGCAAAGAACAATTGTTCAAGGTACGCTGTCTCTACCGCGCCGTGTGGCCTGAAGGGATGTTGACGACGGTATCGTGCAGCGCAACTTCGGCTTCTTGTCCATCTTCGGCTTTGCCATGATCTTGATGAACACATGGCAAGCGCTTCTCGGGTCAGTATTCGTACACATGTAGCCGGATTCCATCCACTGTCAAGCTGACTGTCGGATTTGCAGGACTGTCGCCTTCGGCCTGGGTAACGGCGGTACCGCCGGTCTGATTTACCTGTACATCATTGTGGTGGTCTTTTTCTTCTTCGTCAACATTTCCATGGCAGAAATGGCCTCGATGGCCCCAACAGCAGGCGGACAGTACCACTGGATCTCCGAGTTCGCGCCTCGCAGTCAGCAAAAGCTTCTCTCTTTCGTTGTCGGCTGGCTCTGTACCCTGGGCTGGCAAAGTGGTGTGTCCATTGGTTGCTTTCTGGCCGCAACCGAGATCCAAGGCCTCATTGTCCTGAATCACGATAGCTACGTCTATGAGCGATGGCACGGCACGTTGCTCACCATCGCCATCGTCCTCTTCGTCGCCTTTTTCAATACCTTCCTCGCCAAACATCTCCCACTGGTTGAGGGTCTGGTTCTCTGCCTGCATATCGGAGGTTTCGTTTGCATCCTGGTGCCGCTGTGGGTCCTCGGTCCCCGTGGAAACTCGCATGAGATTTGGACAGCATTTGAAGACGGAGGCGGTTGGAATTCAGGTATGTTCACAGCCAAAGCCCTCGTCTGCACCCACACCCACTCACCCTGTATCCAGCCGGTCTCGCCACTTTGGTTGGTATCGTTACGCCGGCCGCCGCCTTTCTCGGTGCCGATGCCGCAGTCCACATGGCTGAAGAATTGAGGAATGCCTCCAAGACTCTCCCCAAAGTGATGATGTGGACGTCGATTGTCAACGGCGCACTCGGTTTCGTGATGCTTGTGTAAGTTTTGACTCCCTTTTGACCCGTTGATCTTTGCTAACAGCCGCATAGTACCTTTTGCTGTAAGGATACTCTTCTCTGGCCCGACCACAGATCAAGACCCAGACAGTACTAACCAGTCTTAGACACCCTCGGCGACTTGGACAGCGTGCTTGGCACTCCCACCGGCTACCCCTTCATCCAGGTTTTCTACAACGCAACTGGATCCAAGGGCGGTGCCACGGCAATGTCATGCATTCTCGTCATCTCGGCCATTGCCAACGGCATGACCAACATGGCCACCGCATCTCGTCAACTTTTCGCCTTCGCTCGAGACAAGGGTTTGCCGTTCCATACGTGGTTCGCCAAAGTGGGCACCAGATTTGAGATTCCACTCAATGGTGCGTCGTCCGCCCACGCACACTCCCAGTCGTACTCACCAGCTAACCTTGTGTAGCCGTTTACTTCACCGTCGCCTTCTCCGTGCTCTTCTCGCTCGTCAACATCGGCTCCACCGTCGCCTTCAACCAGATTTTGTCCCTTGGTCTCGCGGCTTTGCTGTCCTCGTACCTCATCTCGATTGTCTGCGTTGCCCTCCGGCGGATTCGCAACCAGCCGCTACTCGACCGTGCCTTCAACCTGGGTCGACTCGGACTCCCCGTCAATCTGGCCTCGATTGCCTTCCTTCTTCTGGCCCTCGTCATGAGCTTCTTCCCTGGAGCGGCCAACCCAACTACAGAGACCATGAACTGGTCCTGTCTGGCATACGGAGGAACGCTCCTCATCGGAGCCTTCTACTATGTGTTCTGGGCACGACATCACTATGTTGGGCCGGTTGAATATGTTCGAAAGAGTGCTTAGACTTGTTTTGGAGGAGAATTTGAGCGTCGTTGGCCCCTGGTGTTTCGCAGCTTGGATGACGGTCGTACTTCTGATTGGCTCTGATTGGCCTATACCCAGATTGAAAAGTATTCCCGACTCGCGAGCATTCTGATGATCTGGAAGAGTTTCCTATAATGTCAATCTCAGTCATACCTAGGTATCAATTTAGACGCTGTCTGACATGAAACTGTTCTTGAAACACACATGGTGTGCATCTGCTGTGTTTTGGTTCGTGGTATCAATCCGGCGTGCGTAGTTGATGTCTGTCCATTCAAATTGGACCGTTTCCGATATGTTGACTGCATGTCCAAGTCATGGCAGCAGAACGCGCTACTATATGTCTGGCAGTAGTATGCAATCTCCCTACAGCAGTGCAGGGATGATATTCAATATCAATATCTCCCTCTTCATGGACTAGGTGCAGTTTCACCTCTGTACTCCGCCGCAGGCACTACCGTGGATCAAACGCCTGGCGTGCTTGCTTGCTGCCCGCTTACCTCAGGTGCCTGCTGCCTGCCACTCAGTCTTGGACCTTCCATCCCACTCGTCAGCAGGCAGAATATTACTTTTGTTGGCCAGGCAGAAACCTCTGCCAGCACTGCCACTGCCAGCTAAGTGGCAGGCGTGTCGCAGGGGCTAAGCGCCCTTGGCATGGATGCCTTTGAGTGTCTAAAGTGCCCTGCCATGGCATGGCATGATTTCTTCTTCTCGCCGGCCAGCACAGCATCCTCATCCCGGTACGATGGCAACTACTACCACGACTCCACATAATATGGGAACGGTCGAGCAACTCGCACGGGTACTAGTAGGGAGCATCGGTCTCCTGAAGTTGGAGAGGAGGAATCAAGTTTCCAATGGAACCCGCTGAACTACCGACGAAACGAATTTAGGATCCTCAAACTGGTGGGAGTCGGTCAGGAAGATGGGCAGCAAGTAATCAGAGCAACGGTCCACAACGTTCCCATGAACGGCCATCCTCCGTACGACGCACTGTCTTACAGTTGGGGACGTCGGGACTGTGACCGGAAAATCTTGCTTGCGGGCTGATCACATGCTATCACCGACAACCTCCACCAGGCTTTGCTGGTACTCTGGGAAAATAGCGTGCGCAGCATTTGGGTGGACGCCCTTTGTATCAACCAGCACAATCCCGAGGAGAAAGCCGCTCAAGTGCTGAGAATGGCCACCATCTTCCAAGAAGCTGAGACGGTCATCCTGTGGTTGGGACCTGCCGCCTCGAATTCGGACCAGATAATCAGTTCCATGAATGGTGTGAAAAAGTTGAATGTGGGCGGGAACTTCTGGGTGCAACACTATTTTGGTCAACCGAGTGAAAGGAAGAGGCTCAACTTTAAACAAGACTTTGGTGACTTCCTCCGACGCGAATACTGGACCCGATGCTGGGTTGTGCAAGAGATTGCCGTTGCCTCAAGGATCAAGGCCTTCTGTGGCAACAGCAGCTTGGACGGCGGTGTACTCGAATCCATTTTCTCGTCAACCTCGTGGGATATTTACCCGTCATGAATATCGGCAAAGGTCACGCACTCCAGCACATGCTGCATCTTTGGAACATCCGTTCGCTCCTCCGAAGCCGGCAGCCTCAGGATCTCTTGAGCCTACTATGGGAGCTCCGTGCATGTCAGACCATCGAGGTACTGGATCGGGTCTACGCCATTCTTGGTCTGGTGTATGACCAGCGAGCCTTTGTGGCAGAGCCTGACTACACTTTGACGGCGGATGAGCTCTCATTGGTTATGACAAAACGGTTTATCAAAACCACAGGCTCTCTAGACTTGCTCTTGATACCTGCCACTGCAGGGTTCCGTCGCTCTGACAGCTCGCCATCATGGTCAGGTCTCCTGGTGCAGTTCAGTGAATGGGCCAAGTGTCTCAACGTAGGGTCCATAGTGGACTATATCAATGGCAAGGTTAACAGACTGCGCTGTGGCACTCTGGGACACCGTTGGCATACCACAAACTCCAGCCTTGTCACGAAAGACAGCATGAGGCTACAAGGGCAAGCCTTGAGTGTGGTGGGCTTGCGGATTGGAGAACTGACGGGATTATGCACCCTCAATGACAATGAGGGCGATTTTCTATCTAGTTCGAAGCTCCTTGACGTGTTTGACTCGTTTTGTCGCATCCTAATGAGCCACAGTCACTTATACAACGACAACAGTCGAATGAAGAGCGTTGTTGCTCATCTGTTAGTATCTAGCAGACGTTATGTATTCCCTGACGGACATGCATGGCCCTGCCCTCGATCTGATCCGAATTCAAGGGACGCATGCACCCATGAGTCGCAGCTATTCCTGGTACGTGCGTCAATCGTACAGGATACAGACCCGTGGCTACACTTCGGTTCCTCCTTCGATCCCATCATCAGAGACCTGATAGGAATTGCGAAGGCTATCGTCACTACCGAGGACATAGCGAAACCTTCTGTCGAAGATCTGCAGCACGGGTGCAAAGTTCTTTTGAAATTGATCGAAGATGACAAGTTCAACAACTTTCACTTGGCCGGTCCAACATGCGTTACACTGGACGGCTAGGCCTAGGCAGTCGTTGGTCCGCCATGAGATCTGGCTGCTGACCGGATGCTCGATGCCTGTCGTACTTGTGGAAACCGACCCAGGCACGAATCGAAGCCAAAAGTCGTACAGGGTCGTAAGTCATGCTCTGGCCGACTCGGTCCAAATCGAGGGCAAGCACTGTCGGGTCATGACGGGTGAGGCCTGGCAAAGTGCGAAGAAAGAGAACTTTCAGTGGATAACCATTGTCTGAGTTCACTACAACCACCGTGCGACCGACGTTGACTTATCAGCATTGGACCATTTGCCAAATTCCACATGTTGCCATAGTCTAGTCCGTACGTAGTCCGTCCGAAATGTTCTTCTACCAGATCCACCAGTACCTAAGGTACTTTCGACAGATGTCACTCCGTCCCATTACTACCACGGATGGACCGTCTCGGTCGAGGTGAAGGTGGCATGCTGGCCATTCCTGTCGGTGTCGACAATCAACCTGCACGCCTCGATGGCTCCGTCACTCGGCTTGCCCGCAGCCTCACTGTAGCCGTTCAGGTTGGTGGCTCTGTAGCCCGGATCGACCGCGTTGACTTTGACCCCGTCTTTTTCGTACTGAACCGCACACAACGCAGCGATCATGTTCATGGTGGCCTTTGACGCAATATACGGTTGAACCTTCGCGTTCAGCCCGTACCCGTAATACGGCCACGACGGGTCCAACGTATAGGTGATGGAGCCCAGCCCGGACGACATGAACAGCAGTCGAGGCACTTCGGCCTTCTTGAGCAGCGGAACAAACGCCTCGGTCACAACCATGGCGCTGACGGCATTCGTCTCGATGACTTTGAGGAAGCTCTCGCGGAGAGTGAGAGGGGTGGCCCCCGCAGGAGGACGGCCAATGCCCGCGTTGTTGAATAGCACGTCAAGCCGGCCATATCTGTCTTGGACGTATTTCGCAGCTGTGGCAATGGACTCGTCATCGTCCACGTCCAGCTGCAGTGCTTCGACCGACGTGCCTGCTGCCAGATCGGTGATGGCTTCGGCTGCCTCCTGGCCTCGCTCGGCGGTCCGGGAGCATAAGATGATGTGGTAGTTGGGCTGTTCGGCAGCTAGCTTCTTGACGCACTCGTAGCCGAGACCCTGGTTGGCGCCAGTGATGAGGACGAGAGTGTGGGATGGGGTGATGGACATGATGGGGGCAGGAGGTTGATTGTTGATTGTTGACTGATTTTACTGTTGCCTTTCTGTTGATTGCTGATTGTTGATTTAACTGCTGCCTTTCACCTTTTGCCTGTTGCCTCACTCTCCATCTCGAGAGCGAGGGGGACCTACCTTTAAGTACCGACCGCGAGTGTTGGCAGTCCGGAGTTAGTGTATCTTCGATTCTCGGCGCAAGCTCCAAGCTCCAAGCTCTGAGACTTAGACGGCGGGGTGTGTCCAAGCGTACATGTCATTATTATGACCCATGACCTATGACGAGACCCATGGTCACCTAGTAGGTACCTTAGGTACTGTATATGTCAGGCACTTTGCAAACAGTACGTAACCGTCAACCTTGATATGTCAGATCTCAGGGCATCTGCAGCTAGTGACTAGTTAGCGAGCAGGCCAATCATGCCACGCGGAGATAAGAGCTGATACCACTAGCCCCGGGAGGGATGCTACCTAGATGCTTAATTTAAGGCCCGCATGCAGCCTGCCTGCGCACATTATGTACCACTGAGGACTCGGAGTCTACAGCGACCACATCATCTTGTCTCATCTCGCTGAAGAATTCGGCAGATACAGGCCTCACTGCCGGAATGTACGGCAGACAGCCAAAGTAATTGAACATCTAACTCTTACCCGCTCGATCTCTCGGCCTATGGCACCAATGCCTCGACGGCGTCCCGAGGCTGCGCACATGGGTTAAAATGTTCGATAGAGAGTCGAGACCATGACAAGACAAAAGCGCAGAAGTGCTACAGGCTGCATCACCTGCAAGTATGGCCAGACAATGAACCCTCCTCGACGGCCTCTCTCCGATCCGTGGAGAACACACACTGACTGAGCCGTGACCTGCAGGATAAGGCGGGTCAAATGCGACGAGGGCCGCCCATGCTGCACCCGCTGTTCCAGCACAGGACGCAAATGTGACGGCTATCTCGACCGCACACCCGCTCCCAATCAGCCAGCTCCCGCTGCGCTCCTCGTGATCTGGAACTTGGACGTGGACTTGACGACCTGGGACCGCGACCATGTGGTTCGCACGGGATTTCGCTTCTTCGCCGACATGTGCGCGCCCGTCCTGCTCAACTATGGCAGCCACTTCTTCTGGACCCAGCTCGTGCTCCAGGCTGGCCAGGCCTGCCTGAGCGTCAAGCATCTTATCGTGGCGGTATCGCGTCTGGCCTGTCATAATCTCGGCCTGCTTCCTGGAGTCGAGTCCCCCATGGACGACCGCATCTTCTTGTCGCATTATGGCCAAGCGTTGAAGTCGTTCAGTCAAACCAAAAATCTCGACCAGGGCATAGCTCTTATGGCGTGCCTTCTACTGATTCTTTGCGACGAGTTCCAGCAAAGGCCGTTTGCGGCGCTGCAACATATCATTGCGGGCAGGAAAATCCTAGCCTCATATTGTGCCAACAGATCCACATACAGGAATACCACGGTGGAAGAAATCGGCCCTATCTTCTCCAAGCTCGAGTTACGCACCGGTGAGCTGAACCAGCAGACACAACCAAGTCATACTCGGTGGCAGTTGCCCACTGCTCACTATTCTGTCGACGTGATCGATCTCCAACCGTTTTCCAATCTGGGGGTATTTGCAAGAATGGCAAGCACCCTGGAGGCTGCCAAGTCTTTGCAAACTATTGCTGCTGCGTGTACAAGTCTGCGTCTCACTGGCCAGCCACCCCAGACCCGATTCCATACCGTACCTCTCCTGACAGACCAACTCAACACTTGGTTCGAAGAGTTTAGCCGCTTTGACGCTGGAATGTCTCGCGAGATCACACCGGCCAGCCGTGCGGAACTCCAACTTCTGCGGACGTACCATCTGTGTCTCCATGTGCTATCTCGATGCGCGCCGTTCGACCAAGAATGCGCCTTTGACATTTACAGCGGAGCCATGGATCATATCATGGTGTGTGCAGGTCTTCTGATACCCTTCACCACGACCAGGTTGATTCCGATTTTGTTTCTCGTCGCAACCCGGTACCGTAGCGTCAGCTTCCGCAGACGAGCAATTGAGATGCTAAGCCAATGTGGGCTGGACGGGCAGATTTTGGCCCGGATTGCGCTCAAAGTCGTCCAGTTGGAAGAGCGGCGTGTCAAAGAACCTATTGTTTCTGCTGACATCCCGGAGGCGAGTCGTATCAGACTTGTCGACCTCAGCCTTGATGCTGACGGATCGTTCTACACCTTGCGATTTAGGCGTTCGCCATATACCGACGAGCTGACGCCGATTGAGCGGGTGTCGCTGCCCACGCAAGGATTCTCTTGGACAAGTTCGGAGGGATACACTCAGACTTCGGGCCATGCGTGTCAACTGCTGAGTGAGGTGCTGAAATTTAACTTCATGGCTTTTTGGAACCAGGAAAGCCTGGCCTTTGCCCTACCCCGAGGATTCGATGCAAGATGATGTCCATAGTTTGATCTGACTTATTGGTCTTATCCCGCACTGCCCATCTCGATCTTCCTGCCCTTGACGCTCTTCCACTCAAACCCCAACGACAACAAGAAGGCGATAGTCGCACAGGCAATGGACAAGATATACGAGTTCGTCACCGCGATATTGTACGCATACAGCACACCGGCAAGTTGTGACGGTGGAGTGACTTCTCGGATATGCGTGGCGCCTGCTGCGATGATCTCTTTGGGATCTATGCCATGGGTGTACCTAGGAATCTGCTTGACCAGGCTGTTGGAAAATATGTTCTGGGCTATGGAGATGGAAATAGCGCCGCCGAGGGAATTGAAGAAAATGGCTACCGCGTTACCCACCGGCATATCGTTCCGGCCCAACACCACCTGCACGGCGATGAAGGGAACTTGGACACATGCACCCGCTCCGAATCCCGCCAGGATTTGGTATCCGATCCAGGTCCCCGTCGAGGAATCGACTTTCAACGTGTACAGCAGACCCGATCCGACCGCGAAGATGGCCGAGCCTACCCAGGTGAATGGGACGTACGGGCCCAGCGCGGTGATGCTTGCGCCAACGACGATGGATGCGATAGTAATGCTGACTAGATAGGGGATGGTGCGGATTCCAGATTCTTCGGCGGTGGTGCCCTTGACGGCTTGGAAGTAGAAGGGCAGGTAGTAGATGTGGGTGTAAAGGCCCATGGCGAGGAAGGAGGAGAAGAAGGCGCACACGAAGACGGTGCGTTGTCGCAACATGATGCGTGGGGGTAGGGTGGCCAGCTCGCCTTTGCGGATCTGGATGGCGGTGAACACTATGACGAGCAATCCGAATCCAAGCAGGCAGCCCCAGACTTTGGGATTGGACCATGGGTAAGTAGTGCCGCCCCACTGCAGCGCCAGGAGAAGACAGACAATGGCGCAGATGAGAAAGAAGGCGCCGACCAGGTCAATGTGGCCGATCTTCTGTTTTGTTGTCAAGTTGCTGTCATGACGTTGAGGATTCGTGAAGAAGAAGAAGACGGCGGCGATGGCAACAGCACCAATGGGGAGGTTGATATAAAAACACCATCGCCATGATACACCTGCGAGATGGTCAGTGGGTTGGAACCGGAAGAGAAAGAAAAGCCAGAACAAAACCCAGTTCCGACACCAGTCTCAGATGGCTCGACTTACGATCGGTGAAAGCACCTCCCAAGATAGGGCCGACCACAGAGGCGATGCCAAACATGGAACTCAAGAGACCTATATACATTGGTCTCTTGCGCAAGGGCACCGAATATGCAATGATAGTCATACCCCCGGAGAACAAGGCGGCTGCTCCGGCGCCCGCGACGGCTCGGCCGATGATCAACATGGTCGAATTGACCGCGGCCCCGCAGAGCACGGAGCCGACTTCGAAGATGACCAGGGCCAACATGTACGTCCATTTCACGTTGAAGTACGTGTACACTTTGCCGAACGACGGCTGCAGAGACGTGGTGGTCAGGAGATAGGCCGAGCCATACCAGCCCACGTCGTCGAGCGAGTTGAAGACGGTGGTGATTTTGGGAATGGCCGTCGCAATGATGGTGTTGTCCAGAGCGATGACAAAGGTCGACAGCGTCAGTCCGAAGGTCAGCAGGTGCAGCGGCAGGCCTTGGGTGTACTTTGATTCATCGTCTTGTCCTGGCTCGTTGTCGTTGTCGTTGTCACCCGTGGGATGGCTAGCAATTGATACGGTGCGAGTTAGGTCGTGGTCGTGGTCGGCGTCATTCTTCTCGGTTGGATGCTGGTTGGCAGGGGTAATTTCGGGAGGGTTCTTGTTTTTTTCGGCAGGCACCACGGGTTCGCCTTCTTGTGGGCTCGCCTCCACTCGAGGAATTGAATGGACCGATCTTTTCTCGGGGTCGATAATGGCCGTTGAAACGAGCTGGTCGAGATGAGCTGGAGAGTTGGAGCGGGAACCGGAGTCGGACTCTGGGGATACCGGTACCGGGGCGGTTGAGGGGACACCAGATTTCCGGGCCATTGGTTTGGGCCATGGGAATTTCATGGTGAAGGTGATGGTGGTGGTCAACGTCACACAGGGTGTCCTCCCTAAAGCAAACACTCACCCACGCCAGCTGGAATGTGGCGACCTGGCACGATCAACCACAACCACCACAACAACAACCACTCCTCCAGACACACAAGCAGGAGTAGCGAAGATGGCAGCCACCGCACCAGCAGCAACAATGTTGACTATGCCGACCGTAATCAAATCGGATGGATGGAGGATCTGAGAATAATTCTTGCGTCACGAGAGCCAAATATCATAACCAGGAATGAATAGGACGGAGATGAGGGTACAGATGGTGAGAGTGAGAATGAGGTTGAGCACATGCACTTCGGTAGGTTTAAGATAGCTTCGATCACGACCAACAGATAACACACGACATACAGAAGTACAGGCGAGCACTGATTGAGTTCAGAGACATGCACAGAGTAGTGTAACATTCCACGCGAGATCAGCATCTCCAAAAAAAGAGACGATCCGATCCCCATGTTCATCTCCATCTCCATCTCCCTCTCCATTCTATCCACAAGCTATAAGTATGTCTCTTATCCCCACTTCCTCGCCTCCTCGCCTCCCTCGCTTCGCGCTCCTCGGTCGATGTGACTTGACGGGTGGGAGATGAGATGACGAGTTGTCTTGGGTGTATACCGGGCATTCTGGTCTGGCCCAGTATGCCGGTAGGGTATGACGAAAGTGTACGGATACTGTACGTGTAACTGTAACTGTAACTGAACGGATAAGTGTAACTGGAACTGTGGTGTGCCCACCTCGTTTCGCTGTCGGTTAAGTGTAAGCGAGAGCGACGACGTAAACGTAGCCTAAGCTGGGAAGAAGTACGAGCGATCAAATCGAGCGATGCATTGATTTGGTTGGTTTGATTGGTTTGATTGGTTGCGTGGTTGTTGGGTTCGTTTCGACTAAGAGTACGGATAGAGGACGGAGTCAGAGTAATTCAATTCGGGGTGGTTTGGCTTTCGGGTCTGGGATTCGGGGTTGATGTTCGATACTGTTGCTGTTGCTGTTGGCACTCGGTTCTCCTGCCTCTGTCAGTAGGAATCCAGTTAGTGATGCTTTCTTGGGAACAGCCAATCGATAAGCCACAAACCGTAAACGATCTTGTTATGGTCCAATCGTACTCCCCGCTCTGGGGCCGAGCTTCGCACTCTATACGGAGTACGGAGAACGTAGTACGGAGTTCCTGCCTACTCTGTAGTGTAGACTCCGTACTTCGCTTCTGAATCATTGCTCGGTAGGATCTATCAATCAAGTTTCTGCTTTATTGGTTGGTGCAGTGGTTATTATTGTTGTTCAACTTCAGGTGGAAGAGCCATAGCCGCAACGCCGCAACGCGGCTAGAAGGCCAATGAGCATGGTACGCCTTCCGCTGTGCATCCCTGGGGCGAGTTCGAGGGACGGGCGGCGGCTTTCTATTTCTCAGCCTGATTCTCTATCAGCTGCGTCCACGACCATGACCATGAGTTGTCGACATGGGCCATATTTGAGCGTTCAGCAAAACAATACTCCAGGTGAGCACTTGCAAGGCGTCGCGGTCCCTTCCTCCCTTTGCTTTTGACCTACACCTGCCCTAACTCATGTTGTCTAGAGTCCGAAATATCCTGTACTCAGCCTGCCTTACGAGAGCTTCATTCTTCGTTTTGTCACGGGCATCGATAGCCGCATCCTCGACTCGAGCGCCAAAAGCGCCTAAATTACAATCTAATAGCCACCTGGCTCAATATACGATACATCTTGCGCCGCAACAGGCCACGAGCGAGAATGGCTCCACAGCGCAATGACGATACCGTGGGGTGGATCTGCTCCCTCCCCATTGGATTCAAGGCTGCAAGGTCAATGATGGATAAAGTGCACCCCGAATTGCCCCGGATTACTGGAGATACAAACACATATGCCTGGGGAAATGTTGCCGGGCACAACGTTGTCATCGCCACGGGCGTACCGTCACATGTTGCCGCCGTAGCGGCCGCGAACTTAATACGATCCTTTCCCGGGGTGAGGTTCTGTCTTCTTGTCGGTATCGGCGGAGGAGTGCCGGACTCGTCCCCGGACATTCGTCTCGGCGACGTTGTTGTTGGCATGCCGCCAAAAGACGGATGCAGTGGGGGGGGTGATTCACTACGAAGGGACTCCACATGGCTTTCAACGCACCGGGTCGCTCAATGCTCCACCACAGTTTTTGCAGGCTGCAGCCAGGAGAATGGCTACGATGTACAAGTTCATGAATTTTAGACATCATATCAAAAAAGCCGTTCTTCATCTTCCGGACCATGAACTGTGGTGTTCTTTCCCGGGCAGAGAGCAAGACTTGCTGTTTAGCCCGGAATATGAACACCAAGGAGATGAGTGTACCAGCTGCGATCACAGTCGGCTCATTAAAAGGGTGCCTCGTGTTTCGACGGCCCCTGTTACTCATCATGGGTTCATCGCTTCCGGCGATACGCTCGTGAGGGACACTTATATGCGCGACCGTCTGCATTCTGACTTGGGAGTCATCTGCTTTGAGACGGAAGCCACCGGATTGATGAATGATTTCCCATGCATTGTGATCAAAGGGATAACCGACTATTCCGACTCACACACAAACAATCGCTGGCATGGTTACGCAGTCCTCTCAGCTGCTGCATACGCCAAACAACTGTTGGTTTGTACATCTTTTGCTGACGTCCGACAAAGTTCCGGAGCAGCCGATGTACTTCGTCTTGATACTGACACCAGCTCAAGTATGAAACCAACACTGGAAACTTCCGCTGTATTCAGTGAAGGGATCTCGGCCCTGATGGGATGGCTTGAACCTGAGCATGTTGACGCAACAGCCAATTTTGTCAGGATTTTTGCATCCCACCGAAGGCTCAAGCCACTGTACAGTGTGGCTGGATTGCGTATGACACTATCGGTGTTTCAGTGTAATGTTACACCAGCTTTGGCTGGTCTCAGTCAGGGGATCAGGAACGGCGCCCAAACTCCGCTGGAGCTGGCAATAGCATGGATGTTGAGACGATACAAGGCAACCATTGCTGCACAGATCTACAACTGGTTCCAGCCAACTGATGGTTCCGTGACGGTGCCGTCGGTACCGCTTGACGAGAATCCAGCCTCTCAATTGCACCAGCTAAAGCGATTTATTAACGAAAGGGTTCCAGAACCTCGGCCTGCCTTCAATAGAAAGGAGAACTCCCAAGCTCAGGATGTAGATCCAGAGCTGCCGAATACGGAGAATGACGTTGATGAACCGCTACAAGAACAAGAAGCAGGTCCAAAGGAGGCGAAGCCATATCTTGCGGCATTGGGAGACGTGAGCCAAGTCCATCGCATACTCTGCGAGGGAGAAGCCTTCGATGAGATGTTCAAACAGTTGGAAAAGAGCCTGACCCCAACACCCATTGAACTGATCCACAAGGTCCTTCGTCGGCATATACCTGGTGACCCACAGCCAAAATCCATCAACTGCGTCTTAAACTGGCAGCTTCTTGAATACTGTGACAACGAAAACATTACAGTCCACGACATCGACGCGGTCTTCACCTTGACCGGAACGTTCCAACGCGCACGCGCAGAGCGACTCGGGGACTATATTCATAGGACATGGAAGACGGGGAAGGTATTACTGGATGGCATAAAACATTCTCTTGTGCATTATTTGAGAAGAGGTGAGCATGACTTGGGGTTCATATCTTTCTTGCCTTGCCTTGTGCACACCACTCAGAAAAGGTAGTTGACACCATGTTACAGATGACAATGAGCCTGAAACCGAAATCATCGCCGACGAGGGGTTGCGGATCAGAGTACGACTTTTACCTAAGACGGCGGACGCAAAGGAGCAAGCCCTCGTAGCACTATCAGGGACTTTCCATCAAATCGCCGAAATTCTTGGCCAACTCGCCTGGTTGGCTGCTACCTTGCGGCCACATGCGGAAGGCCAATTGACAGTCTCTGAAATCGACTTCCAAGATCATCAGATAGAAATCGGTGACTCAATAGAGCCAGTCTTCCGTGTCTCACTCTACAGCCAAGACAAGGTGCGTCAACCGAACTGCGACGAGCGAGGCAGTTGCTGGACCTCCTTGTTCACTGAGAGCGTCCTTGCATATGGCTGTTCTCCAGGTGATCCAGATCGACCTGAGGGTTTGCTCGGCCTTGAGCTGCCTTTCGAGATAATGCTCCGGTTTACAGGTGCTAAGTATCCTGTTTGGCTTGGACAGCGACTTGCACTTGCCAGCGAGTCTGGTATTCTCATTCCACAGGTGACTTTTGGCGACTCTATCCAGTGGCATTTTCAAAAGATGGAAAATTCGATCAATCAAGCCATCAGTGTGAACATCCCAGACTCACAACTGGAAGCTCTGGATTTACAGAAACTTGTCAAGTCCCAGGGATTCTTGGGATATTCCAGAAGTTCGGAAGTGCTGTTGGGTACGGCAGATTTCGCAGAGGTCGAGATTTTGAAGTCAGATGTTCCCCATACTCGATCGTCTGTTGAAATGAAACTCGAGGGTCCAGTCAACATGGGCCCAAATAAAATCATCACCGGCAATCTTGGGAGCACTTGGAAGTTCAACCGCGGCGAAAGCGCTCTTCTTGAAGCGAAAATTCTCAGCCCGGATGAGCGCCTTAGGCGGGCAGCCAGAGCTTCCGCATTGCTCTATGATGACGGAGCATGTATAGCATACCTCGTTTCCGAGTTGAGCATCATTCTACAGATAGTGTCTATGTACATCCGGAAAGACTCACGGCTCGAGAATTCCAAAATTCCTCGAGCTGACAGATCGGCCGACGGCGGTGCAGCTGCCAAACAAGCCATCGAGAGCGCGCAAGATCTGATAGTCCCATTTGCGACTGGGGCTCGAAAATATCTTGACATCGTGGAGAGCTTCCTGGACATAATTGAACAAAGGAAAATCCAAAGATTGGTCAACATTCAGCAATACGGCAGGATCTCTCTAAAAAGGGGCCTCAGGGGCTGGGATTTTGCCGATATACAGTCGAAGACCCTCGTCTCCTCGGAACGTGAGCTCCCAGCTCCACGTTGGCATTCGCGGCCTATATGGTGGAAGCTCTTCAAATCTGCTGAATGTTTTGTCCTCTTTGCACGGGTCACAAGACCTCCAATTCGCTGCTGCAACACCGCTACTCAAGGGTTCCTTTGTTGTGCCTGGGAACAAATTTCAACTGGTGGGCACCTGCTCCTTGCGAACATGCACCAGTTGGACCAGCTCAGGGGCGAATTGTGCCAGACCGCCGGAAAATACCCCAATCGCTATATGCTGACGAACAAAATAGCATGGTCGCGCCCATGCAATTCAAGATTGTTCGAAGATAACTGCGGAGAAGGCAGATCTTGCAAGCCTATACAGACCATGTGTGATGTGAACGCCGTGAGAGCGAAATGGCGAGAGCTGAAAAAACACTGCTGGACTATAGAAGAATTCCTACCCCATCCTGGCCAACTGGAACCTACTGGTGCTGCTCTATTTGGAGACGACCCGGACAAATTTCAGGTTCGGCCTTGCAGGCAACGACCACAACCAGAACCAGAACTACAACCAGAACTACAACCAGAACTACAACCAGAACTACAACCAGAACTACAACCAGAACTACAACCAGAACTACAACCAGAACTA